TTCCTTTTTTTTTTCTTTTTTTTTTTTTTTTTCTTTTTTTTTTTTTTTTTTTTTTTTTTTTTTTTTGGGGGGGGGGGGTATTGTAGCCACCGAGTTAGTCGCAGGTATACGCCGCAAAAAAACATTGGCCAGCAAGCTCCCTATACCTATTCATCTCCCATCCGGGACAAGCATCGAAAGTTGGAGTCGCTGTGACTGCTACAGCTACTTGAAACCCGGCAATTGTGTTTTAAGAAATCTGGAACTCAAAGAACCTAGGCAGAGGGATGGTGAGATCCTAGCATGGAGTAACGATAGCATCGAGCGTATCGCTACTATGTAGGCCGGAAACCGCAATCTACCTGAGGACACTGGCACTGCCGTGCCGTTCAAAAGAGTACACATCGGGCGGTATGTTGACGCTTCTGTCCCGACTAGTTATTCACGGTCTTACTGTATACTACATGACCTCTACGGCCCGATCTCCTCCATCATTGGGTCAGTTACAGGTAGGTGAAGGAAGACGTCTGGCCAAGGACCATCCGTGGATGTTAGCAACTGTCCCGCACGGTGTGCCGTAATCATAGTGCGCGCAATGACGATGGATCGATCTCCCCCTCCATGGTCCATGTCAACAACAGGGTGCGATCAAGATTGGGGAACGTGGGGTGGACGAGGGACTGAGCGAGTCGGCCGGGCTCTAATCGAAGTGTGGACCCCGGCTCATCGTTTCCAAGGTTTGGAGACTCTGGTTCGATCCTGGCTCTGGCCAATCGGGTCAGTCCATTGGCCGTCGTCGTGACAACCAGGCCTGCGGCCCGTTTGGGGGCAGCCCGGTTGTTGATCCCACTTGCGGTGCCGGCGCCAGCTCGCGTCTTGTGCTTTGGGGCTTGGGGCCGGATCGCCATCGAGTGCCGCACCCATCATCGTCCACTGTCGCTCACGAACACCGCTAGTTGAGTTGAGTTGAGTTGAGCTGAGCTGAGTTAACTTACCGAGCGAAGCAATCTTTGCCCTCGTCGCGCTCCCCTTGGACGCTGCTCTCTTGCAACTCGTCGCATTGCTACCTACCTGCATCGGCCTCGTCGCGCGTTTCTCGGCGCCTTCGATTCTTCTTCTTCCTCTTCTTCCAATGTGCCCGCGCAGACCTGGCCACCTTGTTACATGATTTGACCATAAACAACATCCTTCGCCCACGATTTCATGATACTTCGCGACTGCGCGACTGCGCCAACGACATCCACCACGCCCACCTAATGCCCCGAGTAGGCCCCCCACCCCCAACATACAACACCGCTGCATAGAATACAAACAAGCCGCCCACTGTTCTTCGTCCGCCATGTCCCACGCCTGGCTGGATTCCCTCTCCGAGGATTGGGTCTCTCAGCCTCGATCCGACACTTCGCAGGCGCAATTGCCCGGTCCCTCGGTCGCGCACGAGAACACAAGGCCCGGCAAGGCGCCCGAGTCTGCCAGCAGGATACCGCGTCTGAGCTCGAGCCCGCGCAAATCGCTGCCTGTCACGTCCGATGTCTTGAGCGAGAGGAGCTCGAATCAAGTCAACATTCCCTTGTCGCAACGCGTAGCGTCCAAGGCCTCGGCAGAGAGCGCGGCGTCGCAGCGCGGACGGCATCTGAGCCGGTCCTTCTCCGCATCGACCACCGAGGGTTCCGTGCTCCACAACACCGTCCACCACAAGTCGCTCAGCGCATCGCCGGCCAAGCTGCGAGATTCCATCCCCGAGTGGAGGAGGCGGCTGATCTACAACGAACGCGCCTACGGCGAAGCCAAGGACCTCTTCAGCTCGGCCGGCACTGGGCTCGAGAACATGTTCTACCCTCCGCCGCCCCCCGAGGACCAAGACCTCAGCAATGAAGGCCCGACCGCACACGACATGACCCTGCCCTCGAGTCCACCGCCATACCTCAGCTCGCGTCGCAAGAAAGTAATGTCGGGAGAAGCCTTTGATCAATCGCACGACGATTTCTCCGAGATCAACCCGGCGCCACACGGGCGACAGATGCGCTACAAACTACACGCGGAAGCCCAAGATACCCTTGGTGACAGCAGCAGGCCCGACGAGTCGACAGAAGGGTCGAGGGGCCGCGCGCCCCAGGAATCCACACAAGACCAGAACCGGAGCTCGTACACCTCCGTGACGGCCAAGCATCTCTTCGACGCGTCGCGCAAAACTAGTGGGAAGAGTGACGTGCGCCATGAGGACTTCAGTCCCATTTTCATCGGCAGGCATAGCAATGAGGACGGGCGCGTGAGCTTCGCCCCCGTCGAGCTCTCGCCCGATCAGCTCAAGAGGCGCTTGGATAAGCTCCGCCACAATCAGATGTTCCTCGACTCGGATTCCGTCAACCAGGATGAGTCCGCGTCCGCAGGAGCCCATGAGGAGGATTCTCGAATCCAGGATTCGACCGAGGAATATGCGCGGCAAGGCGCTTTCCTCAATCTCAACAGAGGAGGTCTCTCTGCCGAGGGCTCATTCAGACATCGTCCTCTCAGCCCTCCGTTACCCACAGACACTTCGGAGATGCTTCCGGAGTCGTCTCTACAAGCAAGCACGCCAAAGCAGTTTCCGGGCACTGCCAAAGGCACACTTAGAACAAATGCGCCGCCCGAACCTACATTCCGCTTCCCTAGCCTAAGCCCAGACTTGCCCCGGGTCCCAAACCCGAGTCCCGAGAAAAGGCCGCTGTCTAGTGGAAGCGCGTTGAAACTCTTTGGGCCATACGACACATTTACCAACCAGACTTTGTTGAGACGCATCAGTCAATTTGAAGATCCAATGACCGAGAGCCCTTCGCGTTCCTTTGACGATCCCGCTCAAAGACCTCGAGAGGAGCCACCCTCAAAGTCTGAATTCAACCGCGGGTCTGCCACAGATTCCAGCCCTCGTAGGTCTCCAAATGTCAGCCGAGGCCACCACGAGACCTTTGGAGCGATCAACAGGTTCGGTGCCGGTGAACTCGACGACTATGTCTTTAGTGAAGACATTACCCTGGACCCTAGCGAGCGCTCTAAGCTGGCCGATAAAGAAAACGTTGCGCCGGATGGCGGCTCACCAGCCCCAAGCCGCATGATCAAATTTGATCTGAGCCATCGCTCATCCTTCTCCGAAAGTGATCCCCTTCAAGTACGGCGCAGGAGAGGCAGATCCAGCACGTTGGCGAGCTCATCAAGACAATCTGCCAGCGGATTCGCGTCCCGGCCCCAGAGCTCGTCGAACATGGGTTCCGCTGGACTTACTCGCATGGCAACCCCGAAGAGAGACGGCTCAGAAGGCAAGAGACCACGCACTTCACCATCAAAAGATCCCACCCCAAAACGAAGGCGGACTCTCCACAGATCTGACATCGCATTCGGCTTGGAGGCACACCCCGCAGCCATAGAAGCCGTTCAGACCAGCCACTACCAAATGCAAACCGGCCTTGAGTGGCGGCACAAGGATCTCCTGCAGGGCCAGATCCACCAACTCATTCACCCAGCTGTTATGGCACACAGAGAGGTACAAAGACCACGTACGCCGACACCGAGTCAGAGATCCTCCGTACAGCGCGAGCGGGAGCCTCTGGGAGATCTGTACCTGACCGCCGGTCAGGAGCTCGAATCAGCGTCGGTCGACGACTCTGAGATCTTTATGCAAGATTTCGCCATTGACGGATCCCGGAAGACTTCGATCAAAACACAAGATTTCCTGGATGAAGCCGAGAAGATCATGGGCATGATACGCAGCAGGGCGCGACTTCCGCAGACAGGATTAGCGAGTGTCGAGGAGTCTGAAGCGGAACAGTCCGAACAGCGTAAATCCACAACCCCCGAGTCGCCCAACGAGGAGTCTTTTGAAGAATCGTTCGAAGAGCCCTTCCTAAGGCCGCCAAGTCGAGACGGCCGACCTGTCCCACGAGTAATTGTCCGTCAGGAGGATCCAGAACTTGCTAGCAGACTCAAGCAGTACGAGGAGGTCAGTGATATGGGGGATCTCATCACATACTCCATGCGCTCTATGGGACTGGCCAGGGATGCGATTCAAGAGGTCAACAAGATCAAGCAGTCTGTCCAGCAGAGTATTCGTAACAGTGAGATGCGACACTCGTCCTCAGATGGAGGCGAGGTCATCAGCGATCTTCCTAATGTGGTTCTATCACGTAACCCGGATGCCCCTGACACCGGTGAGGAAGGACCGATCGCATCACATGGTTCACACTCTTCGAACTCCTCATCCGGAGGGTCTGTTCCCACCGGCTCGTCGCGTGGTTCAGACTCCAGAAGACTCATCGGGCCTGATGCTGTGAGTCAGCTTATTGGAGACCAAGTGGGCAACATGGTGTTGGACAAGGACAAGAATATGTGGATGAAGATGAGAACGCCGCGGCCGGTCATTCGGATGACCAGCATCCTCCCATCCGAAGACAGCGAAGATGATCCTTTTGCTAGCATACCTGACCTATCTGTCGACGTCACCAAGGAAAAGCAGCATCTTGCCTTGAAGACAGCACCGCTCGAAGACTTGGAGGAGTATGTGAAAGAGGACTTTCCTCACCCTCCGTCTTCGGGCCGCAAGACATATGCAACGGAGCAGTCCTTTGAGGGGAGGAGCATCTTGAGTCACACCAAGAGCTCTTTCGCGACTCTCAAGCAGACCATGTCGGAAACTGACGCGGATAGGACTGACGAAGTCGAGCATGAAATAACAATTCATGAAGACCGTGTGCAGAAATCGAGCCCTTCGCGGAAGCGAAATCTCACCATCACCTTCTCATCGCCAGTCGCATCCATCATTCAGGACGTTTTCCCTCTGCAATCGGAAAGTGGGATGACGGACGATGATAGCACTCTGGAACGATCTGTCGGTGATATTGCTGCTGATTCTTTGAAGCGAGGGAGACATGCTAGAGTCGATCGAACATTCAGCACGAGATCTGAACAGTCACGATCAAGAAGCCGATCTAAGAGTACTGGTCGAAATCTTTCGGTGAAAGGGCCGGCATTCGTTCCCCGGCCTGTTTCGCGCATCGATGAGCAAGATGAAGACTCATCCATTGACTTTTCCGCATTGGATCAGCGGCAGCTCAGCATTCGTGGGGAGTCTAGCATGGTCGCATCTCAAGATGAAGAGAAGCGACGGGCGAGTGTCAGCATCATCATCAGCACTCCCGCTCCAGCGCGGCATGTTTCTCACGGTTCTGCTACGCCGATTATTGCACAACATGTCGGTACCCTGTCTCTCAGTCCTCTATCCGACTTCACCATGAACCATGGGGATCAATCACATGCTCTAGAGGTCAGCTACGTCGTCGGCGATGATTATCTGGTCACAGGCGACGGGTCAAAGCGGATCATGTCGCAAGCCATTCGGAATCTCGTCGAAAAGATCACCGAGGTGGAACCCTTCGAACCAGATTGGGATGCCATGCAAGTATTGGATATCAACAACAAACAACTGAAAAGCCTGCACAAGCTGGACGAGTTCTGCGGCAGTGTCGTTTCCCTCGATGCCTCTAACAACTGCATCAGCCATCTGGACGGAGTGCCAGAGTCGGTGCGGAATCTCAGGATAACGAACAACCATCTTTCGGAACTCACGGCTTGGGGTCACCTCATGAACTTGCAGTATGTCGACATCTCCAACAATCAGATTAACAGTCTGTATGCATTCAAGGAGCTCGTCCACCTGCGGAGTCTTCGCGCAGACAATAACCAGATCACCAACCTGGATGGCATCAAGTTCCACGATAGCCTCCAGGTGCTCCGGGTGCGAGGCAACCTGATCGAGGACGTTGACTTCGAAGGAACAAAACTTCATCGCCTGACCGAGCTGGACCTGCGCGGAAACCAGATCAGCTCGATCGAGCATTTGGAACAGCTTTCCTGCTTGTCCACGTTGAACCTCGAGAACAACCGCCTCACATCATTCACGACAACGACAAAAACGAGCATGGCTTCCTTGAAATACTTGAAACTATCCAACAACATGATTACAGAGCTGGATCTGGCTGCATTTCCTTCTGTCCGCATGCTGCACGCAGATCGCAACCATCTGGCTACACTCAAGGGCTTCTCAAAAGCTCGGAGGCTTGATAGCCTGTCTCTACGTGAACAGAGAGGTGACACGCCACTGGACGTATCCTTCCTCACTTCTGCTTACGAAGTACGGAAATTGTTCCTTTCAGGCAATCTGCTCTCGGCCTTTGAGCCAAAGGTTGATTTCCTGAACCTACAGTACTTGGAACTTGCAAACTGCGGACTGCAGTCCCTCGCTGCAGACCTCGGACAGCTGATGCCGAACCTGCGCACGTTGAACCTGAATTTCAACGCGATCGAGGATCTCTCTGCTCTGCGTTACATCCCCAGGCTGAAGAAGCTGCTGGTCGCCGGCAACAGGCTTAAGGATATCCGTGCCGTTTGTGCTGTGCTGGGCGAGTTTCCACACATGAACAAGCTGGACCTCAGAGACAACCCCACAACCCTAGGTTTCTACCCCCCGGTGCAGACCTTGGTCTCGGTCGATACCGAGGCGGAGTTTGACCCCTTCACCCTGCCAGATGCGGGTAAGGAGCGGGATGAGTTATTCTCAAAGAGGCTCGATATGGGGACGAAGCAAAAGAGACGGTTCTACGAGATTGCCATGACGCAGTGCTGTTGCCGCCTCAAATTGCTGGATGGGCTTGCTATAGACAGAAAGGAGGTCAGGAGGAGAGACGGTGTGTGGCAAGCACTGGTCGAACAGGGCATGGTGTCAGAGGCTGCCCAGAGCAAGGAGGGTCCGACGCCCGCTCAGACATCATGACACGCGTCCGGGGACCTTTCGTGATGGACGGGTTAAAAGAGGGGAGAGCCTTTGGAAGGCTGGAACTAAGTGGCGTGGAGTTTGCGGGAAACATCATGTTCCGCCTCGGAGTTCTTTTTGATTTGACTTGCATGAAATTTTAAAAAGCCGGATCGGACTGGGGTGTATACAGGAAAGGGTTCATGGCTGGAAACGGGTTCCGCCAATGGCGTTTTGTGTGTTTTGTTTTGGTTTTCTTATTACATGTAGCTCTAGAAAGGCATACGCGTGTTGCACGATAACGTTAATAATGAGAGACGAGAACTTGGAAGGTCAAACCACACCGCAAGACTCCACTTGATTAGATCGCCAGCCTGGAAGCATATCACAGGATGGAAAGACGTGGGCTTTGTCGCTCGGTCACAATACCTATCTTCTCCCCTGACGTTTTCGATATCAACCACCGCCGCAGATCATGTGTCCTGAGTCCTCTGCCTTGGTTCTACTCGGAAAGCTTTGGCTGGAGAGAGAAGATCAGGAAGGGATTTTCTCGACAGCAACAACATCCTCGGCAGATCGTCCTCGTCAAAAAGTCTCGTGATCGCTTCATAAAAATTCCCACGTTGCGTACATTCTTGCGATCACAGCCTTAGGACAGATTTGGTGCCATATGCAGATGATCTGCAACAACCCCTGCGGCGATCATGGTGCCCTGTGTAAAACGTTATTTCTCTATATGCGCGTATGCCGGTTCACCCGGGTTATTACCATACGCTCCTGTCACGGACGCCTTGCTAGAGACATCTTGCGAGAAACACCTTGCTAGAAACAGCTACGTCTAGTCGGCGACCTTACCGAGACGACCGGCGATCTGTTTGCGGGTGGTGGTCAAGGCGCGTGCGGCGCTGCCTTGCTAGCACGACACACAGACGTAAGGAGCGGGCTGACAACGGCTGTGTGCCTCGATAGGGCAAGGCATGCACATTGCCGGCCGGTGTCAGTCGAAGCGGTGGCCGGCACGTTGCGGACGGCTTCATGCAGCGCATCTGTCCATCAGGGGACGCAACGTCCGACCACTCCCACGTGCACAAAGGGACTGAGCGCAGAGCGGGCGTCGTTCCGCAGTTGAGGCGTGCGCGTCACCCCGGATGACAGAAGCTTATTGAATCGTTTTCCCCGTCGGAGAATATGCTTTCAACGATGCGCCTTAGGCCGGTCCGGTGCAAGCTGAAAGGGGGTCCAAAGCCAGGGCAGCGTTCTCGCGCCTGCCAGTCTGCCGGTTTCTATAGGCTTATGAGAAATTTATAAACATCGAATTAAGAAGTCGCTAACCAGAAGCGCGGCCCGGTTCAAGTTTCCAGGACGTTTCTTTGGCTTATTTTCGATTCTTGCTAAAAGATTTAACAATGCTTAGGTCTGCTTTCTTTGGTATGGCTTCCGCAGGAACCGATTAGCGAAGGAGGGTCGCAGGAGGGAGGAAAAAGATAAGAGAAACCCCAATACGAGGTCCTCCTACTGCGGGAGTGAAAAGTTAGACTAGCACTGAATACCTCGGTCCGAAGTAGTCTCTGTAGAGCGGGTCGAACAACGGCAAGCATCGATGTCGCTCGCGTGTCCGCTCCAAATCACGCACACTTTGTGTTTTTAAACTTCCGTCCGTTGGACAGTAATTGTAGACTCTCGGTCCGTTCCCAGACTCTTGGGTATCATTACTATGCACGTATATTGCCCCCAGTAGACAGACTATCCGAATAGCCATTAGATAGAAAGCCTACACCTGTTCCGTCGGTAGACTTGACATCGACGGCTTCACCATTTGGGATAAGTTCAAGGTCTATGGTCCCTGCGGTTCAGGTGCAGTCTAGACTTCCAAATCGAGACCAGATTTCCCAGCCTTTAAGGAGGTAGCGTCATGATGGGCCCTCTCTTAGCCGGTATTAGGGCGGAGATGATGCTCACTAGGCCTGGAGGCTTCCGAGATCCGATCAACAAGCAGTGGTGTGAAGAATCTCGCCAAGTGCCGTGACCCAGTAGCTTGTCCATGTCCCGAGGCTCTTGGCTCGTCTATGGTTGCCCAAGACGCGAGATTGGCGGATTGTAGGAAGCGAGGCCAGCCGATCAGGTCCATAGGCTGCTTCAGGTGTAACTATGTATGCACTGCACGGTCTGGTATGCAGGCTTTCTGTACTAATAAGATAGGTCCCAGCATTCAAATCCCAACCAATCCTACCAACCGAGTGGACTGGGGTGATGTTGGGTAGCTTGCTGACAATGTTCGTCGCGAAGGATGCAGCTCTTTATGTAGCTGGAAATTTCATTTGGCATCTCAGACTGTAAGAAGTAAGGAGTGGCGGGCAATCTCCCCCACGGTCGGCTCGTGCTGTCTGGACTTCGTTCCGTCATGGACACTTGTACCTGCCGTAGCTCAGAACGCCAACGTTCAGGTGGCTGACTGTTAAACTTGATGTGATCAAGAGCTCAAATTGACAGCTGCCGAACATTTTAGTGTCATTAAAGATTTGACTCGCGGGTGTGAATTCCCATCTACGACGAGGGTTTCGCCGATGTTCTAACTCTAAATCCACCCTTGTCCTCTAGTTGATAGTAGCCAAAGCCCCGGGTCCAGGAACGTTGCGCTTCTCAGTGGAGGTGGAGGCCGTTAGTGTGAGAATTGCGCCCGCAACGTAAGATGCGGCCATCGTGATACCAAGAGATATCCTCAGCTGGCAAGAATGCAAAGATGGTACAAGCCGGCAGACCGTCAGGCCACTCTGGATCAATGCCGCCCCCGTCCCACGTCGTCTATATACTATGGTACAAGTCTTTCCAGCCTTGCAAATCCTGGCTAATCGTCGATCAGTGTCGGACAAGGATGTCCACGGAAGACAGGGTCACATATGCCTTTGCTCGCTCGGCAACCTGGTTCACTCTTTCAGGTTAGATTGCCGACCCAGATGCATGTCTCTCTCCATCAATCCGGGCAAGCCGTGACTGGAAGACCCTCCAGCCAGGAGCTCTCATTGGCTAGAGGCCGATGTCAATGGCGCTGGAGTTTTCTCATAGTCCTTGCGGTGCTGGTGTGCAATAGAAACGGGGCGTCAATTAGTCTCCGCCACCATACATACTAGCAATCCATCAGCACTGACGCCAAGAAGTTTTGGGGAGGCCCATTGTCGGTGCTATTGGCTTGTTATCTGCCTTAGACATCGTAGGCGTTCCTTGATAGAGTATCGATTGCGATTAGCGAGGGACAGGGGATGTGCTGTTTCGTTGCAATAGGAGCCCACCGAGAAAATCTGTGTCTGATCCTGCTGCACACTTCCCAAGTGTTAAACGCTAGTATGATGTGATTGCAGTCCATCCTTCATCTGGAAGACTGCGGTGGTCATGATGAAGGCCGCAGGTGCTATAGGAGATGTAGAGGGCGTGTAGGTCGATCGCTAGTATAGCGCGCGGCCCGAGTTCGTTTACAATGGGGCCAGATGCTTGACACATCCAACGAGGCTGTTCCAGGAACATCCTCGATCTCCCCCACGAGTTTCGCAACGAGAGCCGAAAACATCTCTCCACCTACTGGTCTAGAGCGGAACGTGTCTTAGGCTAACCTGGAAGGAGGCGCTTCCCCACCATGGCGTTCTTCAGGTCGCCCTGGTGCGTGTGTGCGCTTGGGTCAAAGGAAGCTGAACGGAGTTGTCATTTGAATGAGCCATTCCTCTTGCATTCCTCGTCAGTATCATATTAACACAAGAGGTCTGCCGCGACTGATGGGTCCTTCATAACTCTCTGTGCGACCTTGCTAGACCAACAGGCAAGACCGCGACTGCATGATCATGATATCGTGAGAACACACACAAGCCCCACTATCTCACACGAGATCTGGTATTTTCTGGTCCAAAGTTCGCCTTCCAGAGCCATTCTTAACCCTCGAAGATGTCGACATCCGAGGAGTTATTCCTTCAATACGAAGGCCAAGTCGTGCCGCGTTCTTTCAATGGCGGATTTGTCACTCTGAGTTATCTCGTTTCATTCATCGGTGCCGCCTCAACACTTGAATTGATCAACAGAAGAACGTCCCGCAATGGATTATTCAACCACCTCATTCTCCTCAGTGCAGCTATCACGATGGGGGGCATCGCCATCTGGTGCATGGTATGTTATACCACCTGCGCCCAAACCCCTGAAGCACCAATTGTCTAACTCCCTCAGCATTTCATAGGCAACCGCGCCATTGATCTTGGTGGTGGCCAGAGCGAGCTCCAAATCGTATACTCCGGTGGATTCACGGCACTCTCCTTCTTCATTCCGATAATGGTGCTCCTCGCTGCGTTTCTGGCCGTCGGTACTAACAACAGAGTTTCCTGGTGGCGAATTGTTGTCGGAGGCTCGCTTGCTGGCGTTGCCATATGTGGCATGCATTACTTAGGTAATGCGTCCATATACAACTATACATGCGTGTACAACACCGTCAACGTCGCCGGCTCTGCTCTGATCGCTGTGGCCGCCAGCATTGTGTCACTGGCGCTCTTCTTCGTCTTCAGAGCATCTTGGACTAACTCCTGGTGGAAGCGCGGCGGGTGTGCCATTGTCCTGGCAGGTGCAGTCTCTGGAATGCATTGGTGTGCCTCGACAGGCACCCAATATCGCCTGGTGCGGCTCAACGCGGATACTGATCACCTTTCTCGTAACACCACTGTCATAGTCGTTATCTGTTTGTCCGTGGGAGCTGCTTTGATCATGGCCGGTACCGCAGTGTATTCAACTCATGTGAGGAGACGATACGCCATCAAAGCACAACAAGTGGTCCTGGCAGCAGCGGTTTTCGACCGGACAGGACGCATTCTTGTCAACCCCGATGGGTTGCTGCCCAGTGAGAAAATCACCGACACCTATATCGAGAAGACATCCGACGATCAGTTCAGTATATCGCATCCGTTGTTCCACTGGATGTTCCAAGCCTCCCGGAACTGGCGGGGCCTCGAGAGCGTAATCGATAACATGACCACCCACCTGGCTCTTCTACGGCAGAGTGGCGGTAACACAGGGGTTCGGTTGATTGACGACGATGGGCAGCATATTGCAAACTACGATGTGATTCTCCGTGAGCTCTTCTGCCTTGCTGCTTCCAATCTGGCGAGTAAGACGAAGGAGCACATCGCCAACGTCGGAACCCTGTGGGATGAGATCCTCCCTACCGGAGTGAATCGCTCGAGACGCCAGCGACGCCAGGATGACAGCGATGGTGACATACTCGCGGAGAAGGGAGATGGATGGAGGGCCAAACATGAGTACGGTCGCGGTTCTCTCATGTTCCTTGTACGGCGTCTCGAAAATGCGAGGGACGTCGAGAAACTCGAAGCTGCTGGCTTCAGATTCGCTGAGGTTAACCAGGTCGCCGGGATCATTGGCAGCAGCATGCAGATCAAGACCCGAAATCTCAGCAGCAAACTCAACAACATGGCGGTATATGCCGAAGGCACAATGATGGAGCCAGGAGTCCACGTAGGCTTCTTCGGCTTGAGGGCTCGGGTTGGCGGTTTCGGCTTCGATGTTCTCGTCAGGAGAGGCGCCCGAAACCTGCTGCCCTCGATGCCCATGGCACAGGAGCATGTCGAGTCGTGGCAGCTGGATTTCCTACAGCAACTTGACCGGCTCACCATCCCTTCACTCTGCCAGAAGCTCGACAATATGAAGAAATCGTCTCCACGGGAAATGCTATTCGCATCCCAGCTATACGACACGGTCGAAGCTCTCCGTGCCTGGGTCGACGATCCAATCTTTGATGAAGCAGCGATCACGGCCAAGGTAGTTCAGATACCTTGCCGGGCTCGAGAGAACTCGTCCTCACCCAGCACTTGTACTTTGATTACCTTGAAGATGGTTATCCCGATCCATGTTAACATTCAAAGCCCCAGGTGTGAGTTTGTGCCACTTTCCCTCTTCAAGGTACATCAGCTGGTCTACAAGGACTCGCCGCACCATGCCGATTTCTCACGGTCGGTCCATCGCGAGATCAAACCTATTGTCAATGACATACCCCTTCCCGCACCAAGTCCAGCGCATAAGAGGCCGAAGCGCACGTCCTTCCACATCGGTTTCCGGGGGTTTAGACGTCCGAGGGCAGTCGCCTATCCCGTAGATGCGGACGGCAACCCAATACCTACAGAATTCGGGCGGAAGCTGGGCCACGGGTCCACCCATTCAAGTTCTACGCTCAAGCTCTGGAACGGGCCCAGCAACGAGGTGCCGTGCAGCGACGGGATGTCGGACAGGTTTGCGCCGCGACGCGAGGAAAGCCAGCCACCATCCTCATTTGGAGGCATCATGGTCTCGCAAGAAATCAAAGTCGACGTGCGACAAGCAACCGAGGTCGGCACCGCAGGCGGTCGATTCCCGATGCGCCAGCAAGTCGAGCCGGGCCCAAAGTCCAATCAAATTGACGGAAAACCGGTAGCAGCCGACCGAGTGACGGTCGTGAGCGCCGGACACAAACGTGCAAATATGTCAAAGTCGGGAATTGAGATGAAGGCCATATCAGACGGTCGGGGGGACATACATAGCGGGCCCACTACAGCAAGGTCTGCTGTTGTCGAAAGTGGGCGAGCTGGCGAAGCGAGTACGTTCGTGGATGAATTGTTCAGCATCTGCATGGACGGCAGATGAGAGAGAATCCTTGATAACGACCATATTTTACCAGTGTTTCTCGTAGAGACACAGCAAGCTGGAATTGCGCTGAGCAGGGTCGACTCAGCACATGATAATGTAAGAACGGAAGCGTACACACGCAATGGTATTTTACTTGTTAAATCTAGGGCTTGATGAGATGAATTGAGAAAAGATATACCCCTGCGCAGCGTCTCAAAAAGCATACCATACCAATGAGGCTATTCCGAGTGATGAATGGATTTGCCAGTCCCGTGATTGCATCATCGACTACATGCCATCGCCTTGGAGAGCATGAAATGAAAACAATACATATCAAAGTAGGTACATCCAATACCGTTCAGTTGGGACTGGAGGGGGGGAAGGGAAAGAAGGGTCAGGCTGCACCCGGATGGGCAGGCAGGCAGGGCAGGCAGGCTCCGATCGGTAACTCAGGATAATCTCAGACACACAGAAAAAGGGGGGCCCGTCCGTGTGTGCAGTCATTGCCCCCACAGGCAAAGCCGCAGGAGCAAAGGTCCAGAGGAGCAGCAAGGCGGCGCCGCACGAGATGTTCGAGATGATCGTCAAATCGTGATCCCCGGGCGGTGGCCGGGTGGGTTGGGCTGGGACCTTTTACGTAGGGGAAGCATCCGGAGGTGTCACCGTAGGATTGATTGAGGTGGATGCGGGCAGGCCGCTACTTGGGCTCTGCTCTGCAAGCTTGGGGCTACGGCACGCCCATCCCGCGCGCTCGCAGACGGCCAGAGACCCGCAGACGGTGTCTGGCGGGGGGTCCTTGGGTTTCTTGGGGCTCCTTGGGGCTACTTGGGGCCCCCAGCAGGAGGTCAGGTGCAGAGGGCAGGCCCCGTAATGACATGATGGCCAGAGCGAGCCAGAGCGCGGATTAACCTCTTCATTCCATCATGAGCCCACGCCCCCGGTTTTCTGCTCCAATTGGTGGCCTTAATCGCCGCCGAGCTCCGGTTTTCCCGTGGGTCTCCCCCCGGTGCAGAGCAGGCAGGGTGGCTGACGGGGCGTGGGCTAGGGCGCCCAACTCTCCAATTCTCCATGAATTCTGCCGAGCATATCATGGCTGCACGCAAAATTGTCCACGATTGACACACGCTTGCCACACGCTTGTTGCAGCTCCATCTCTGCGGATGGGCATGGGCATGGGCATGGGCGACGAGCTTGGAAGTTGGGGGGCCGCCCTGGGGCCCAGCTTTGAGCTCATCGATTTTACGGGGCTTCCTGGCGGGCGTGGGGAACCAACGACTCGCGAGACGTGCCACCGTCCGTCACCTCTGCCGCGCACCTAAAAACCTCTGTCGACGCTTTTCCTGCCCTCCGGTCGTAGATAGAAATGGAATTCCTCATTGTTTCCTCTCCTCCCACCCCCATTGCCGCCTGCTCACCTCTCCGGGCCCGTACAGCGCCTCGCCTCCCCTGAGCGCCGAAGACCTCCCGCCCTCCTCGTCGTGCGAGCGAAGCTCTCAAGGGCCCCTTTCAATCTATCTTTAATATCGTCATAGCTTCGACCCGCTGTGCCATCTCCTCGGCTGGCTGGCCTGATTCCACGTGTGCCGTCTTGACATTATCCCCCATTGCCCAACGATATATCCACTGCTGCAGTTTTTCTTTTCGATTTCGAGCAGTCAATTGAGTCGCAGTTAGTCAGGCACCTGCTTGCTCTCAGTCATCCCCGCGACCTGCTCTATACCCAAGCTCCGGTTGCCCCAAACCTTAACTCCGCAAACCTGAAAGCGCAGGACAGGAAAAAGAACCCGAGACGCCCTCGGCCTTGTAATCAACATCGCATTGCGTGTAGCCTTGCAAATAGATCATGTCCAGATTCTCACGAGCCGCTGGCCTGGCCCGGCGCATTGCCCTGCCCACCACCGCCGTCGCCGTGGGTGGTGGCGCTCTTCTATACTACTCGTACAAACCCCGAAACATACCCGGCTACGAGGGGCCCGTCGTCCCCCCGCCCATCTTTGGCGCCGATGGCACATTCAAGCTGCCCAAGTTCCCCAAGGTCAAGTCGCGCGAGGAGCAGATCGCTGCCCTCAAGAAGAGCGTCGACCCGAGCGAGGAATATGACATTTTGGTCATTGGTGCCGGCGCGACCGGCGCCGGTGTGGCGTTGGACGCCGCGACCAGAGGCCTGAAGGTCGCCATCGTCGAGCGGGATGACTTCAGCAGCGGCACCAGCAGCAAGAGCACCAAGCTGGTACACGGTGGTGTGAGGTATCTCGAGAAGGCCGTCTGGAACCTGGACTACTCGCAGTACCAGCTGGTGAGGGAAGCCCTGAAGGAGCGCAAGTACTTCTTGCAGACCGCGCCGCACCTGAGCATGTGGCTGCCCATCATGCTGCCATTGGACAAGTGGTGGAAAGCCCCTTACTATTGGGCCGGCACCAAGTTCTACGACTTGCTCGCTGGCAGTGAGGGCATTGAGAGCTCTTATTTCTTGACCAAGAGCAAGGCCATCGATGCCTTCCCCATGCTCAAGCGGACAGACCTCGTCGGAGCTCTGGTCTACTACGATGGTGCTCACAATGACTCGAGAATGAACGTCTCCCTCGCCATGACCTCTGCTCTCTATGGCGCCAACATCGTCAACCACGCCGAAGTTACCAGCCTGCTCAAGGACGACAGGGGCAAGGTCTGCGGTGCCACCGTCCAGGACCGCATCCCCGGCCTGAACGGCCAGAGCACCCAGGACTTCAAGGTCAAGGCCAAGTGTGTCATCAACTGCACCGGTCCTTTCTCGGACTCGATTCGGAAGATGGACGACCAAGAGTGCAAGGAGATCGTCGCTCCTGCTTCGGGTGTGCACGTCATCCTGCCGGGATACTACAGCCCAGCCAAGATGGGACTGCTCGACCCGTCGACTTCCGATGGACGTGTCATTTTCTTCCTGCCGTGGCAGGGCAACACCATTGCAGGAACAACGGACTCGCCTGCAAAGGTCACCAACAACCCTCTACCTGACGAGGAGTCGATTCAGTGGATCTTGAAGGAGGTCAGCCACTATCTGTCTCCCGACATCAACGTCCGCCGCGGTGATGTGTTGGCCGCCTGGTCGGGTCTGCGTCCCTTGGTCAAGGATCCCAAGGCAAAGAACACAGAGTCTCTGGTGCGAAACCACCTGATCGACGTCTCCGAGTCGGGCTTGATCACCTGTGCCGGTGGCAAGTGGACTACCTACCGCCAAATGGCCGAGGAGTGTGTCGATGAGGCCATCAAGGAGTTCAAGCTGCAGACTAAGCCGTTCATCAACGCCCCCCGCGTAAGCGGTACCGAGGAAGTCGATGACGGTGCCATCCTGGATGGATCGTGCCAGACGCACAACGTTCGACTGATCGGCGCCCACGGTTTCAGCAAGACCTTGTTCATCCACATCATCCAGCACTTTGGGATCGAGACGGATGTTGCGAAGCACCTGACGGAGAGCTACGGAGATCGGGCCTGGACAGTAGCTTCCATGTGCAAGCCCACGGACAAGCGATTCCCCGCCCGCGGCGAGCGCATCGCGGCTCTGTATCCCTTTGTCGACGGAGAGATCCGCTACGCCGTGAAACACGAGTACGCCCAGACTGCTGTGGACGTCATCGCTCGGAGAACGAGATTGTCTTTCTTGAATGCTCAGGCGGCTCTGGAGTCCCTGCCCAAGATCATTGATATCATGGCCGAGGAGTTGAAGTGGGACAGCCGCCGCCAAGAGAGAGAGTGGAAGGACAGTAAGTTTTTCTTTTATTTATCACTAATTGCGAGTTTTATCATTGCTAACAAATCACTAGCTGTCACCTTCCTGCAGTCCATGGGCCTGCCTGAGCCGATGCTCTCGACGACGAGAAAGCAGGTCGAGAGCAGGAAGCTGGACTTCTCCAGCTCGCTCGAATACAAGATGTACTCGAGGCACGACAAGCCCATCGAGGAGTAAAGAGGAGTAACCTTGTCATTTGTGTGCTATATCATCCAGGGTCTAGACGGTTGGGCGGAGCAAATCGGTTGGGATCCTTTGAAAGACCTGTTTTATTAGAGCGCATTTGGGAGGCGAGCTTGTGTGTTGTACCAAAAATGGGCCAAGTCTAGCCCAATTAGATGTTTTAATGCTATGGAGACCTGGTCCCCGTTTCTTGAGTATTCCGCTCCGTTTTCCGCCAGACTTGGCGCGCTTTATACTCACGACATCCTGACACGGAAAACTATCGAACGCAGAATCTAGTTGCTTTCATTTCCACATGTCCGTTCTGGAGTCCTCGATGGTACTACGGGTCTGTTTTGGCCCCTTCGGCCCAGGTGCCTCCTCCCATGATAAGACCACACCACGACAGCAATATTTCTCCTATCTCTAAACCTACGCCCTTGGGCCCCTGCTTCCCCCTGAGGGCACCGTCACTATCTCTTCCGGTCCTGCATTCTTTGCTGCGGCCCCGGTCCCGTGCGCCGCTTCCTGGCCGACCTGCGCCTCGGCGACGCGCTGTTCGACGGCAGGGTGCGAGTTCGGGTCCGGAGACAGACCATACCAGGCCACGACCATGACGCCGAGGATCCCCGCCAGGCAGCTGAAGGCCAGAGCAACCTTTCCGCGGGTTGTGAATCTGTGCGTCGGGCAAGCAAAGTCAGTCAAAATGGACAGTGATTCAAAAAGGCTGTGAGGGAGATCAGAGACTGGGGCAACTCACCCTTCGGGCAGCGGGTCCGGGGCGCGGTTCTCGCCCGCCAGATCCAGGACGTCGACCGTGTTGCCAGCAGCGTTGCCGGCCGTCGGGATGCCGCCGGCCGAACACACGTCGTAGTGGGACTGGGGGATGGTGAGAGTCTTCTGCAGATCGAGCGGCGCCTCGACGATGGTCGCCATGAGCCCGGAAGTGACGTGCCATTCGATGTGGCAGTGGAACAGCCAGATACCTGACGGCGAGCCCTGTTAGAACACCGGGTTGCAGCCCGAACTAGCTTGAAGGTCCTCTCTTACCTGGATTATCTGCCTGGAAGCGAAGCACGATGTTGCCATCGGGGTATAGCACAAGGGTGTCCCGGCGCATAGGGATGGCCGGGAAGTCTGCCTCGGTGATGTTGGAGTCTTCAAAGGTGCCGGCTTCCTCGTCGGATCGGTAAAGCGCCTGGAAGGCGTGGCCGTGAAGATGGAACGGGTGGCGTCCCGAGTCCAGGTTGTTCACGACGATCTGGACCACCTGGCCCTTTTCGAGCACGAAAGAATTGGTGTAGTCTCCATACACCAAGGGATTGCTCGCATGCTCGCCGGTGGACAAGGCCGTGTAGAGGGTCGGCACCTTGGGCGCGGTATAGGTGATGTTGTTGAAGAAGGCACTGGTGTCATGTCAATCAAAATGCTCCATATTCGAAACATTGAAAGGGTGAACCTACTAGTTTGCACCATCCCCAAGATTGTCCATGATGACATCTAGTTCGATGGTTTGGTCAGGCTCCCCCAGCAATGTCTGATTATCCCAGGGGATGAGCGTCATATCATCGAATGGGTTGAGTTCATCGACGAACGCAGCATCCGGGAATGCGGCGTTACCATCGTAGACAAGCCAGCCAGTAACGTTGTAGTTCAAGTCGTCGGGGAGCGTATCGAACAGTGTCTTTGGAGAGTCAGCGAGATTTTCAACCAGTGACTATGGGGCCCATGCCGCAGACTCACCGTGTCCATGCTCCCAACGAACGCATAGTTTGCCGACGTCTCATTCTTGGTCGTCAATAAGAAACTACAGCGCTGAGCTGCGGAGAGGTATATCATGTCCGCGACAGCTGGCTGTGTATAGACACCGTCGACTTCGACAATTGTCATATTGTGCCCTTCAAACCACACATACTGACCGGCAAAGGCACCGATGTTTATCACCCGGACAAGGTAGGTTTTCCCTGGCTGGATAGCAACCTTCAAGTTCTGGGTTTCATTGAACAACGCGTTGTTCGGCACAGGCTCGGCTCCTGTCGGATTACTCTTGCTGATGAAGCCGGGGAGCAGGTCTGTCATTAGATCATGGTACCAGTCGGACACCGTCAAGACTATCTCTTCGTCATACTGGCCGGTAAACGGCGAGTCGGGATCGTGTATGATGAGAGGGCCGCGCAAGCCATCTGGGTACTGCCCACGAGTGTGGGAATGGTACCAGTACGTGCCGGGTTGGGTGATCTACAGAAGTCAGCACAAGCAGGCTAACTTGGTAGGGCGACGGAAGTTGACTCGCTGTGAAGTTATAGGTGAAGCTCGAGCCTGGCTGGATCGCACACTGAGTTACCTGCGCTGGGCCGTCCATGTGCGTTGTGCCGTTCATGTATAAGCCATGGAAATGCAGGGAAGTGGTCTCATTGCCAAGCGAGTTCTTGACATGAACAACAACATTGTCCCCGACGTTGGCAACGATTGGGGGTATCGGCCATTGGCCGTTTATACCTATGGTAGGTCGATCAAAAGCGCCATCTGGGTTCGCCGTCACCCAAGTGACGTCGAAATCGTACGTGACTGTGGCTGCAGACGATATCCCAAGCAGAGCAGTTGCCCAGATGCAGCAGACATGGAACAGTCTCGTGGACAACATCGTTGGCAGTATCTACCACATGTACATAGCAACAAAGAGAATTTGTAAATACAGCAGAGGGCGCACAGCTGTGATGTCTTCCGTTCATAAAGAGGCGCAACAACGTCTCACCACAAATCTCGGATGGGGAAGTGCCCTCAGGTCTACACCAGCAATGGAGCTAGGCGTCCAAGTGCCCCGTCCGACCTCGGAAAACTCGAAGACATTCTGGGCACATTGCTTCCGCGCAGCAAGGGTGCCATCAACTTCGCTAGGCGATGATGCATGAAACGGGCAAAGTATCTTATCAATCTCATCTGATAATGCAAGGATGCATGGGGTAAGGGTGTGCGCACCTTCCGGTTAGGTGCCAAGCTATACATTCACTTATCTGATGCAAAATCAGCCCGAGTGACGAGCCTGCAGCTAGGATTGGTCCTCGACGCAATGTAGCGTCATTAACTCACACTGGTCGACCTATCGTCAAGGGACTTGGTGGAGATCGGATGCTAGTCTATGCCGCAGGTGATTCAAACCCGAAAATTTCAATAATGTGGCTTCAGCCGTTCGTCCAAGTAGGTATAGGCCAGACTGGACCCCAAAAATCTCTGCAGCTGACGGCGTGAATGCTAAGGCGGCGGGCCGTGGTGAGAAGCCGTGACGATACAGGTGCCGTCTGAGTAACAGTCGGCCACGAAGAGGTGACCACGGTGAGCCCGGGAAGACAAAGGTATACGTATAGTTGGCCGGAGCGCCTTATATGAGTGCTGATTGTTGTGAAGTGCAGACATGGGGAGGCCGGCGATGGCACTTGTGCCACCTGCATCGTCGCTGTCGGGTCTTGTTGTCGAAAACAACCGGAGCTGCTCCCCCACCTCACTGCAGGTTAAGCGATGCCAGTGGAAGCCCATTGGGGATGCTGTGCTGTGTATTCAGGCTGAGACAAGCCCCCGGACAGGGATGCCAAAGCTTAATTGCACTAACGACGAAAATCGCTGCAGCTACGGCGCACCGAGTCGTATGACTTTGGGATCACAAGTTAGTCGTGCTTTCGGTCTCTCGAACCGACTTGCGCCGTAGTGGGAAGCGGTGAGCGAGATGTCAAGCTGGCACAGAGCCTCCGTCCTCTGAAACAGCAACGAGGAGCGTCGTGTCGGGGTAGAACACAAAAACATACGGGTGGGAGAGCAGGCATCAGAACAACTGCCGTGCAGCGACAGTTTTATCGATTTGATCTGATAAAAGCCCTTGGCACGCAGCTGCAGCCCCCTCCCCTCGTCGATCCTGGGCTTCCCCAAATTTGAAGGTAGCACCAAAGGGGAAAGCGGACGGGGCCCGCGGGCCTTGGGTGACAGTAGGGGAAAGCTTGACGAAGCTTGACCTGCGAAGCTAAGACCTTCCTGTCGCCAGCTCCATCGTGCGGAAATACGCAGTCTAGATCTGTTGCTAGAGCTGCCTGGCCTGCGCAAACCCACCGGCGGTGGGGTGATCACATCGAAGACATCTTCGGGCTGTTGACTTCTGACGGCGGTGGGTGTCGCCGATTGCCAGCCAATGCTTCCAACGACGGGAGAGCAACTCACAGGTGGCTGGCTGGAATTGACTTTACCTAGGTAGGTACCTTTCAAATCATGGTGGCCTTCAAACAAGGTGATCCTTGGCAGCCCAATCCGAGTATTCATTCGTGTCAGAAGTGCATCCCGCACCATGCCGCCTAGATATCCCAAGCTAGCCAGGGCGCGCTCCAGAATGGAACGATGCACCTACGCACCGGTGGGAAGTACATGCCGAGCTTTCTGTTAGCCTTGAACTCACAGTTGGGTTTCACTCCATCCGTGATCGGAGACTATCCTGCATCGAGTCCCGTACACCCAGGCCAGCGCGCCTCCCGCCGTTGCGACCCTGTTTTGCAAATCTTATCAGATCAATTTAATCAGATCCGCCGACAGACGCTTTCGTTGGCCCAGGGTTGTCAGTTCCAGTTTCCAACATCGCTTATTTCATGCCCTCCTCGTTTTCCTGATTCTATATAACACCAGACATTGGATGCGATAATATCCTTGGCTTGTCAGATCACACTGAAAATTGGCACAATGCCCGACGTATTCTCCGTGCCCGTCTTCTTGATCGTCTTCCGAGAGACTTTGGAGACGGTCATCATCGTGTCTGTTCTCTTGGCCTTTCTCAAGCAAACTCTCGACGGGCCAGATCGAGATGTCCAAGTGTACAAGAAACTAGTGAAGCAGGTAGAGCATCACCCGTACTCTGGAAATCGACCAACTAGACTGATCACTCTGCATCGCTAGGTATGGCTGGGCGTTGGCCTGGGCCTTCTTATCTGCTTCGTTGTCGCCGGAGGCTTGATAGGCGCTTTCTATACCCTGGGGTCGAATACCTGGGAGGCAAACGAGTACTACTACGAAGGCGCATTCGCCTTGGTCGCGTCCATCATCATTACAATAATGGGCGCAGCCCTGCTTCGGGTCGGTAAGATGCAGGAAAAGTGGCGTGTCAAGCTGGCGAAAGCTCTGGAAGCACCAGTAAAGACGAGCGGCCCGAGCAGCGGTTGGTTCAAACGCTTCGCAGAGAAGTACGCCATGTTCGCTTTGCCGTTCATCACCGTGCTTCGTGAAGGCATCGAGGCGATCGTCTTTGTTGCAGGCGTGACATTTTCAGCTTCTGCTACAGCTATTCCTCTCCCTGTTGTCGTCGGTCTGATAGTAGGCGTTCTGGTTGGATACATTCTCTACAAGTAAGTCTTCTCAATAAGAATGGTACCGCCCGTGGATGCTGACTATGAACAGAGGAGGATCTTCAGCGAAGTTGCAGTATTTCCTGGTCGCATCTACCTGTCTCCTCTACCTTGTCGCAGCGGGCTTGTTTTCGAGGGCGGTATGGTATCTGGAGACACAACAGTGGAACAATGTAGTGGGTGGTGATGCCGCAGAGCTGGGCGACGGAGCTGGGTCGTATGACATTGATAAGAGTGTCTGGCACGTGAACGTAAGTTGTTGTCAGCCATGATCACGTCGAATGAGACTAACACGTACCGAAATGCAGTGCTGTAACCCGGAATCCAATGATGGGAGTGGCTGGGGCATCTTCAATGCCATTCTTGGCTGGACGAACTCGGCGACTTATGGCTCAGTCATCGCGTACAACGTCTACTGGATTTTTGTCATGGCCGGCTTTTTCGTAATGAGATTCCGTGAGGTCAAGGGGCATTGGCCCTTCATGAAGGCCAAGTCATCGTCGACAAAGAGTCCTCATGCAGCTGAAGACAGCGGGAACGAGGCTGTCCACGGAACCACTGGGTCAGAGAAGGTGGCCTCGTCGTAGATTCAGTCCCACGCCGCTTGCAGTTGAGATAGTTTCCAACGGACTCTGATAGCCTATTGGGAGATTTCTTGTCTCGCCATAGAATCATCAGCTCCCTATATGCGAATGAAATTCGGGTTTATGTGCTTGCGTTCTGTCTGTTGGACTTGACTCTGCTGGTTCCTGTCGCGACTGACGGCTTATCGAGTAATGCAACGTGTATGCGCTATTTGAGGGTCATCTCATACTAAGGTGATGCGTATCGAACTATTTTCGCTTTTCTTCTAGCACTGATAACTCACCAGTTATCCAAGAAACCGGCGAGAGTGACTATTGCCGCCTGGATAGATGTTCCAGGGTGGACCTCCATGCTTACGCTCTGATTGGCTCTACAGATACAATGGCCTCCTGGTTCTCCACGTTAGGCGGCGACCCAGTTAGGTTCTCATGTCATCATCGCAACAGCACAAGGCTGCCAGTTCGGCTTTTTCCGAGCAGCTACTTAAGGATAAATAACCCCTGAAGCATTGTTTGGATTGCTTCAGGCAGCCGCATCTGCCACAGTTTGTGATACGCTCGCCACTCGCGGTACAGAGAGACGCGGCCGGGGAGCACGGGAACCGGGAAGTCGGGCTCATGACGACTTCACTTTCTTGCATTCTGAAGGGACTGCCTCACACTGGAGACCGACCGAATGGACAGGCCTGGAGGCAGCGGAGCGCCGGATGGAGATTCGTTGGAGGCCGGGCCCGCGGCGGACTTGCCGAGAGTGGTTGAGATCGCAGAGGCCGGGGACCTAATATTGGACCTCTTGTTTGAGAACTCAAAAGCTACTTTGAAGTCGAGTCGGAAAACCACGCCCATTCTGGCTGATCGATCTGTAAACCCTGCTAAGGCCAGGAGTCGCATCGGGTTCCGGGTTGACCTCGCGATACTGAAGAAGCAGTCCAAGTACTTTGAGAAGCTGCTGGGAGACAGCCGCTTCCAAGAGGCAAACTTGATCACCTCCGCGTTGGAAGCGCTCTCTATTAAGGGCATACAGCCAAAGTCGGCCGACATCAGGGACCTCCCGTGGGTCAAGATCACAGATGACGATGAAGCCACCCGGCTGGCGCACCGCGAGGAGGCGTTTGGCGATATGCTTAGGGTCCTGCACGGGAAGGGCGTCGCAACGGAGCCAGTGACCCTGGATTTCACGGCTACCCTGGCCGTTCTGGCCGACCGTTTCGACTGCGCTGCTCCCGTGTCCAAGATCATGGCCTCGGGCCTGAAGTTGAAGTGGCCCGTCACCCAACGGAAATCCCTGGCAGGGGAGGACTCGAAAATGAGCCGCAGCGCCGAGAACGCCCTGCGGCAGAAGATCCTGATATCGTGGCTCTTGAACCAGCCCACGAGGTTCCAGGCCGCCACGCGGGAGTTGATCATGAACGGATCGAGGAAATGGACGGCGTTCCCAGAGCCGGACGACGGCACCGAGGAGGCAACCTGGTGGCACCTGCAAGATGGGCTGGAACGTGAGTTTCCCGGTTCCTCCAACCCCTATCCCGTACCCCTTACCCCTGACCCTGGACCCCTGACCCGTATGCTGAGCAAGTTAACCATCGAGTGCAGAAGAGCTCCAGTTCCGGCGCGAGTGCATCCTCAACACGATCGCCTCGGTGCCGCGGCACTTCCTGACGCTGTACACGTCGCGGGCGCGGCAGTGCCAGCTGGGCTACGACTCGAGCGCGGCGTGCGACTCGTACCAGCTGGGGGAGATGTTCAAGTTCTTCACCAACCGGGGCCTGCTGTTCGCCGTCGACTTCTCGCCGGCGTCGCTGGACCTGATCGCCGACACGGCGCTGCTGCCCGTCGACGTCGTGCTGGCCGCCCTGCGCCAGTGCCCCAGCTACCAGATCGACAAGAACCACATGAACTGCGGCCTGCGCACGCGCATCGTGCCCATCCTCGACTTCGTCAAGGCGCTGCTCTCGGCCAACTCGGTGCCGCTCAGCCGGCTGCCGTGGAAGAACGACCGCCAGAGGACGGCGTGGCTGCCGCGCGAGGGCGCCCGGGAGGACGTGCGGGAGGCGAAGCCTTTTCAGTTCACTCGGGCCATGTCCAATGACCAGAGGCTCCGGTTCGAGCACGCTATGGGAGCCGACAAGTTTGCCAGGGACGTGTTTACTGCACCGGGATGGATCTGGACCGAGTCATAGACTACCAGCGCTACAATATAGACGCCCCCGTACGCCACCATGGTAATAGGCATTTAACATGACAATCTAGCAAGGTTTCGAATTCCGCACGGGTATGAACGGGGTTCAATTTTGAGCGACTACCCTCGTGCAGTCTGTTTCTTCCATTACTATAATCCTACACGCCATCTGCGGCGAATGAATACAAATGTCAATACTGATGCTGTCTATAGTGTCACGCCAACCCATGCAAAAATTTCCCTATCCGTGTTCTCATCGCCCACAGCCCTGGTGCCGCAAGCCTCTACCAAGTACCTTATCGGGGCAGTCTGCCTTGCCGCCGCGATTCTTTGGGTGAAAAGAACGAACAAAACTGCCTCCTCTTTTTCGTCGCGAATGCTAATGCAAATCAATTTTTTTTTTTTTCGCTGTTCGCATTTCCAAGTTGCGTCGCCAACAAGGGTATCTCCGTAATGACAGTCACGAAAATCCATAATGCGATCCTCCTCTATCCCTGGTATATCATTCAGGATCACGTATCGCAACCATAGCCAAGAACGTTAAGTGGTCGCATTCTGGCGACCTCAACCAGTGTGGCGCCGCGTCTCCTCTACGCCGCCTTCGGCTTGGCTTTTTCCGGTCTGGGCAAGCCAGCTGCTTTCCTCGCAGCGATATCGCCCTCGGCAAGCCACTTGCTGGCCTTGATCAGCTGCACGATGTTGGTGAACTGCTTGAAGGCCATGATGGGAAAGCTGACGCCGGTCAGAACCCAGGGCCAGAAGGAGTCCATCTTGTTTGCGCGGGCCAGCTCGAGGGCCCCGGCGCTGTAGGGGTTTGTGAACAGCTGGCGGAGCATCGAGCTGTTAACCTGGGCTCCATTCTGGATCGCGGCGGCCTTGGACTCGCCCACATGCTCCAGGAGCTGTGGGGAGAGTAAGGGCGAGGAGAAGGAGAGCAGGTAGAGGCCGATGAAGAAGAGCTCGTTGGCGGCACAGGCGACGAAGAGAACAGTCTATAGGGGCAGCAGGTCAGCACGGAGAGAGGCGTATAATGTCCAAGTAAGCGGACCGACCTTGTTTGTGTAGTATAGGTTCAACAGCCAGCTCCTTGACTTGTCGACGGACTTGTGGCTCTGGTTGGACCCACCCATGGCCAAAGTTGCGTACATGTGAATGTAATGGCTGGCCAGATCGAGCGAAATTAGGCCCTGGAAGACAATGGACCATCGCGGGAAGGCCGAGGCCAGGAACACGATCAGACACGAGGTGGTGCATCGGTCAGTCACCATGTCCAGCACGGCGCCGAACCTGGTCGACTGTTCGAAATAGCGGGCAGCATAGCCGTCGAGGGCGTCGAGCAGGCATGACACGCTATACAAGACCGAACATGTGCGAGGGTGTAGTGGCATGTAGTAGAGAGAGGCAATGCCGAGGACGATTCGGAAGTACCCTGTCGGTTGGTCGCAAGCCGCATCAGCCCCAAGTCCACACAGCATTGATTCAGAGGGTCCGCGTTTCGCGGAAGGCAGGCTCGTCAGGAAGATAACGCACCTATGATGTTGGGCCAGAAGAGAAAGATGTTCTCCTGGGGGGCGCGGCGCCCAGCTGCGGGAGTGGCATCGAGCTCGGGGACGGCACCGTTGCCGCTGGCGCTCACGGGGCTGTCTGGAGCTGTTGCCGGTGCTGTCGCCGTAGCCGGGGCCTTCGTGGGCGTCTCGTTGGCAGCAGCAAGGGCTGCCTGTCGTCGGGTTTGGCGCACAGACATGATGTTGTTCCTGGACGATTACGAGCCGTTCATCCGCCAGCAGGTGATAAGAGAGATGGAGTTGTCGTTGCTGCGCGGAGGGATGACGGACCGCGGATTTCAGGAGTCGAGGTCGCGGTTGGCTGCGTTTGGTAAGCAGCAGTAGCAGAAGCACGGACAGTTGGCGAAACGTAGGTTGAAGCTTGGCCTGTTGGTTCAGGATCTGAGCTTGCGCTTATCAGGATGGATGGATGGGCAGATGGCGCGGGGAAGCAGGGACGGCGGGAGATGGGTGCCCGGGGTGCACGCGAACGAAGAGGTCGAAGATAACGAGCTGGCTGTATGTACTGTAGGTCTGTACTGTCCGTCACTGCAGTCGGGTGTTCACCAGGAGGGGGATAAGTTGCTGTAAGTTGGAAAGATTGCCCAGATAAGGCCAGCTCGGCATCGTCGGAGCTGCTGATTGCCAGGGTCCCGGTCCCAGTCCCCGTCCCCGTCCCCGTCACGTCACGCCAGCGCCAGTCGACGACGATGCAAGAGGCGACCGCCTGCAGACGCCCAATGGAATGGAAGCTGGCCCAGGGGCCTGGGGCCCGCTGAAAAGATTTCGAGAAGTGCGGGTCACGTATATAACTTGAGTGCCAAGCCATGACTTTTCCCACTTTCAGTAAAAACTAGCTACGTAAGTCGAGGTCGGAAGGGAGAAGGGGAGAGGGCATGACGACATTTTCATCTTTCCGCAGTATACAGTAATGCCGTCTCCCGACTGAGGTGGTAGTCAGACGTCGACGTGCCGGGAGAGAACATCATACCCAACGGCAGAAATCCAGAATACCCACGGTGCCTTATGGTTTACCTTTACTGATCCCCGTTTCTTCTGCGGCATCCCGAGCCCCGTGCCGCATCAGCCATCCGCGGCCAGACTGACCTCCACCTGGAATTATTGACTATGGCAGGCAATTGAGAGGAGCTTTGCTGGGCTTCCCCTGTTTCGCCCTCTCTGTCTGTCTCTCTCTCGCCCTGCCTGCCTCGCCGTGCCCAGCGCAAGCCGTGCAAGCTGCAGCTGGCCTGCAGATGCAGTTGGCACCCACTAAAAGCATCCCGAGGGTTTGGTAGCTCGCGCTAAAACGCCTGCAGCAGAAGCGACGCCTGCCCGCTCTGGGATGCATATCGCTGCCAGACATGGGGGGCCTGGGGGATGCCGTGCCAGTCAAAACCGCCAACTAACTTACCATAGCAGCTATTGGGTGTGCACCCAAAATGAGTGAGAGAGCTCAAGATGCGACGAGACCTGGACATGGCCTGCCGCGCATACGGTCTTTCTGGCCATCAGCTGGACAGGCGGCACAATTAATAACTGGGTCGGGACTCCGGAAACGAGACTGCTCCGACCTGTGAGGTGCATGTACCTTGAGGTTCGCGCTGATGTTGATCGGCCAAAATTCAATGTCTGGACTAATAGTCATCCTGTCCACCATGGCTGCCTTTAACTTGATTGAGCCTTCCTCCCGCATCTGGGCAGTCTGAATTGACTTTACTGAGCATCGCGCGTCCGTCAGCTTTCCCTGGGCCGTCACGACACAGAGTTCAGCTCGCCACGAATCCCATGTTTAAGCCTGGCTACCAAGGTCGTTCCGAGCCCCGGTTCCGAGCCCCGGCTGTAAACTGAGGGCTGCCTTTCATCACCTACATGTGCTGATTGACGATTATTACAGCGTACCACAGAACAGTTTTGAGAGACCTAGAGGCGAAACGGCAGATCCCGCCTGCTTGTCCTACGATGGGCTTCCCCAGGTCGGATCAAGCCCAGAGTTTTGCTAGTTCAGAGTTTCGCACATGTCACCCGTGCTGTCAACTAAGGCTAACACCGCACTGGATGTACGACATCAGGCCACAGCAGCCAGGCGGAACAGGCGCCGGGTCGTTCCACTTCACAACCTGACACCACATAGAGTTGGGTACAGCCAGGCCTAGGAGGGCCGGCACACTTTCTTCAAGCCACCATGAAGCCATGGTCGCTTAGCTGTGAGCTTCGTACGCCTATAATAATCGCGAGCGTAAAAGATCGCGCCTCGCTTGGCACCCTACGGTAGCACTGCGCTACCGAATGGAACGGCCAGATGATCGCTTGGGGAAATGCCTCGATTGGGGTTGCCTGCCCATCTCTCCGACTGGTTTGACCGGAGAGGACAGCGGAAATAGTCGCTGCATCTTTTGCGTCTTCTGGTCGTGGCGTGGCTGCTCGGCTGATTGCCAAACGAATCTTTCGACACTGTATGCAATATGCTGGCCAAACTTCAGACGATGCGGCAAGCGACAGCCGGCCCAAAAAGGAGTAACATCGCAGGACGATCCCATCTGTACCCTAGTCAGCCCTGGGCCTGCCTGGGGCCCCCTAGCAGAAGGGGAGACAAAAAAAAAGGGCAGATCTAGACCCAACAACCGACGTTAGGGCGGAGTTGTCTCACGGAACGCCGTCTCATTGGGTTTCCTCTGGGACATGCCGAGAGGTGCTTGCTGTCGAAAGGACAGACAATGCCCCCTGCGCAAGCGTCAATACGTCACGTTTCCAAGGGTCCAGTCACCAAAAGGCATGCCCCTTCAGTAGCTGGGTCGGGGTCTTATTGGACGCGTAAGTTAGTTAATGGCCAGTGCAAGCATTTGGGTAAGTTATTGTACAGAAACCAAGGTATCGTCTGAATCATCAGATGCCTTCAAGTTGGAATAGCGACTGATGATCACTTGGTCGATACGTCTCCCCACCATCAGCGGGGACGTCGACGCCTTCGAGTACAAACCAAGGGCGTCGTGGTTCTGGTTTTCATTTGCTGTTTGCGGCTCAATTTGCAACCCACGGGTTTCGTAGTTGGCCACAGGAATAGGGGAGACGGAACGAGTCGCGAACCGCCGGCCGGGTTTCGCAATGGCTGTCCAATGAATCAAACACCGGGCCGCGTCCTAGTCATTCTGCCCTGGTGGCCTGACACCGACAGGCTGCAGCAGTCACAAGCCCGGCCCAGGTATGTACTATGTAACGTGATGCTGTACGGGGTGTCAACTGCATTTGCACAACCGTGGGTCGGGAGAGCCGACATGGGGATGGGGGTCCTGCTCTCCCCTAAGGAGCACCAGACCACACTCGGTAGACGATGCGTAGCACGACGGCAGACCAACGGGACGGAATCAGATCATGGGGGCAAGTGGCATGGGGCGGTAACCTTGGGCATGGAAGAGCCATCTCAGGGACAGCCTCGCGCAAGTCCGCAAGGTGGTCACACCGGCCTTGTCCTTGTACCCCGGACTCATGCGACGTGCTGCTGAGGCGCGGACTTTGTCAATCGATCAATGCGACTGGAAGCCGGCCCGCATGTGCTAATCTGATTTTCTTTGTCCAGCTAGCATGTATGTATGTATGCATGTACGTACGTTAAGACCCCGAGTGCATGACCGCCTAGAGACTAAAGCAAACCACTCCCCCGAAGGCCAGCAGACTAGAAAGACTCGAGGGCCTTCTTTCTGTCTTTCACTGCCGCCCGCCTCTCGTCGTGTACCACGTACGTTCGCGAGAAACCTTGCCCGACGCTCTGGCCCGCAGCCCACGTACATATTTAACTTAGCTGCATGCTGCAGTTTTAGGCGAGAGACAAGGCCCAACTCTATCGCCCGCCCGAGACCCCGAGACAGGTTGTCGCTGGGAAAGCTGAAGCTCCTCCAGCTGTCACTGTTCCGGGTGCAACTCGTATATTTTCCGCACTTGGGGGACTCGAATCGTCACTTCAACCTGGGCGAAATTGCACGTCAAGCGAGGGCGCCCGTCCTGACCATCTCATCTCCTTGGTCACCCCCAGCGGAACCAGCGATACCCCGGGCAAGGCAAATTGACGTCAATCCCGCTCCACCGCCCTACCAAGGCCCACGGTTAGGCCTATCACCGCCAGTCGGTCGTGAAAGAAAATCGTCCCGCACCGCCGGCCACTCGACCACTCGACCACCTGTCAGTCGGGCATCTAGTGTGCGGTCTAGCCTCTGCGACACAAATTCGTTTCCCATCGCATGAACTGTTCATTCCAGTCTGGCCTGACGACGACGACCAAGGCCTCCCCGAAAAGACACGAGCGGCCCCAAGCCATTGCGCCCCACGCCACAGCATAAACCCCCTCGACCAGACTCCATTCCTACCAAAGCCCGTTGCCCACGATCCTACTGGGTAACCTTTGGTTTCTGTTGCAATCACACAACCACACAAATAGCGGCGGTCACGACGACGACGACGACAACGACGACGACTAAGACGACGACTACGACGACGGCTACTACTACAGCAGCGTCGACCTCGCTCCCACTTCTTCCCTAACATCCTCCCACACGGTCGACACCACACAGCCCGCCACCATGTCTGCAGATCGGCCTCGCCATTCGACCCTCAAGGCCAGCTTTGCCGACCGGGCCGCCAAGGTCTCACACCCTCTCACCAACTACCTCCTCCGCCTGATGGAGTTGAAAAAGTCGAACCTGTGTCTCAGCGCCGACGTGACCACCGCCCGCGAGCTCATCTACCTGGCCGACAAGATCGGGCCGTCCATTGTCGTCCTCAAGACGCACTATGACCTGATCGCCGGCTGGGACTACAACCCGCAGACGGGCACCGGTGCGAAGCTGGCCGCCCTGGCCCGGAAGCACGGCTTCCTCATCTTCGAGGACCGCAAGTTCGGCGACATTGGCAGCACGGTGCAGATGCAGTACACCGCCGGTTCGGCCCGCATCATTGACTGGGCACACATCGTCAACGTGAACATGGTTCCGGGCAAGGCGGCGGTGAGCGCGCTGGCCGAGGCTGCAGCCAAGTGGAGATCGCGTGTCAATTACGAAGTCAAGACGTCGGTGAGCGTGGGCACCCCTGTGGCCGATGCGTTTGAGGAGAACGGCGTGTCCGAATCCGAGGACGACGACCGCCTGGGGCCGCTGGACGCCAACGGCACCCAGAACACGTACCACCGGGACGCCGACGGCAGGAAGGGGAGCATCGTGTCCATCACGACCGTCACCCAGTCCTTCGAGCCGGTCGACTCGCCCCGGTTCGCCACGACCACCGAGGAAGGAGACGAGCTCGTGTATGCCGGCATCGAGGAGCCTCCGTACGACCGCGGGCTCTTGATCCTGGCGCAGATGTCGAGCAAGGGCAACTTCATGAATGCCGAATACACGCAGGCCTGTGTGGAGGCGGCGCGGGAGCACAAGGACTTTGTCATGGGCTTCATCTCGCAAGAAAGCCTCAACAGCGAGGCGGCCGATGACTTTATCCACATGACGCCCGGGTGCCAGCTGCCGCCGGAGGGCGAGGAGGAGAACGGGGTGGTGGCCGGCGACGGGCTCGGCCAGCAGTACAACACGCCGTCGAAACTCGTGCAGATCTGCGGCACCGACATCATCATCGTCGGGCGCGGCATCATCAAGGCCGCCGACCCCCAGAGCGAGGCCGAGCGGTACAGGCGGCGCGCGTGGCAGTCGTACCAGAACCGGATAGCGGTGAAATAAAAGGGGGAGGGGGAAGGGCTCGGCGTGGGTCGGACGGCAACATGCCAGGTATCTCAAGATGATTGATGTTTTGATTTTGAGCTTGGAGTTTTGGGCTTTGCACTGCATCCACCCATGCCCGATTGCCACGCGACTGGCCGGCTCTGGGAACCCGACTGCGGTTCTGCGAGCAGGCCCCGTGAAATCGAGACACGGGGGCATTTAGCTTAGTTGAATGGACCTGGGGTTTGCCGTTTGAGCGGCGGCGAGATGTCCAGCCTGCAGCTTACTTGTACCACATGTATGTAGCACATTGGTACAGGTGCTATGGCCCAGCACCTATATAATACCACCATGCATTTTCCGTACGCGAGTCAGGCCCAACTGCAGGACCAAAGATCTACGTGTGGTACGGCGGCGTGAACCTGGACCAGACGGGAAGAGCAGTCTGAGTAAGCACTGCATTTTCAATCTACGTGCCGTACCTATCTACAGTGCCTCTTCCAGCATGCGAAGCGCCAAGGGGCCGTCCAGTGGGCAGCGAAACCCTTCACGCCTTTGGACTTCGCACGGGGCATGCGCAGGTCTGCTCCATCGGGATAGCCCAATGCATAGTACATCGTCGTAGCACGGCCTAGTTAGTGCAAGGCAGTCAGAATATATCCGAGCAAGTGGGTTCCCGGCAGCAACGCCGCCAAAGCTACTGTATGTCCATATGCACAGTATAGGCAGATCGTTACTAGATAACAAAGATCCACGGATGCAGTACACTGGCGGCCGCCCCGCTTACGGACTTAACTATCCGGGTTTTAGCGGCGACAAGGGCTCAGCTTGGCGGCAGAAGGTCCCCTTCGGTGGCCAGTGACGACGCCCAGTAGGAGGCAAGGTTGGTGATTAACCTAACGTCTTTCCCTAGTGTCGCCAGGCGGGGTGCCGTACATAGCACCGTGGACAGCACACACAGACCCCGGGATCCCAGTCCACTGTCATCCTGAGATCGGATCCTTCCATGGAGCTCGACTCCTCCTCCCCGCTCCTCCTTCACCTTCTACGAGCACCCCGGCGGCAAGCAGGCTGGACAGAGATCAACACCGCGCGCGACCAGCCGCGGGGCCCAGCCTTTGGGAAGCGAGGGTTTCAGCCATCATCTACTGCGTTGCGACGCGCCGCAGGGGCGAGAGAGACGTAGAGCAGGGAGACGCCAGACGGGAACCAGCAATGGCAGATCACAGCCAGAGCGGCGGCACTGCCGTCGACGCCCTGGTGGGCGAGGTCACGCCGCCGAACGACGCCGACAACGGGGCCGCGCCGTCGAAACCACCGCCGCGCAAACGTCGCCGCGTCGTCATCTCGTGCCTCGACTGCCACAAGCGCAAGCAGAAGTGCGACCGCCAGCTGCCCTGCGCCAACTGCGTGTCGCGCGGCAAGGCCAACACCTGCCGCTACGAGACGGGCACGCCCCTGGTCCGCGACCAGCACCGCAAGGGCTCCGCCCACAGCAGCAGCAACTCCCACGAGCCCTCGCCGCCCGAGCACCACGCCGCCCACGATGCCCTGCCCATCAAGCCCGTCGACTTTGGCTACTCCAACACGGGCGCCGGCGCCTCGACGCTGGGCTTCATCAAGAAGATCGAGGGCGTCGGCGGCAGCGGCGAGCAGCCCATGCCCACGGTCGGGAGCGATGCCCAGGACGGCGAGCACTTTGGCTCCCGGGAGCGGTACAAGAGCCTCGTGCGCCACCTGCCCGCGCGGACCTTTGTCGAGAAGCTGGTCGCCATATACATGAAGGAGTTCAACTGGATGTACTACGGCTTCTGCGAGGCCGAGTTCATGGAGCAGCTCGACCAGTGGTACCAGCTGCCCTTCCATCTCCTGTCCAACGCCGGCCCCCAGGGCATAGAGCCGACGCTTCGGTCCTTTCCGGCCCTGGTGTTTCAGATCCTGGCCTCGGCCCTGCTGACCATACCGGACGAGGACGACGAGAACTTTGTCTCGCTCAAGTATGCCGGCAACATGACGTTCGAGGACCTAGCTTCCGAGTATAGCGAGACGGGTGTTGCCATACTAAGCCTGCTGGGAAAGCGGCAGATGACGGTGTCCACGGTGCTGGCCGGTTGGGTGCGGGCCGCCTTTCTCAAGTTTACCGGCCAGGTCACCGAAGCAGTAAGTTCCCAGTGCTGTGTCCTGCGAGGGCGGCGTGTAAAGGTAAACCTGGTTAACGAGTCGAACAGTGGCATCAGGTGGGCACCTCGATTCGCGATGCGCAAGAGATCGGGTTGCACCGCGACCAGTTCGACCCGCAACCGAGTGCGAACAGCAACACGGAGGCGGCGCTCGAAGCCATGTGGTCGGCGCAGACTCGCAGGAGGATATGGTACATACTTGTGAGCTGGGATCTGCATACGGGCGCCGTGCTCGGGCGGCCGACCAGCGTCGACTTCCGCGTGCTGAGGCGGACGGAACCCGTCGACGCCCCAATACCCAAAGACCGGAGGAAAACGCCCGTGTTTCCTCGCAGCGAGCAGGACCCCCCAACGCCTCTGACCCGGTCACTCTGGGCCTTTGAGGCCATGCGCCCCCTGCGCGACATCTTGGATCTGGAGAAGGAGGGGCCGTTTCCCAAGGACTTTTCCAGAGTTACAAAGCTGCACCAGGAGCTACTCGACCTTCAGGAGCGCACACCTCCTTATTTCCGCCTCGAGAATCCGGACACCCAGTTCGATCACCTGCCAGAGTGCTGGTGGCTGCCATTGGTCCGCCCGGCGCTGCCTCAGCTTATATCATTCAATTTGATGGCCCTGCACCGGCCCTACATTTTCACGCGGGCCAGCAGTCGGCATGAGGCCCTCAAGGCCAGCCTCGATATGCTGGAGGCGCAGAGGAGCCAGTTCAGGGCTCTCGATCCACAGCAGTACAAGACTTTCAGTCTGTTCTTCGGCACGTTTGATGCCATTGTGATGATGGCGAGCATCTACATCCTGTTCCCCAAGGAACACCCCGACCTTCTCGCCGACGCACTGCAGCATTTCTCCTGGGGCGTCGAGCGGTTCGAGGCCATGGCCGACCGCAACCGATTGGCGGCTGCTGCATTGGGCGTCCTGAACGCCATTTACATCCGCCTGAAGAAGGCCATGGGCTGCGGCTTCCTCGTCAGCCGGTTCTGGCCCCCTAATTTCAAGTGCCCCAACCAAGGTCCAGATCAGTGTCCGCACCGGTATCCACAGGCGCCGGGGAACGGAACCGGCGCGGCCAACACCACCACCGGCTCCGAGACGTCGCCCGACGCAGAGCCATCGGAGCGTTCCTCGTCTAACCAGCAGCATCCGTCAATACCCTCCGCCTCTGCATCAGCCTCGGCCTCGGGCTCCTCCGTGCCAGCGGACCAGGGCACAGGCACCAACACCCTGAGCTCCGGACTGACCCCCGGAGCCGACATGTTTGCCACTCCCGACTGGTCCTTCCCCACGGACTTCGATTTCAGCTCCCTCCCGCCCATGTATCCTATGGGCGACGTGGCGTACAACGACCTCACGGGCATCAGGGACGACGGCTACACGACGACGGCCATGACGGGTGGGGCATTGGCGGCCGGCGGTCAATGGCCGGGCACCACTGCCGCAGACGGAATGTCCACCATGGGAGCGGTGGCCGGCATGGGCGGTCTGGACGGCCAGGGCAATCCGGAAGAGGTGCCCTGGGCGTTCGGGGGCGAGTTTGGGAACGACACGATATGGAACCTATTAAACCAGTTTCCGCCGCACTGAGCACGTGAAATGTGCCTCTTGAGACAGGGTCGATACGGATACCTTCGGCGTTATTTGGCGTTGACTCGGCGTCTCTGAACGTAACATACCACCGGGGATGTGGAGCACCGGGTGGTGACAAAAGCGAGCTTTTCGTGTAGGCCTAACACCGGGCTTGCGAATCATGAGAGATACAGACAGCAGTGTGACCTAATCTGGAGTTGCCGTCTGGACATACCTCCGTTGAACTGGGCTATCTTGGCTCCTTACGATGACCGTGAACGAGAGTCACCATGAATATAGGGATAGATGTTGCATGTGTAGCGAATGTCACATGCAATGCAATACCGCCTCGCTAGAATGAAAACGCAAATTCACAGGCGAATATCAAGCAAAAAAGCCTACCACGTCGTTGTCCAGACAAATGCCTCTGTATCATTGCACACCCGACTCTGTGTTGCCACTACCTACTCCGGAAATGCTTCGCAGTCTATCAACAAGCCAAGAGTAGGTTTTAACCTGGAATTCATCGCAACTGTTACAGACGACCAACCGTTCACACCCCTTCCTGCCCCTAGGCATCGCCGTGCGCGGGGGGCTTTTTACCAACCGAGCTAGTCCTACATCTCGAGTATCGCGGTTTGCCAACGTCGTTTCTGAGGCGTGGTGGAAAACACGAACAAGCCACAGTCCCCTCCCCGGCACAGAGGGGACTGCAAATTCCCATACCAAATATACATATCTTTTCGTCTTGTTTCTCTCCTCTTTTTCATCCCTATTGCTGCCTCCCTCTTACAAGAGAGGGGGGATGGGAGGGAAACTAACACAATTTCTTTTTTTTCATATTCACTCGGGAGCCTTCTTGCCACCCTTCAGCTTGGTGCCGGGGGGATGTTCGTGCGAGTGAAATTTACAATATGGATGTGTACAAACGCCATTTAGCACACTGGGACACTGTGGACACCGAGTCAGCAAAAGGTCACACAGAAAGAGAGAGCCTCTGGCGGGTTCGACGGATGGGTAAGGTAATGCCATCAGGCATATCAGCCCATACATCAGCCGGGAGGGGGTAAACTTACGTGATGTCCATATATGCAGTTATCCACATCGCAGTCCTGGCCGTTGGTGCAAGGATTTAAGCGCGCCAGGAACTGGATGGCTCTGATTTCCTCCTGGTTCGGTCTATAGTCGTGTTCAAAGCAGCACGAGTCGCCCTTGGAGCAGGGCCCGCGCAGATAATGGTTGTTGCACAGCTTGTCACTGTCCTTTCGCTTCTTGACCTGATCCAGAACGTTTTGGCTGAGCGGGATCGGGGGATCCAGGCCGCGGGCACCCGGATTCCAGGCAGGCAGGGCCGGCTTTCCTGTGGTTCGGATGGCTGTACTCGTCGCCTTGGCGGCCGCGGGGGCCTTGGGCGCCAGAGGGAGAGTCAGCTGCGGAGGCGGGCTCGCTTTTTGCGTTATGGTGGCGTATGAGATGGGCGCGGCCGAAATCGAAGGGGTGCTAGCCGTTGACATGGACGGCGTGGCTATGGTGGTGGTGGTGATTCTATCGAGGAGCTTCTCGGCGCGGAAAATTTCGTCGAAGCCGATGATGCTGACCCCGGTGGCCTCGATTTCCTTGACGGTGGGGACGCCTTCCAGGACCGTCACGCGTTGGCGAGCACTTTCGTCGCGCAGGATCTCGTCCAGGTACGGGGCGTAACCGGCGTCGTGCGAGACACCCAGGAGGATCTGTTTGCAGTTGTAGTTGCGCAGGTTGAACGAGGCCGTCTCCCTGATCTTGGAGTCTGCTCTCTCCTTGCCGTAGCCCACGTCGATGAAATCGAAAGAGGCCTTGGCTTGTGTGAATCCCAGCATGAATTCCTTGAGGTCGATTTCCGAGTCGACGCAGGCGTCGCGCCTCATGGCCTTGGCCAGGCCGCCGAGGTTGGCGACAATCTTGGCCACCACCTCGGTGTCGTGGGCGTTGGTGCATTGTGCGAGCACAGCCTGGCGCAGGGCATATGCAGCTTTCTTTCCGCCTTCGAGGCCTTGTTTGATGAGGTGGTCTTTGAACTGCGGGAGCACGAAACGGTCAGCCGGTCTGATCTGATCAGATCAGGAGGCCACCGGTCGGTGACCTGGGGAGAAGGGGTGGGGCGTAATTGGGTGTCTGGCTTACTATCAAACCGTCGCCATCGATGAGCACCAGCACGTAGGGGTTGCGGTGCTGCAGGATGGTATTGTCCTGGGTCAAGAAGCTCAGCTGGCTCTCGAGGTCCTTAATCCGAGCCTGCAGCTCTCTTCGCGAGTTGACCGAGTCTTCGTAGTCGAACTGGGTATTTTGCAGGCGCTGGATGAGAGTCTGGTTCTCCTGTCGGTAGGTGCTTTCGATGCGTTCGCCAAAGATCATCAGGTCCTGCGGCAGAGAAGACGGCGGGTCAGCGCTCGAGGTTCAAAAGCAACGAGCGGTTGCCTCTGCAGAGCCTGTTGTACTATAGGGAGGGGTGCGCCTGTGTGCCTTACCTTGACCAGCTTCTCGGTCTGATCGCGACTGGCCTGGTACTCGCGATACCGGGGTATGAAGTCCATGATGGAGTCCTCCATTGTACTATCCACCGGACGCACTTCCTGCTTGGTGGGCCACATGTGAAGCAGTCAGAGCTGGCGGGGAGGAGCGTTCGCGATCCGGGGGGATTCGGGTTCGGGTTCGGGGAGGGCGGCGAGAAGTGGGAGAGAAGATTTGCTCGTCGACGGGGGGTTATTCGTGTTGGTGGCGTCGGTTTTATTTTTTATTTTTGGAGGAGGATTCCTGGTTAATATGTCCAGTCAGTCGAGTTACGATGTAGTATAACGGGCGCGGCAGAAATGGACGCAGGCGGCAAACACTTTGCAAATGTAGTCCCAAATGTCGCACAAACGGGAGAGTATTCGCGGTTTGGTGATGAGCAAGTAAATAGGTGCTGGGGGCCAATCAGACTTACAGTACAGGGGAGAGATGGAGATAGCCCGGGGTGAGCAAGCGGCGAGTAGATCTGGGGAGGCAGGAGGGAGGGGTATATATCGTCGATGGCTGCCCTGGCGTCTGTGTGTATACCGTTTTCTGCTTTCTCTGCGCTGTGGTGTTTTTCCTATTTCACTTTCACACCCAACGGGCTGGGACGTGAAATTTCCAATATCGCTTCACCTTGGACTTTTCGGTTTTGGAAAAAAATAAAGTGGAGACGCGAGCTTGTCGTCAGTGCAGTAGCGCCAAATCGCCGGGCGCTCTGGCACACTCTGGACGCTCCACTGATGATGTTCCCAGTGCGGGAGGCCCACAATTTGCTCTTCTACCATGGTAGTCGTTACAAGTACTTGGCCCTGGGTGCGGTGACGACTTTACCAAGTACCTCTCGCCTGGCCGAGCTGGCTACAGGTACATGGCGCTTACCGGTGGTCGGTACCTACAGGGCAGTTCGTCGATCGACCACCAGCCAATTGGACGCCTCCCAAATTTAGAAAACAAGCAGATGCGCTTGAAGCAAGGGATGACCAACATTGCAAAATACAAAATGCCGTCTATCCAAGTGAGACAGGGCAGCGTTTTTCTGTTCTATTTTCAACAAACTGAAATCGACTTTTAACATTTAAGCGCCCAGTGCTTGTCTGTCCTCCTCTCCCCCTCCCCCCCCCCCACACACACGTACATCATCCTTGACGAGCAGTTTTCTGTTTGCAGACTTCTTTCACACATGTTCACTCCGCAGTAGATTCCAAGTCCTCTTGACTGGGAAAAGAAGACGACTCCACACTCCAGTTCTGAACCTGGTCTCTCTCTCTCCACAACCAAGGCAACACTTGGGATGAGACAACAGGTCCAAACTCATCATCCCTGCTGTCCCTCCGAACTCCAAAGACAAACCAAGTTACACCCTACCGTCTAACCTGCTCCATACTCTCTCTCTCTCTCTCTCGCAACATACCACCCTGTCCCCGTACCTTTTTGCTACCCACCATCCCTCGTAGGCCTCCACCCAATCACCATCCGCATTTGCAACCTGCCTGCCTCACATGCAGGCGCCAATCCTCAGTCGCGGCGACTCGCTGCATTTGCACTGCGATGCAGAACGTCCTGTCAGGGTTGAACGTCTTACTTGCACACGCGCAATAACTCGAGGTAGGGGGATACATCGTATACATCTTACACCAGATGCTTCTTTCGCCCAGCACCGCTCGCTGCCCCTAGTAGCCGGTCAACCCATTCACTCACCGGCCAACTCTACATTGCATCGCTGGACCAGATGAAAGCCTACCCTATGCAATTGCACATCCACGTGGTGCCCCAACCTTTGGCGATGGCATTCCCTTCTGCACGAAGCCGGCCACCTTCGAGTGACGGTGAATGATGGTCGTGCGTCAACGCAAGGGCTGCGTGCCGGCAGTTGCACAAGCCCGATACTCAACGTATGCCAGCTAGCGATATTGCTGCAGATGAGTGTCTGAGTCTGCACCGTTCTTGGCCATACAATGCGTTTGATGGCTGACCATCGCGCCACACATGAGGCTTGCTACGTGTCTGGGATGAAGTGTCAACTGCAAGCCCACGACCCATTCATTGGCTGCTGTCAACGGTTAACTGCCACCTATAGCTCGGCGCCTCGTGCTAACTAAATCATGCAATCCACCGTTGCACGAAAACAGCAATTTTTCTGATATCTCACATCTCAGAAACGCTCTTGATACTTCTGGATCAATCTTCGCAGACGCGAGTGGACACTTGGAGCAATAGCCCTCACTACCTAGTTACTTAGACCCTCCATTCATGCCGAATGCGCCGAGTCTGCTTAGTTGCTATTGAGATACTCACCGCCATCTACCGTCCGCATATGCCATCAGAGAAAGAGGGACTCCGAGGATTTGGGTTGCAAGTCAAATTTGATCTGACCTGGTGGCAGAGAGGCCCGGCCCGGGCGGCTGTTCAACAATCTTGATGATCCCTAGAACAACTCCAGCCAGGCTACAGGTTTCCCTTTGCGCCTGGCTATGTATTACACTGTCCCTATATCCCTAGACTAGATTCCAGGAGACTTGTCACCTCTACGCTCCGCCTTCTTCAGAAACAGAGACAAACAAAGCAATAACGAGGATTTACTATCTCTCTCGTGCGTACATTGAAGAGACCCGACTGGGTAAGAAGCTGCTTTTCGAAACATAAACTTTTGTCTCGGTCGAGACCATCATGTTAACAACCTTCCAATTTATAACACGTGCACATACAACGGACTCCATCGCATCATTAATGCTAGACGAGGACTTGTCCCATATAAGCCGGTGATCATGCGCCCATGCTTACCCATGCCACAGGCTGCATATCAGCGTCACACATCCAACAAAACTCACGATGGCCACATCAGATCGAGGCGAATACCTTTAGCCTCAGACCCACGCCTTGTCAGACACACGAGACCTATCGTCGAGTCACCGGCAAGGGTTTCCAGAGCACCTTCTGCCCGAACCACCACAGGGCGTCCTGCCACGTGTTCCAGTAGTGGCTCCCGAACGGCGTGACCCGGCTCAGGTACTCGATGCCCAGGCCGTCCAGGGCGCCCTGCAGCTCCCGGCCGGCGTCAAAGACAAAGTCGTACAGGCCGTAGGTGACGAAGACGCCCCGGTCGGCCAGCGCCGGGTTGGCCGCCAGCGTGCCGTTGTCGAGCAGCGGCGCGCTCGTCGCCGGCGAGAACAGCCCGAAGTAGCCAAAGTAGTCGGTCGCGTTGATGTACATCTCGTACGTCAGGCGCCCGCCCCACGACAGGCCCGCGAAGCCCCGGCACCCGGGCTCGTCGCACACGTCGTAGTGGTCCTGCACCCAGGGGAACAGGTACTTCTGGTAGTTCTCGCGGATGGCCGCCGGGTCCGGGATCGGCGCAAAGTTGGACATGTTGCCGTAGATGAACTTGGGCAGCGAGCTGTCCAGGTTGTAGAAGGACGGCATGACGACGACGGTCGGGTCCAGCAGCCCCCCGCGGATCAGGTTGTCCATGATGGCCGACATGCGGCCCAGGTTCTCCCAGTCGTCGCCGTTGCCGCCCGCGCCGTGCGACAGGTACAGCAGCGGGTACTTCTTGCCCGCCACGGAGCCGTACTCGGCCGGCAGGTAGACGCTGAACTCGTGCACGTCGGGCGCCGGGTGGATCGACCCGGGGCTGGTGTAGTTGACGGGCTTGATGGTGCCGCGGCTGCCCGCCGGCGCCGAGAGCGCGTAGTCAAAGTTGAGGTCGATGGTCGGCGTGCCCTGGAACTGCGCGTCGTAGGGCACCTGGAACGACGAGGCCACCTGGTCGCCCTGGACGTTGCGGTACGGCGGCAGGTCCGGGTCGATGACCAGCTGGCCCGTGTCGATGCTGCAGGCGAACGGGTTGTCGCAGTCGACCAGGTACGCGAAGCTGTAGATGCCCGAGGGCAGCGACGTCGTAAAGGTCCAGAGCCCGTCGTCGCCGCTGCTGCGCACCATCTCGTACGGCCAGGCCCGGTCCCGGGGCCCGCCGAAGCTGCCCACGTAGAAGTCCCCGGGCCGGTAGTCGCGGGGGTCAAACCCGCCGCTGGACGTCAGGGTCGTGTGGAATTCATCCGTGAACAGCTGCAGTCCACCGCCGATCAGCACGCGCGAGGCCGTCGTGTTGGTGTAGGAGAAGTCGACCTCGTAGCCTGTTGGCGCGCGGCCGGTCTTGCGGACCGTGACTGCGGCCGAGGCATCGAGGGCCAGGAGGGCCAGGGTGGCCAGGAAGTGCAAAGCCATGTTCGCAGGGTCGTTGCGATCTCCGTGCAGAGCACCATCGGACTCCTCTTTTCTACCCAGCCGACATCTTCTGGCACTTATATACTCCCAACTTGACCTTTTGCCTCGGCCATGCCCACGTCACTCGGAGTCGAGCACGCAGTCCGAGTGCAACGACGTTCCCGCCAAGCCCATGTGTCCATCGTCGAGATAATCCGCAGTAAGGCCGGTCCTCAGGGGTACGTCAAGGCAGCTCTCTCCAACACCTGGTGACTTCGATCTGGTTGCTCGATCGAGGGCCGTCAAGGGTAGCCAAGCCCCGAGGACGTGGGCCGATGTTGTGTTTTGTGGGGTTAAGGTTCTTGTCAACTGCCCCGAACGGGAGCCGGGCAGGCCGGGCATCTGGGGTAGAGCCGGGGTTGTATGCACGTATACGCTGTGTCGACGGCTTCCCCACACTTGGGGGAGGTTGCATGGGCGTAACCTGGAATGGCTCCTCCATGGCCCGACGTGGTAAGAACGGAGCCTCAAGGAACTGGGAAGTGTTGATGGGGATAAGGTTAGCCGTCATACTTCGGCGTCAGAACAAGATCCGCGTCGCCCTTGCGGCCAGGGACAGACTGCTTAATGTCACCTGTTATGTATACTCAACCTATACCTCGTCACATGTTGACATACAACGCGGTCGAGACGATACTACACACGCTAATAGATTGGTCTCTCATTCTGGACGGTTGGATCTCACACCAACGAATAGTCCTTTCTAATCAATGACCAAGCAAGAAATGCACCGTCTTACCGCCGAGGTGACTGTGTTGCTCCAGATATCTCGGCATTTCGTGTAGAGTCGTGCTCTTCAAAGTACTACTTTCTCAGCACACACAAGGCTCTGCTAAACGCATTTAGATCCGTTTCCTGAATAAACGCCAAGCACCTCGGTAAGCTCTTGTACTCGTGCATAATTCAGTAGTACAACCATGAACGAATGGCGATTCAGTCCTCGGACGATACGTGGGAGTAGCTGGAACGACTCTTGATTCGTCGTGGTACTATGATATAATCCATGCGTCACTCGCATTTCCCGCGTGCGTTTCATGGCTTGGATGCTTATAGACAGTATATTGAAGGGACGCCTCCCCTGAACCGGAGTCCGGTAAAACTCCGTCCTCCTGGCTTAGTCTAGTCTACCTCTCAACAACCCAAGACACATTACATGCGCCTAGACGAGGGTATGCCAAGTGATGCTTGTCGACAGCCATCTCCTACGTCTTTACCCCTTCCCCGACAACCACCTCATGCACCCAGATACTGACAGCAAAACGCAAGGTATGTGACCTTTCTAACCGCACAACGACGGCACCAACCCTCCCCAGTCCGCGCTCCGTCTCCATATCCACGAAAGCTCGACCAGAGACTCCATTTCTCATCGGCTGGACGATGGCACCGCTTGCAGGTCCAAGGCACGGGAATTGCTACACGCGCGGATGGACTGCTAATGTGGGGGATTGGATGCCGTCCATGTGTACCGAGATCGGTAGTTACTCCTCTGTTGTTCGAACTTATACCTCCCAGCGGGTCCAGGATCGGCTGTCCTGTAGGTGGCTGCCTGCTTAAATGGCCCTGCTGTCTTCGGCCTCCACTGGAATGGGTTGGAGATCGCTGTACGAGACGAACCCAATGATGCGCCTGCATATCATGGTGGCCACCTCGGGGGCCTCGAGAGTTCGGGACCCCTCGCAGTGGTATGTACTTCAATATGTCTTCGAGGGATCGGTTCATGGCAGGTGGCGAGCATGGGGGTGAATGCGGGTACTTATGGGTACTTTCGTCCATGGCGTACACTTCCTCGCTCGGGGACCCCGTCGAAGGGATGGGCGAGAGCCTGAACGTTGCTGTTCGCATATTTTGCCATCTCTCTATGTCGTCGAGGTCGTCGAGGCTGAAGGATCTCTTCCGCCTCAGCAGTCCGTTCCCTGTTCTGTTGCCGTCCGCATTGTTGTTGCACGAGCCAGGGGCGCCATGCATGACGGAAGACAGGTCTGACGTCGACCAGCTGGCTGTACGTAGGGTCTTGATACTCTGTTGCTCGGCTATCGGATCGAGTTCCGTGCCCTGGCCGTAGAGGAAAGGAGTTGACGACTCTAGACGGGTGAGTGGTGACTCTGATCTCAAGTCCTCCAGCCGGATCTGGGTAGGATGTTTCGGGGGAGGGATCTTGATTGGCCGGGGAGACACCTTTCTGAATTTGACTACTTGACTGTCAGATATGCAGCCAGCATCCAGAACGGAACTGTGCTGGCTACGCGTTAATTCATCCGAGTCTTTGCGTGTCCAACAAGCCGAGGTTGGAGATGTGGTATTGCTCCTCTCGGACAGAGGTATACGGCTTGGGGGTACAGCCATGCCATGGACTGCGTGGTTGGTGTTATCCATGTTGTACGGCTATCCGGTATATTTGCCTTGTAAGGGATTTGAGTTGTGTCAGCTATCGGCGTGCAGAAATAATTGTCTAGGGTCGTTAAGGCCGTCTTGGTAAACATACTACACGATCACCAGGCCCACGCTCCGTTCGCCTGTCGTCTAGAGTGTGTAGTGCATTTGTGGTTACAGAAAGCTGGGTAGTGCCTGCTCAGACTGTACTTGGCTGACATCCAACATGTCTGCTGCCGCAGGGCAAGTGTGGCTTTGGTGCAGCAAGCTCCGGCAGAGACTACCTAAGGAAGTTGGTACACTGGTTGATTCTTCCAGGGGGTTACTCGTTGGCAGAATGCGGACATCAGTATCTGCAGTCATGATCTGAAAGAAGATTTTGGTATCTCTAACTCCTGTTTTCCGAATGCGCCGTTGGATGCCCCCTTCCGAACCGCAATGACATCTCTACGTCTCTGTGCTAGCTTGTATCCCTTCGGCAGCCAATGCCCTCTGGTAATCTGCAAGAGCCTTGTCGAGAGAATGTACAACGGGCTGCATCAATATCTCGACCGCACGTTTCCCGCCGCCGACAGAATTGGGGTTAAACTTGGTCTTTTTCTTCGTGCGCTCGTAGATCTTGACAATCTCAGCCGTCCTTCTCTCGATAATCTCTTGCCGTACCTTTTCGGCCTCGAGAGCGACCGCACGAATTCGCTCCTTCGATTTCCGTAGCGCCTCAGCCAAGAAACCCAGCTCAGCAGCCCTGTCAGGGTCACCCGAGAGGAATGCAGACCAGAACTGGTTGACAAACTCTATGGTAGTAGCATGAGCCAGGTTACACCGTTCTGCGACACCTGCAGGGAGCCCCATCGGTGTCGTGCTGTCTGAAACGTGCTCATACAGCTGAGCACGTCTCTGTCGCATGCTATCGAGGACCTGCTGCTGGGCCTGCCTCCTCGACGCCCGAGATCCAACATGATCGCGCTTCTTCGATTCTTCGTCGCTGTCGCTGTCATCATCGATACCAATGGCGGCATGCAGATCGATGCCCGCAGTGCCATGACTGGACAGCTGAGCGAGGTCACCCTGAACACCACGGAGTACCTTTCTGGGGTCCTGCTTGGCGTAGATCTCGGTTGCTGCTGTGTCGGAATCCTTTTGAGCCGAGAAGAATCTGCTCTGTTCCCTGATGTTGAGAATCACCCTCTGCTCTTCTACAGTTCCCTGCAGATCGCGTATTGCTAGCTGATTGTAGACATTATCTTCCGGCGTGTTCGGATCGACAAGGTCATTATCGGCAGGCACCACACCAGAAAGAAGCTTGCCACTGAGGCTGTTCAGGGTTTGGATGATGGGCACTTGAGTCCAGCCCCTGGGCCGCATCTCAATATCCTTGGTGTTGCCACTCTTGTAGCCTCCCTGGTTCTCCTCGTTGCCCTCCAGATCAATGATATGAGGCACATACTTGGCCAGGTTCTTGCTCGAGTATGCAGTGATGTTCTCGTACTCGTCGTACTTGTCGAAGATTTTGTCCGCCACCTCATTGCCAGCGAGTCGTTCTCCCTTGAGCTTTTTCACAAGCTTGCTGAGGAAGAAGCGTTCCCAGAACTCGCTCTCGGTCAGGGGAGGCACGTTCTCAACGTATATCCTGTTGAGTAGGGGGTGCTGCTGCATGATCATGGAGATCTGGTCCCTCGTCATACTCATTCTCTGCTGGTCCGGTTGATTCGGATCATGATTCGCCTCGGTGACGGGCTTGACGACTGAAAGGATGTTGAAAGGCCCCGTCACCTGGTACTTCTCTATGGCATAGGCGCGCAGCTGGTCGATACGAGTTGTCCAGAACTGAGCGTTGAAGGTCGTGACCGACATGGACTCTGGTTTTGTCGACAGCGCCTCCATGTGTATGCGAAACAGGTTGCGATCGGCTGCCAACAGATGTTTCTGTATCTCAGGCGCGTGCTGGCCGTGGATCAGCTCGTGGTCATCGAAAATCTGACCCAGAGTTGGCTTGTCACCCTTGGCGTTCACTGCACTGGCAAAGGCCATGGAACCCGATGCGCTACCACGTCCACCAGCGTCGCCTTTGTTCTTGCCATTGACTCCGCCGGCGGCAGGACGTGGTATGCTGGGATCATTGCTTCGATACTCGGCAAGAAGCCGTGATAGAAGATCCTTGATGGCGTCTGCCTCGGCCCTGGGGTCACCGGGCGAGTTGAAGTGAAACATGTACGCAGTCGGCTCTGCGTCTGGGGCCGTCTTCGCGGCGATCTTCAATATGACCTTGGGGGCAGTGACGGGGGTCTGCTGGAAGTCTGGGCTACAGTCAGCTTTTGGGGGCCGGTGACGGGCTGGATCCACGGAGGGCATACTGGTAATGTCGGCTATCGCCAAGGACACGGTGGGCGGTCCGCCTGGAGTGGTTTGAGGAATCCATATCACGGAAGACTGGTCGTCACTGAGCGTGAGGGTGCCGTCCTTTTTCTTATACGCCGCAGCGCCCCTTGGAGGCGGCATGGCGAACAAGGGATCAAAGGAAAAAGATGGAGGGCGAGAGAGAACCTGAAGAGTGGAATAGGGAAGAGGTGACGTGACCCAGGGGGATTGGATGTTTGCTCTATCTGAGACCACTTTCAGCAGTACAGCAGTGCGGCGGCAGCAGCAGCGACGACAAATATCTCGTCACGCCGGATGACACCCGTACGATGCCTTTAGAGACCGCCTGCCTGCCTACCTGCTTGCTCGCCACTGCACGCCGCGTCGGCGGGTCGTCCTCTCGTATCTGGGCACTCCAGGCCCAAAGACCACAGATGAACAGCTCTCGAACGCCCTCGACCCCAACACAGACTCCAGAGTCTCCTCGATCGACAAGAGTCGGTAAGCGCCAACGGCAACGGCCTTGCTGTCGGTTTCAACCGTTTTTCTTTGAAGCAGGGGGAGAGGTCGAAGGGCTGTCGAGGTGACGCCACGAAGGTTGGTCCCTTTAAGACAGGCAGCCACAGGCGCCGCACATTCCAGGCATTACACTTTGTGGCTGGAGCGCTTCGCTGGGGGTGGCTTGTTAGGTTTTTTTCAGTTTTAGGCTTGCTCGGCCTTGGTGGCTAGGCTTGCTGGGCTGATCAGCTACCACCTACCCTGCCTACCCACCTACCTAGGTACTGTGTTTATCGTGGGGATTCCTCAAGGGGAATAGTCTCGGGATTTGCACCTGCAACGCAACGCAGCGCAAAAAGATCCGCAGATGAAACATTGACCTGACCTGAGACCTCATGAAGATGCCAAGAGCAGATGCCAAAACTGTCAGAGCGCTGTTGAGGCCGCTGATGAGTCAGGATGGTGGCTGCCAGCCAGTTGGAGGGTTTCGTCTTTTTGTTCATCTATGTGCAGACCCGAATGCAGAAAGAATTGTGAAGTGGCAACCGGGGTATTCGGAGGCTGAATGCGGATACATGATGGGGATTTTGGCTACTAGAGAAGACTCTACGGCAGTCGTTTCTTCGTACATGGCAACAACCGTTTTCAAGAACTACTGTACTATGCCAGGTAGGAAGGCAGTCTCAGTGAGGCCTCACGTACCCTTGCTCCAACTGTCTTGGAGATCCACGATGCGCGATGCACGATACAGGGCCCAGGACATTGAAACGCCAGAGCCTCGAAGCGTGCTTGAGGTTTTTCTTGTCGACGCTCTTGCCGTTGCGGGCCTACCCGCAAATCAGAAGAGAGCCGTAACGTAAGCGTCCGCCTAGGTTCGGCTAGCAGAACCAGCAGATTTCCCGCATTCTGTCATAGTTTAGATGCACGGGGGCTTCTGAATCGGACGAAACCCGAGGTTTACGGGATTCTTGGAGTACAAGTAACCTGCAGGCTCTGCTTGACGCATGTCTCTAGGGAACATATACTGTGTAAAGAGATGGCGAAACCTTGAAGTAATAGGACGAAGGGCAGTGGGCAACGGGCAGTGTATGGAGGTTCTATGGGCAGTTACAAGAAGGAGACAGTGGGAAAGGCTTTCGCATTCATCGTCACCACCCATCACCCATCACCAATCACCCATCCTCGGTGTGTTACCGACGGCCGGCTAATCAGGTCGGGGAGAACAGGGAAGGGCAGGGGCAGGCAGAGCAGGACTCGGGACCACACAGGCAAGACGGGCAAGACGGGCAAGACGGAGCCAGAATTTGACCAGGGTCACCGGGGGCAGCTGGCCACTCGCATTGGACACACTAAGAAATTCTCCATCCATTTGTTTTCCCGTGACAGCCAGCCAGCCAGTCCAGCCAGTCCAGCCCATTACATCCGCTGCGCCCGTTTTTGGCACTCAAGCCTCGTCTTCCCTTTTTCTCCTCCCCTTACCTACATCCTCCCCCAAACGTCACGTCACGACACGTCGTGTCTCCCGCTCTGTCCTGACTTACTCCGCCGCTCTTTTGTGCTTCGATCCCGCTCTCTGGAGAAGGAGGATTGAAGCTTTCGGTGGGGAGCATCTCTACTCTACCTACGTACGTTAGTCAGCCCCGTCGTGGTCTTCGTCTGGCCCTGACTCGCCACGCCAGCAGGACCTCGACTGCTACCTACTGGTTGTGCCGTGTCTTGTGCTGTACTGTACAGACAGCTCTTGGCTGACTTCCCCGTGCTCCTGCCACAGACTCTTCTTACCTTAATACACCCCCAAGACACACACAGCTACGAAGCATTAGCCTGGCGCCATGCTGAGCAGCTCGTTACGCAAGACCGGCAGCTCCCTCCTGAGGGCCAGCAGCCAAGCTACCACGAGATGCGCCTCCCGTAGCTCGAGGTGCTACGGCCTCGCCGCCGCCCGCCGCCCGCTCGCCGTGTCGGCCGCCCAGAGGAGGTATGCCTCGGCCACCGCCTCCTCCTCCCCCGACCCCAACGACAACTTCCTGTCCGGCAGCACCGCCAACTACATCGACGAGATGTACCTGCAGTGGAAGGAGGACCCCCAGAGCGTCCACGTCTCGTGGCAGGTCTACTTCAAGAACATGGAGAGCGGCGACATGCCCATCTCCCAGGCCTTCACCCCGCCCCCGACCCTGGTCCCCAATGCCACCGGCGGTGTCGTCTCGGGCGCCGCGCTGGGCGGCAGCTCCGACGTCACCAACCATCTCAAGGTCCAGCTCCTCGTCCGCGCCTACCAGGCCCGCGGCCACCACAAGGCCCAGCTCGACCCCCTCGGCATCCGCAACGAGGCCAAGGGCTACACCAACATCAAGCCCAAGGAGCTGAGCCTTGAGCACTACCAGTTCACCGAGAAGGACCTCGACAAGGAGTACGAGCTGGGCCCCGGCATCTTACCTCGCTTCAAGCGCGAGGGCCGCGAGAAGATGACCCTGCGCGAGATCATCGCCGCCTGCGAGAAGATCTACGCCGGCTCCTACGGTGTCGAGTTCATCCACATCCCTGACCGTGCCAAGTGCGACTGGCTGCGGGAGCGCGTCGAGGTGCCCCAGCCCTTCAAGTACTCCATTGACGAGAAGCGCCGCGTGCTCGACCGTCTGATCTGGAGTTCGAGTTTCGAGTCCTTCCTGGCCACCAAGTACCCCAACGACAAGCGCTTCGGCCTCGAGGGCTGCGAGACCCTGGTTCCCGGCATGAAGGCCTTGATCGACCGCAGCGTCGACTACGGCGTCAAGGACATCGTCATCGGTATGCCCCACCGTGGCCGTCTGAACGTGCTCAGCAACGTTGTGCGCAAGCCCAACGAGTCCATCTTCAGCGAGTTCGCCGGCACTGCTGCTGCCGAGGACGAGGGCTCCGGTGACGTCAAGTACCATCTGGGTATGAACTTCGAGCGCCCGACGCCCTCGGGCAAGCGTGTCCAGCTCTCCCTGGTCGCCAACCCCTCCCACTTGGAGGCCGAGGACCCTGTCGTGCTGGGCAAGACGAGAGCCATCCAGCACTACAACAACGACGAGAAGACCCACAGGACCGCCATGAGCGTGCTCCTGCATGGTGACGCCGCCTTCGCCGCTCAGGGTATCGTGTACGAGTGTCTTGGTTTCCACTCCCTGCCGGCCTTCTCCACCGGCGGCACCATCCACCTGGTCGTCAACAACCAGATCGGTTTCACCACCGACCCTCGCTTTGCCCGCTCGACCGCCTACTGTACCGATATTGCCAAGGCCATCGACGCCCCCGTCTTCCACGTCAACGCCGACGATGTCGAGGCTGTCAACTTCGTCTGCCAGTTGGCCGCTGACTGGCGCGCCGAGTTCCAGTCCGACGTCGTCATTGACTTGGTCTGCTACCGCAAGCACGGTCACAACGAGACCGACCAGCCCTCGTTCACCCAACCCCTCATGTACAAGCGCATCGGCGAGAAGAACCCTCAGATCGACATCTACGTCGAGAAGCTGCTCAAGGACGGCACCTTCACCAAGGAGGACATCGACGAGCACAAGCAATGGGTCTGGGGTATGCTGGAGGAGAGTTTCTCCAAGTCCAAGGACTACCAGCCAACTTCCAAGGAGTGGACTACTTCGGCCTGGAACGGCTTCAAGTCCCCCAAGGAGCTGGCAACCGAGGTCTTGCCCCACAACTCGACTGCCGTCGACCTGAAGACCCTGGAGCACATTGGTGAGGTCATTGGCAGCGCCCCCGAGGGCTTCCACATCCACCGCAACCTGAAGCGTATCCTGACCAACCGTACCAAGTCCGTCATCGAGGGTAAGAACATCGACTGGTCGACTGCTGAGGCTCTCGCCTTTGGTTCGCTGGTCACCGAGGGACACCACGTCCGTATCTCCGGTCAGGACGTCGAGCGTGGCACCTTCTCGCAGCGCCACTCCGTCTTCCACGACCAGGAGACCGAGGACACCTACACGCCCCTCCAGCACATCAGCAAGGACCAGGGCAAGTTCGTCATCTCCAACTCGTCGCTCAGTGAGTTCGGTGCCCTCGGTTTCGAGTACGGTTACTCTCTGTCGTCGCCCAACGCCCTCGTCATGTGGGAGGCCCAGTTCGGTGACTTTGCCAACAATGCTCAGTGCATCATCGACCAGTTCATTGCTTCTGGCGAGGTCAAGTGGATGCAGAGAACCGGTCTGGTCATGTCCCTGCCCCACGGTTACGACGGTCAGGGTCCTGAGCACTCGTCTGGACGTATCGAGCGATACCTCCAACTCTCCAACGAGGACCCCAGAATCTTCCCCTCGGAAGAGAAGCTCGCCCGTCAACACCAGGACTGCAACATGCAGATTGCCTACATGACCACCCCCGCCAACCTGTTCCACATCCTGCGTCGCCAGATGCACAGGCAATTCCGCAAGCGTAAGCTCCCCACTCTCTCTGTAACATAGCATCCAAGGTCACTGACACACCCCTAGCTCTCATCATCTTCTTCTCCAAGTCTCTGCTGCGTCACCCTATTGCCCGCTCCAGCATTGAAGACTTCACCGGCCCCGATGCTCAGTTCCAGTGGATCATCCCGGATCCTGAGCACCAGACCGGCGCCATCAAGTCGCCCGAGGAGATCGACCGTGTCGTGCTCTGCTCTGGCCAGGTCTACGCTGCCCTGCAGAAGCACCGCGCCGACAACAAGATCGATAACGTTGCCATTACCCGAATTGAGCAGCTCAACCCCTTCCCATGGCAACAACTGAAGGAGAACCTTGACATGTACCCCAACGCCAAGACCATCGTCTGGTGCCAGGAGGAACCCCTGAACGCCGGTGCCTGGAGCTTCACCCAACCCCGTATCGAGACCCTCCTCAACCAGACACAATACCACGACCGCAAGCACGTCATGTACGCCGGCCGTAACCCATCCGCCTCAGTCGCCACCGGTCTGAAGGCTTCCCACAAGAAGGAGGAGGAGGATCTGTTGGAGATGGCGTTCTCCGTGACCCAGGACAAGCTCAAGGGCGAGTAAGCACAAGCTTGAAGGAAGAAAGCGGAATTAAAGAAATATCAAGCATGGACGGGGCCTACTTGCTGCATGGATTGGTATCGTCATGATCCTCCCTTTTGACCCCTGTTGTATTGTATATCGTGTATAACGTGGCTTCGACTCATAACAAGAATGGTTCGAGGCAAAAGATAGACAACGGGGTTCGGGACGGGATCTTTATTTGAGTAATGCATTCATTCATACCCAGTTATCAAATATTTGAATCAATCGTACATACACATACACACACATTACAATTGCATCTTAGCAGTTCCGCTACCCAAGCCTCAGTTGCCGCACGGAAGAAACAAGAATTGATTTGGGTATTCGCTCTATATAGTTGGGTTGGTAGGTATCTTGAAAATGTAAATGCAGAATGCACCCCAAAAAAAAAAACCAAAAAAAAACACAAAGTTGTAAATCTCCAGCTTCTCTCACACACATTCCAACTCATGCATGCCCGTAGGAAAGCAAATGCTGCTACACCGTATCTATGATGCAAGTCGCACACACATACACATACACTGAAAAGAGAAACAAAAGAACAAGCCGTTGCATTTGGCATTGCCGCCTTCAATCACGAGGTACCGTTGGGCAGTGCTCTCTTGCCGGCCTTGACCGCGCGCATGGCGGGCAGCGTGTGGGCGCGGCCGGGCTTGCGGCCGATCTCCATGCACAGCATGCGGATCAGGTCCGGGTTGGCCCAGTAGGACGAGTGGGCGCCGAGCATGTTGAGGTACTGGATCTCGAGGGGCCCGCCGCCGGAGCGCAGGAAGTAGTCGATCTGGCCGTTGTCGTTGAGCAGGTACGCCTTCTGCTCGGCCATGTCCTCGCGCGTGAAGTCGTGCACCTCGAGCTCGAGCTGCGACGGCAGCCGCAGCGCCGGCGGCGGCTTGACCAGGGCCGGGTTCTCGGGGTGCGCCGCCGCGCTCGCCGACGCCCCGGGCACCATGGACCGCACCGCGTGGCCCATGGACTGGAACAGCGTCGTCGTCACGCTGGGCACGTACGCCGTCTTGAGGCTGCTGGCGTACTTGGGGTCGATGGTCCCGTTGAGGAGGTACGCGACGGGGTCCTCGCGCGCGAGCACGTTGTAGACGTTGTCGACGGCCAGGCAGCCGAAGAGGCCGGCCTCGCCGGCGACGTCCTTGGACACGCTGGCGAGGTCGGCCCCGGGTTTCTGGCGCCCTTTTCGAGGGATAAGAGCACCCCGCTCCAGCAGCAGGAAGAAAGCCGCCGGGCTGCCCAGAAGGAAGAGGTTCTTCACGTCAAACTCGAATCTGTCGAGACGTATCTCGGTGTCCAGGTCGAGTGGAGGTGTGATAGTAGGCTGCTTGGATAGAACCTCCAGAGCCATTGCACTGCCCAAGGAATGGCCGATCAGGTGCAAGCGACCATGTTTCGCAAAGCCTGGATTATTGCGACACCAGAGCCTGTACACCCGGTTGGCTTCCCCGATCAGTGCAGAGATCATCTTGGGCTTATGATGTGACATGTAGAAGGGAATGTCGAACATGATATCGGAGATCATGCCGCGCACAGCCGGAATAGTCTTCGGCTCGATGTCCTTGAGGGCGAAACCCTCGGGCATATATTCTGCCTTGTCGCCTTCCTTCATGGGACCGCCCTCCTCGAAAGACAGGGTTTGGCGCCAATTGACCGGCAGCACCATGATGCCATTCTGGCCTTCGCGTATCACCTCTTTGACTGTATCTGACCCGAGCTCGATGTTGATGGCCCTGCGGAAGGCGTTGATGGCATGGGTAAAATGAAAGCTCTCCACCCTCTCAGCCAGCTTCTGGCCGATACCATGTGCCACGAGGACTAGATCAGTGACCTGCCCTCGCTCCTTGTCATGCTTACACGCGGGGCAAACATCCTGCCCCGTACTCTCCTGCGACTGGCTCGCGGCCGAGCGCGCCTGGGGTCCCTTTGAGGCCTGCTGTTTCTTTGCGTGCACCTTCTTGTATGCCTCCAGATCGAATCCTCGCACTACGGGAATACCAATGGTGACTCCCTTGAGTATCTTCGCTACAGGACGCCTTCCGTAGTATGCCGATGGCTTCAGAGCAGGCTTCAGCAGGAACGCTGTCTTGTCGTCTTTGTACAAGACATGGTATTCTCCATATTTGCGCTGGGAAGGAGCCTCTACCGAGTTGTCCTCATTCGACATGGGCATCAAGTTGCCCTGGGCTGCCGCTTCACCTCTAAAACAACGAGCTGCGCAGAACGGGTTGCTGGATATACTCGGTTCCTGTGGTGCACCCTTGGTCTTGGCTTTTGCTTTAGGAGGAGCGGGCCAGAGTGGATGAGAGACTTTTTCTTCTCCCAGAGGCCCGACATCGACGGCACAGCGTAGCTCGTCTTTCCATGTCTCCGAATACGGTTTCAGTTCTTGATATCCCGCCTCTAGCTGATTGGCCACGGTGGTATCGATAGGCTCCATGGTATCTCTGTTGTACATTATTTAGTAGACGCTCACAAATCACGAGGTCGATTATTCATACTTGTAGAACCAAGTGGCCCGAAGCACGGCGGCTATATCATTGACCGGCGACCAGTATATCGGTTTCATTTGCAATGCAGGCAGGGACACTTCATGCAATCTCGAGACTCCTACGGGTACAGTCGCTGTGTCCTTCCTTGTTTTCCGTCGTCCTCTGTCGGGTAGGGTCGCAGGCATGTCAGAGGGGGGTTGGGGTGGCTTCATCTCAGCTACTGGCTCTTCCGGAGCCGGAGGCTTAGCATCCACTGTCGCACGAGGGAGCGAACCTATGGAAAACTGAGTTGATTCGGGGGTGCCGACCCTCACGAAGGGTTTCCCCGAGATGCCGTCATCCGGGACCGCTGGTCTGATGGGCATCGGGGTGCCCTCGTGCAGAGAACTACGGGGCGTCAACTGCGACTGAGACCTTGCGCGAGACGTTTCGCGGCTGACGGTGTCGATCCCTCGTCTGCTCGATGGCCGCGACCCGGAGCTACTCTTCTCGGGCGGTGGCATGTTCTCCCTGAGATTCGCCGGCAGGGTTGCATGGGCTAATGATGCAGCTCTAGGTCGATTCGACGGAGGGCCGGGGTTGGCTTCGTGCTCTCCCATGACTGTAGCTGCCGCGTCGGTACTGAGTCTTTCCATCTCGGTCATCACCTCGTGCGCCACCCTCTCGCGGTGCAGTGCCCTTTGGCGCCTCCTGGCCACGGCGCAAAACGAAACACGCAGCTGTATGCCAACATCTGAGAGCAGATCGGGGCAGCACAAGGGCAGGATAGTTTCGGCATCCGGAATAGCTTCGACATCTTGTTGTAGCGTCTCGGTGGCGGGTCCCTCGCGGGCATGTCTCTCCTTGTGCTTGACCGCCAGATCGTGGATAATCTCTCTCAGCCTGCCCAGGTTGAGGTCGGCTAGTGAGGGACTCGGACTGCGGTCGCGGCGCGCTTGGCTGTGGTTCCTGCGGTATTCATCGGAAGCAAGGCTCAACCAGGCCTTTTCGAGGGCATTGTTGTCGCCTTCAGAGAAAGGCTGAGGCTTGACGCTGGCGGTCTTGGCGTCCGATGAACCGGCGATGGTGGCGGTCGACAAGGGATCATCGATGGGTATCAGCGAGGTGTAGAAGAACTGAGCCTTGACCGGCGGCACAGCGTCGCCGTCGTGCGGCGTGAAGGGGCGGACGACGGGGGCGAGGCGGCACTTGGGCCCGAAATCGTGCGGTTCCAGTGCTTGCGCATAGTGGTTCGGGAGAGGCGCCATGGTTGGAGGGAAGGTTGGAGGGAAGGGGAGGTCGGGGCGCCTCGACGGGGTGAAAGGGACAGTTCAGGCTCAGGTGGTGAGCCGGGGGGAGGCGGACGAGAAGGTTCGGCGACGCTTCGTTCGCCCAGCGGCTATGAGCAGCGGTTTCGGTTGTAACTATCAGCAGGGTGATACGATGGGGCAGGTATCACGACGACGGCGAGACAGTCCAGACATGATGCGGCGCTCGCAAGGATAGGCCGGCGCTGGGCGACGTTGAAGCAGACTAGGCTCCGCTGTCAAGGACGCGGCAGCCAGACGTTCGGGTAGACTGCCTGTGTCTGTGTCTGGAGGCAAACCACAATTTCCTGCTACCTAGAGCTGTCCGGCGGGCCGGGCAGTTAGGCAGACGAGCTGGATCGCATTGTCGCTGCTGACCTGACGTGACCAGACCAGGATATATGTCTGTCGATATCCTGAGACCTCGACAACAAACAAACAAAAATCCCACTAATGAGTTACAGCACCTCGTCAGCTACGTAGTTCCGTGAGCTGCCCGTCCACGGTGGGACTGATGACGTGGAGCGACCCGACCACGGGGCACCAGCTGGGGGTGGGGCGGGATTCCGGAGCCTCGGATATCCACTTCAGAACTGTACCTACAGAAACAAAATACACTCCATACATTCCATACATTCCATGCAAACAAGGGCTCTCAAGCTGATGTTGTTGACAGAGACCAGCCAGACCTTTTCGCCGGCTCTTGATGGCCCAGTCCAGCATGTATCGAGCAAAGACCCACCATCGGAGGATGGCCATGACCCCTGTCTGCTGTCTGCTGTCTGCTGTCTGCTGTCACAGGACCTGCCAGTTTCATGGGGACACACGGCATAATTGCGCTGAAATCCTAGATGCAGGACGAGAAATTATATTGCTGCAAGGGCCCGGCCTTGACTTGCCTGACCGGTGCCCTGAGTCCTGTTCCTCCAGGTACAATTCTCAGCGGACGCCCTGCTTATCCCTGCCTCCAGGCATTCGCCGTTCGACCTGTCTTCCAGCGCTCAAGTGTAATGAACACATGCTAGTACACGGTCGTCGGCTTTCCGCAATTGATTCGAGCGCTCCCATTGACTTGTCGCCTACCTTGAAGAGAATGATTGGCTTGCGCAGAAAAACGGATCCTTGTGGCGCACACACGGCTGCTTGTCAGATCGCGTCATCCGTCATCCTTGCCTATATTTCATATGCGTCGTATTGGTCTAAGTGTCCAAGAGTTCATCTTAAGGGTAACTTTTGTCGTGGCCCTGTGCTGCCCCTGGGTTACCACAAACTCTACGAAGACCGGACCTTTTCCACGGGTTACAAAGAAGGCCATCTCAGTACGCTCCCAAGCGACGTAGCTGGCCTGACAGTCACATATCTGGTTCCACATCCAAGTAAGGGATACCTTAACCTTGACAACTTGAATCCTTGGTTGGGATATGTTACTATGGACCTCCGAATGACGCGGTCGTGTTTTTCGTGTACAGTATCAAGCCTTGCGGTGCAGGCACCAGGGGTGGACCATCCGTACGGGTGAATTTGTATCGTTGTCTTGTTAAATTACAGTAGGTAACTCACTGTGTAGTAGAACTCGGTAACTCGACATGTGTGAAGGATGAAGCAGCGCCTGTCAGCCTGCAAGCTCCAACTTAAGCGCCGCCCGGTTCCGACAGACCGGGGCTCCGCGCTTACTGCTGGGGCTTAGTTCTGATGCATACCTACCTACATACACCCGGGCCCCTCGAAACATGGACTTTGCTGGTTGGCCAGCTGCCCAGGCAGCAAGTAGGGTGGTGGCCAGATATCCTACACTCGGCTAGACCTCTGATAATCTTGTCTCGAGCAATAGCAACGCCACCTCCACCGAAGCGACCATCTTTTTCGGAATCTTAAAAGTTGATTGTCTCGATCCTAGTATTAGTGTATGGTACCTGTTCCCTACGTCCAACCATCATGCCATGGAGATAACGGATTATGGAGAAGGGGCCAGTTGGTTCAAGCTTACGATTCAGGATCAAATATGATATCACGGTGGGCTCAGATCCAAGCTGGATGCTTAAAAGATGCATTCCTTCCAATTGGGGCGGGCCAGGATGGAGAAGAAGCCTGAGGTACGTAGCCTGCCGAATCCAATGGGATTTCGCAAACCCCTCTGGTCTTTCTTTCGTACGGCTCAGTGTTTCTTCCGGTTTTGACAACTCAGCAGCTCGGCTTGATGAGAAAACATGAGACTTGTTGATCGATATGGTTGACGACTAGGGTAAATAGTCAAGAGGGGCGCGCATAGCTCCAAGTGGAGAAGCCTCAGAAGTCTGTGCGAGCGCGCTAATGCATGATATATTGAGGGATGGCAACGGTAGACGAGCTAAGCATACGTAGTAGCAGAGCTGCATACCACTGTGTAGGAGCTGGATCAAGCAGCCCGTCCATGAACGACATTGCCGCTCCCAAACATTTTCTCGGAGCTGTACTGTGTAGGTAGGCCTACCGTAGTACTCCTTCGAGGTGGGCATTGCACCATTATCGCCCGGGGTGGCAGCGTGGCTAAGAGGGCCGCATGTCTCGAGCTTCCGCGGCGGCCTTCATTGGCTGCTCCGGAGCTCAGCATATTTGCCCCTCGTTCCAACCTGTCTTAGCCTGCCTCGTCGGCCTCTTGTCACAGGCTTGCACAGGCCTATCGACCGTCTGGCTACCCTCCATCATCCTCTGAGCCGGCCTATCAAGGTTCGATCCAAGTTGCCATCGCCATGCTCTCTACTAGCCCCTGATGGAACCTTGCAAGCGCAGACGACAGAGTGCCCCTCCAGCCCCCGGCCCCCGCGATGGCGTCTTTGTCCATTGCGGCCAGGGCAAGTCAAGGGGGGGCAGGTTATTAGGTACTGCGGGACAGTGTGTATGTAGGTGCTAGGGTACTAGGTAAGAGGTAGGTATGAGCTTGCGCTTTGCTGGGCTTTGCTGGGCGGCTTGCAAATGGGCTGCTAGCTTTCCGCGCGCGCACACACACACACACAGTACAGATCCCACACAGGCCGCGACCTCCGCCCCCCAAGCCCCCCAAATCCGCGGCGGACTGTACGTCCCAGAGTTTAGCCCGGGGTGCCTCGACGAAAGTCAAACAGCGACGGCCATCGACGATTGCTACCTGGAGGAGCTGTCGACTGCTCCATTGAGCACCTCTGAGCTCTTTCCGGTAGTTGGAGATGGCCAAATCGGCCTGATTGCGGAACCAGTAAGCTGCAGTATCCATTGATCGGCCAGTAGCCCCCAGTTCCCCCAGATGCGCGCGCAGGCCAGCGGGGACCCAGTCAAGCCAGTCTACTGCAAACATACGGAGTACCATGGTAGTACGACGACAGAACGACAGGACTGGACCCTGTACATGGTACTATGTGAGACCCTGGTCACCCCCGCCCGCCGTTGGCCCAATGGTGTGAGCCACCGATTGTATCGAAACACACTGCAGATCACCCAGACACTCAAGGGTGGAGATGTCAAGCACCAGCATACTACGGGACTATCAAGTCGGAGACGACCTGTCTTCCTCTTCTCGCAGCTCTTTGTCGCTCTGGTCCGACCAGAAACCTCATCGACTCCATCGCATCTCTCCCAGCAAGGCAAGAGCAGGCAGACAGACCGAGACAGAATAGAATACACACAGACACGCACAGGGAGCTTCGCGCGAGCAGCTTCTCGGCTAGCCTTTGTTGTCATATCTGCCGCGCTTCTGGCTGCATAACAGGGATGTCGCAACGATAAGGCTGGACCTCCAATCACCAGCGACTCAAGCGTGTGAAACATCTGATATACCCTCCCCGCTTTCCCATTCCCTCTTCTGTTGACAACTTCCCTATCTTCATCTCTGCTTTCCTCCCTAATAGCTGGCGCCGTCCATGTCCACCCTGTTGCGATTGCCAATGTTGCACCGTGGAAATCCCCATCTTCAGCCCAGCTTGTAATACTACTACTGCCACTGTCGTCGTCCTCGCCTTGACCCCGCCATCTTGCCTCCTCCCGATTGGACGGGACCGATCGCGTGTGACGAAGGGGGCAAACGTGATAAGAGAATAGACCTGGGGAGCCGGATTGTCTGATTGTCAACAGCGCAGCACGGTATACTCCTTCAACGAGCAGGCCGGCGGCGTCGAGCCCAGAGCTATGGCGACCATTGCTCTCCCCAGACCCATAGCGCCCCACCGATCGTCGTCTGGCATGGTAACATTATCCTCGCCGATAAGTCTGGACACCATCAACACCCAACCACAGCAGGTGCCTTGCCCTCCCGTTCCAAACAAACACATCCCCGTCTGTCCCACGGGGCCTGCGCCTGTCCAGGAGCCAAACACCCCGCCGCCGTCTCCCGCGCAGGAGGTCGAGAGCCAGCAGGCCTCGCTCCTGTATCCTCCAGACAAATACACCCAGGTCGAATCGGGGTCGTTAGCCGTGTACAAGACCAATGCTGCCGAGGTGGCCGCTGCCCTGAAATTTGTGGCTCGGCAACCTCTGCCGGACCCCTCGCAGGTCTTTCCGTGGCTCCATGGCTTGCACCCGAGCAACCACGTCCAACAGGCCTTCTTCATTGCCCGGAAGAGGGCGCTGCGAAAGACGCCGGCGTGTCTCAGGGGCATAACAGTGGTGAAAGCCGATGGCGATCTATCAGTCTCGCGTATCAAGGGCGCTATCGCACCCGCCGAGATCCTGCAGTCAGGCTCACTCGGCGAGTTCTTGGAGGTAGACCCCAGGGAGGGCTTTTCTGTGAGGAACTTCCAGATACAGCCTGCCAAGTCGGCCATGACCTCGGATATGGTGGTCTACGGCGAGGATTCCGCGCTTGTTCGCAAGGTTGGTTGGGAGTTGGCATCGGCCCAGGTCAGATGGCGTGAGAAGCACGAAGATCAGGGGCATGCGGTCCCGACGTACAATACGTTTATCTGCACGAGCCCGTTCCGCATCTTTGAGAAGAACCATGCGGAACTGGTCTCGATCGACTCGGAGGGGCAGCTTACCGGTGCGGTCATGGACTTCTTCCATCAGGAGAGGCTGGAGATGTACATGATGACCAAGGCATCCGAGATCTCCCACAATGTCTGGCTCGGCCCCACCCCCGAGGCTGGCAGCGAAGACGAGCAGCAGTTTGACGTGTTGATCGAGTGTAGTGACTTGGGAAGGTTAAACCCGCTTGCTTTGCGTGCTATTGCTGAAAACCCAAACGCCAGTGCCAAACATTATGACTTTGATTTCCCATCGTCTGGTAGCATACTACCTCCAAGCTGGTCTCATGCCGAGGCAGATGACATACTGGAGACATGCAAATGGGTCTGGCATCTTGCCCACGGTACCTTGCCATCGCCTACCGACTTTGAGGGTGACACCAACATGGAGCAGGACGATGGGTCGTCGTCCAAGGAGAAACCAGGTCGCCCCCGCAAGATACTCATTCACTGCGCCGACGGCTACACCGAGTCGACAATGCTTGGGATTGCCTATTTCAGTTACAGCACGTTTAGACCCGTGCCCGAAGCTTGGCTCAATTTGCATACCACCATGAAGCGGAACTTCTTTGCGTACCCCACGGACGTTGCTCTACTGACCGCCCTCTCGACCCGCCTGCTCCAAGAGTCGCCCCTCTGTGGTGATCGGAGTTTGTCAGAGGTCACGGAACTCGTCCGCAACGAGCCTAGGTGGTTTGCAAACCTTGACGGGTCGTTCCCCAGCCGTGTTCTCGACTATATGTACCTGGGTAACCTGGGACATGCAAACAATCCAGACTTGTTGAGAGCGCTGGGAATCGGCCAGATCCTCAGTGTTGGTGAGACGGCCATGTGGAGAGAGGGCGAACTTGAGGAATGGGGCCCAGAAAACGTCAAAATAGTGCAGGGCGTGCAAGACAATGGTATTGACCCGTTGACAGACAACTTTGAAAGCTGCCTCGACTTCATTGGTAGGTCATCTACTACCTTCTGAGACTTCTCACATATGCATGGGTTGACTAATGGACTTTCTTCAGATCGAGGCCGTCGCAATGGCGTGGCGACTTTGGTACATTGCCGAGTTGGTGTCTCGAGAAGCGCGACCATTTGTATCGCCGAGGTGATGCGCGAACTGAATCTATCGTTTCCCCGGGCGTATTGCTTCGTACGTGCTCGCCGGCTGAATGTCATCATCCAGCCGCATCTAAGATTTGCTTACGAGTTGCTCAAATGGGAGGAGACCTTGTGCACTCGACGGAGCACGGAAGCTGAACGTGAGGAGGGCGACTTCAAGAGGGAACTTGAATGGCCCGAGATCGCTAGGGAGATCGCATTGATGAACCGTCCCTATGCCAGATGAGGATAACAGGGCACACACGGTGGGGATGGTGAGATTGCTGCGGCGATGGGTACCGGTCTGGAGAGTCGGCAGGTGCCCGGGAAGGCACCAAGTTCCGACCACCAAAATGGCCCTTTATCCGAGGCTTCGTGCTCATCGCGTCATATGTTGCTGGCAGTCTTGGCCACAGCTGGTCGGGCAGCTCGACCCTGATCAAGATATCCAAGGCGCACTAAGTCGAGGATGACACGCGAACACATTGCTTACAGAACGTTCGCTACAGCGATACGACGACGGGACGACTTTTGATTTTAACTTGTTTGACGATTGGGTCTTCTTGGAAGGAAACGATTTCTTGGGCTCCATTGGAGGAGATTGGCTCCTATGGCATATCCCGGCCGGTGCTGGTTCTGTTCATGTTTGGGCACGTACCCTGGTGACTGGACATATTTGGACCAGGCGTCCGGACAGCTTTTGCATTATACCATGTTCGCATTATGCTATTGCCAACCGGGATATCGTGGCGGGTCGGGTCGGGCTGGAGGCCACACCTGACCCGGTTCATTGTTTGGCGCAAAAGGACCGGGGGACATGAATGAAATTCCTGGAGGGGGGTGTACATGGATTTGGCACTGTACTGGGAAGGATGGGCCATCATCCCGTTTGGGTTCATGAGCAGGTACTTTTTTTTCCTTTAAATGTCTTCTGCGCACAGGATGTTGGTTGCTTTTGTAGGTTTGGATTACATACGGAAGGAACGGGGAATATACCATGACATGACCGCTACCGAACTTGCAGTTGCAATGTTTTTCTTTTGATCACGCGCGTGAAGTAGCCGTGGATACACGTTCAGACAGCCATTGTATGTATGTATGTATGTATGTATGCCTTGGAAACCCCATGTCATGACTTACACGACACGACTCCTCGTACCTCTCGCGCCGAGCCGTTACCGGGTACCCGAAGACTCGCCACAATTCAGATGCCTGCTAGGGATTTCCGGGGCCTCGGACTCAGTGACAACGTTGTTGCTTACTTGGATAATAAAACCAAGCCCGTAGCATTGCACACATAGCGCCGTTCTCAGAATGGGGTGCCTGGTTGCGAAAACAATTATATACCAATAATCACGGATGGTATAATGCATAGAATAGAAGGTGACAGATAGTGTACCTTGGAAGACTCTTGTAACGAGACGATGCACCTCGCTACCTCACCTAAAAAGAACAAGCCAAAAAGGTTCAAACCAGAAAGAAGCCTTAGCTTGAGCCATGACGCCAAACGCTTATGCATGCAAAAGATCCGCCAAACGCACAAATATACCATGCCTGGAAAGTCAATCGCCACAACTGGACTCTCAACCGGCAATGTTTCCCCATCGATGGGCGAAGACACGCGCTCCTAGATGCCCAAATCTGCAGGCGCTCCCAGCGTCTCTCACGGCCTGCCTTTCTACCCCATACTTCTCACGTGGTACTCTTTGCCGTGTGTCCCAAAACTGAAGTCGGGCTTCCAAAGCTTAACACTCCAAGCTGTTGAAAAAGTTACATGTAATGAGACGACAAAGCCATAGAGAACATTTCCAGGTCCACATTGTGCTCCATCGGCCATCGTGTCCTTGCAGCAGGCGGGAACATAGATATGCGGTTGATCGTCTTCCAGACTACTCTGCAGAGCACCCAACATGGGATCCAGGGGGCAGAGATCTTCTCCGCTCTGGGTGTTTACCCGCTTGGCCGGAATGAAGAGCGCCTGTTGTTTCGTTGGGGATATTTGCGTTCGCCAGTACGACCGTCCTACGGATTTTCAGTTGGTATATATAGCTTGACTCGTCAGCGGCCGCATGGCCTGTAGCTACTGCCAGGCTTCAAAGACGGGAAGGCTGCTGCTCATAGCCAGAGCTGGCCAACATAGAGTTGGATGGTATGATCCGCCTACATACCATAACTTCCAAGGGCGCAGGATAGAGAGGGAGGCCACTGCTGCTCTATGAACCATAGCTCGAAGCATCTAGCTTATCGTCACCGTCGAGAACACTGTGATGGTGGTTAGTCATGATCGGTCAGAACTCGTAAACCGAGATTAACCAACGTACGAGAATTGCTTCACCAAATAACCCTCGCCGCCTTGCTCCATATCAATGTTGAAAACATAAAAGCCACCGTCACTTGTCACCACCATAACTTGAGGACTGCTGCTGCTCATGGCCACGACGCTTCTCAGCTGCGGTGTTGCGCTGGCGGTGGAGCCCGGCTTCTGGGCTGCCTTTGGTATCTTGATGTGGGCAAAGTCGCGCTGAGGTTCCCACATCTCGTTGACGGCCTGGGGGAGATAACTGCCTACGGCGCCCACGACCCTGCTGCCCATGATCTGCGACGATCGACGTAGCAGGCTACTAAACGAACCGCTCTGCCTCCTATGCACGTTGGGGGTCGCGGTCGCGGCGGGCGGGTTGGCCAGCTCGGCGACATCGCTCCGGGGCGAGCCGGTGTTGCTGCTGGGGGAATCGTTTCCGCTATCGTAACTCGGACCGCGAGACCAGCGGTCTCGAGGAGAGGCAGGGGCGGCCGACTTTTCGGCCGACGAGGGGCCGGGCTGCTGGAGACGGAATATGTGGATGGTGTCGGTGGTGGAAGACACGCACAGCAGGGAGCTGGTGGCGTTGAAGGACATGCTGGATATGGAGATGGGATAGGTGCCGCGGCGGAACTGGAAGAGCTTCTGGCCCTTGGGGACGCTGAAGACGCGGATGATGGTGCCGGTCTCGCTCGCGGTGGCCAGCAGGTTGCCCTCGTGGTTGAGGGCAATGCACGACAGGGGCGAGCGGTGGGCCTCGATGACGTTGACGGCCTTGAGGGTCAGGGTGTCGTAGATCAGGACGTCGCCCGAGGTGACGGGGGTATAGAGCGAGGCGGGCGGGGCGTGGGAAGGGCGGCGGTCCTGGCCGTCCTCGCGGGGCTTGGGGAGGGGGTAGGCCAGGTAGCAGTTGTCGGACGAGGGCGAGAGGGCGCAGATGGCCTGGGGGTTGGGGGAGGTGGGGATGTTGGTCAGGAGCGACATGTTCTGGATGTCGTAGAGGTAGATCTCGTCCTCGAGCACGACGGCCAGGCGCTTCCGGTTGAGGCGGACGGCGAGGACGGCCGAGGGGAAGGTGAGCTCGCAGATGACGGAGGCGCGCTTGGTATTCTGGATGATGAGGTGGCGGGGCGACAGGATGAGGGCGACGAGGGAGGTGGAGAAGAGCATCTCGATGATGGCGATGTTGCCATCGTCGCTGCTGAAGATCTTGGAGAAGGGGTCGGTGTGGTAGATGCGGAAGCCCTTGGAGGTGCCGACAGCCAGACAGCTGTGGTCCTGGTTGAAGGTGATGAAGTTGAGGGCCGAGTTGGACATGTTGTCGCCGTCGTCGCCGTCGCCGTCGGTGTCGGTGTTCTTGACGGGCCCGGCCGAGGGTCGAGTGTGGTGGACGCGGAGGGCAAGGACCCAGGACCCAGGACCCAGGACCAGGACCAGCAGGAGGAAGAGCAGGATAGAACAGAGAGAGCGCGGGCGCTGGGTCTTTGTCCGGCTACAGATGCAGGCACTGGACGTCTGTCTGCCTATCCGTCTTGACTACGGGCCGGGTGGTGGTGATATGAAGGCTGCCTGGTTGCGGCGGTACGAGACGGAGGACGGAAGACGAAAGCAGGTCACGCTCGACGAGAGCGGTCGGTCGGCCGGCTGGGCTGGTTGGAGGAGGCCGGGGGGCGGGGGGGTTGCCGTTCAACGCACAGGGACGGCCAGCGGTGTCATGCCCACACCAACAGCTACAAGGAGTGTCTCAAAGTTATTGGGTTCCCCTCCAACAGTCAGTCGCAGTCGGTCGGTCAGTCCACGGCTCTTGGTGGCATGAATATATCGAGTGGTTGGTTCAGTTTAGTCTACGGGTGGACAAGGCAGAGAGGGTGAAGGTGGGCAAAGTGGGGGGGGGAAGCTCCGTCAGTCGACCAGGGACAGCTCCAAAGTCAGTCAGTCAGTCAGTCCGTCCGTCCGTCAGTCACAGGCCCATGCCATCCCATCCATGGATCCCATCCAACCATCCAACCATCCAGCCATCCAGCCATCCAGCCATCCATTCTTACCATACCCATACGGGCAGACAGGCAGGCAGGCCATAGATCCGCTCCACCTTGTCCACTGGCGGCTCGAACCCACGCTGCATGCGCGTGCCCATTCGTGCCCCATGGTACTATAGTAGTCAGGCTGTCAGGGTACGTAGTCCGTTACTCTGCGTACTCAGTAGTCGGCATGGGTTGTTTGTCCATGTCCATGTCCATGTGCTGATCCCCACTGCCCCCGATCCGGCCTACCGCACGCACGCGCCATGGTACAACGCAGTCGCTTTGCTCGACGGGATCCATGATACCTGGCCAGGCTGAGCGCCAGAAGAGCACACAGCAAACCGCCAACCGCATGCTCCCGATCGATGAGTTTGCGTCCAAGCCACCCCGCAAGGCGTATGTAGGTAGCCTGCCTCCTCAGCTACCGCACCGCCCTCTCTTATCCCCTGTGCGCGTCTGCTACAGTGCAGCGTGTTGCCTCGGCTCGCCCAGCCAGGTCCCCATTGTTAAGCCAGCGTGCCCGCTGTTAGCACCGCAGGCCTGGCTGGTGGGGCCCGCCCCCATCACCTGGGGCGCTATCGAACTTAGCCGCGCTGTGGGGTCCAAGGTACCAATTTTCGCAAACCTCGTTTCTTGCATATTCACAGAGGGACCTGGGGGACGGGCGCGCGCCAGCGGTGCCCAATCAGAACGAGCAGAACGAGCCGCCGCAAAGAAAAATGCCAACCCGATTTCGTATACTCCCACTCCCTACCATCAGGCGGGATTTGGCAGACTGGCCGCTGCGATTGAGAGCAGCCCTGGTATTGCGTCTTCCGAGGACACAGGGAAACCATTCCAAGCCATATATCGCCGCCGACCCCAGCCAGTAAAACCGCCTGCACGGCACCGGCATATAATCCATCTCCCTCCTGGGGTATATACTTTCCTAAACCGTCGAATTTGTATATAGCACCGCTGCAACTCACTTTTGGAACCTATAGGACCTGCCACTGGGCTATACAGCCAAGATCATGGTTTCCAAAGAAAAGAAGCCCCCAAAGGGCCGCTCTGTCAAGGAGCGCGCCCAGGATGACTTGGTCATGTCGGTACGTCTCCGCCGAGCCCTGCTCTCACACTCTCCTTTCCAGCTGACAGCCGTGTCCTAGACAAATAGTAGCAGCATTGTCTCTAAGCGGAGTGTTGAGCGCATATACTACCCAGACGAGCCACACTTCTTCCGCTTCTTCGTCAAGAAGTTTCAAAGGCGCTCGCCTCTGATCAACAGGGGCTATCACCTCAGGCTGCATGTCATTGATGTTGCAGTCCGAAACTTTCTGAAACGACCCTCTGCTAAGACAAAGGTTGTCATCAACCTCGGTGCTGGCTTGTACGTTCTCCGCTTGCCGTTCTGATCCATAAGCATATGGCTAACAACCCCATTCCCAAGTGACGTGCTGCCCTGGCAATGCCTCACCAGGTATGCTGATGACTGTAAAGACGTCATCTTCGTCGACGTCGACTTCCCTGATCTTATGACAAAGAAGCGAAACGTTGTGAACGAGACGGCCGAGCTCAACTCCATACTGACCAACCTGCGGCACCCGGACGATCCCGTCTTGATGCTGCAGAGTGACCAGTACGTCCAGATTGGGTGCGACTTGCGCGAACTCGACCGCATTCGGCTGGCAATGGAAAAGGTCGTCAGCATCAATGACTGCGAGTTTATGTTTGTTGCAGAGGTTTCCATCACTTACATGGAAACCCAGGCCGCCGACTCAGTCATCCAGTGGGCCAGTTCTCTTGGACAAGGTGAGAACACCCAAGTATCCTTCGGCGTGCCTCGATTCTAATTCGACAACCCACAGCTGAGTTCTGTCTATTGGAGCAGATTCTCCCAGACGGCCCAGACCACCCTTTCGCCGAGACAATGTTGCGCCACTTCGACAAGCTGAAAACTTCGCTCAAATCAGTAGCATCGTATCCGGATCTCGAGGCCCAGAAAACACGTTTCATTTGTCGCGGGTGGCCGGATACGCACGTTGAAACTCTGTGGAGCGCATGGTCCTCTGAGAAGTACCTATCGTCACAAGACCGGCAGAAGCTCAATGAGGTCGAGCCATTTGACGAATGGGAAGAATTCGCCATTTTCGGTGGTCACTACTGTGTTGTGACTGCACGAACAAGCCAACCAGCCGCCGAAACGCCAAGAGGCAATGTTATGTCACTAGAGAATATACCCAGCCTCCATGTCGCTTCGCAATTCGGCGACCGTGGTAAACCATGTCACCGACGTTTTGGAGCCTCAATGGCACTGGAAAATAGTACCGGAGACCAATTCATTGCTGACGCATTTGGGCTCGGGAATACCAGCCGCCTCAAGTCTCTTGACCTATACCGTTCAGATCGAACAGTCAGAAGTGTGAACCTGGCCTCCACTGGGCCACCAAGCAGGATGTGTCACTCAATTGTGGACTTGGGCATCCACGGAAATCTTCTCGTCGGCGGTCGAGGGTCGCCTTCGAGCCCGCTGAAGGACTGCTGGCTCTTCGATAAAGCCAGAAAGTCTTGGTCCCAGGTTCACGACCTCCCGACGCCATTGTATCGACATGCCGCCACCAGGCTTGCCAGTTCAGGTCTGGCTCTCGTTGTAGGCGGCAAGACAGGCTCTGCCTCCGTCTTCGGCGGCTGCTTGATATACGACCCCGAGAAAGGATGGATCGAGTGTGAAATTAAATCAGAGCCGAAGTATACCCCCGCTTCTGGCGCAATTCTGGTCTGTACCGGGTCAACCTCAACCGGTTCGCTCAGTGAGGATTCTACATCAGTCATCTATCAGGGTATCTTGGCCGGTGGTCTTCTCGAAGATGGCACCATGGCCACACAATCGTTCTCCTGGGAGCTCAAACATTCGGATGCATCAGGGCCCACCATCACATTCACCCCGATTACCAACTCCGATGAAAATGGTCAAGACACTGGAATTCCCAGTCTCCTGAGGAGATACGGTTCGAGTGCGGTTCTTGATCAGCAAGGCCACCTGTTCGTTATTGGCGGAATTGTCGAAGATAAAGTCATTCCCCATGAACTTGAGATTTTGCTGCTTGACATAACAGGTCCACAGCTCAGACTTTTGGGGGCTGGTACAGCCGATTACGTGTCAGATTCGGCAACAGACACCATTCCTCGGCCGTTGCTGATAGGAATGTCTACATCGCAAATTGCCGATGGACGAGTGTTGATCACTGCAGGTGGTGCAACCTGTTTCTCGATGGGGACGTACTGGAACAAAGGTTCTTATACCTTGAAATACCCTCGCACACACCAAGCATCTACGGAGACCCTCGAGTATCGGAATACTTGGATATTTCATGAGACGGTCGAGCTTGCGGACAGCTCTGTCTCCCAGCTGAATGGAAAGCTGGACAGTCTTGGTTTGAAGCCATCGCTAGTCACTATCCCCAGGGTTCGACTTGACTCTCCAAAGGCTTTCACGGAGGTCTTAAAAGCGGGCAAGCCAGTTGTCATCGAGCAAGCGAACCTTGGGTGTTGCGTTCAAAAGTGGACACCCGCTCATCTTGTCAACCAGATTGGAGCCGACCGCAAGGTCACCGTTCATGAGGCCACTACGGCCAAGATGGATTTCAACACCAAAAATTTCAGCTACGTCACCAAGGGCTTTGGAGCATTTGTCCAGGAGCTCGAGAATGGGGGCAAGATGTACCTCCGGGCTCTCTCTGAGGAGCAGCCGGCCGACAGACCTGCAAACCTGGGTGAGGACTTTCCCCCTCTCGCAGAAGAGTTCCAACTACCTGCCGAATTGTCATTTGTTACGGAAAATATCCACAGCTCCGTTTTGCGAATGTCTGGGCCAGTCAACATGTGGCTTCATTACGATGTAAGTTTATCATTACGAGGTCAATAAGCACCAATCCACTGAAAATGTCCAGGTGATGGCCAACATCTACTGCCAGATAGTCGGCTCAAAACGTCTGATTCTTTTCCCGCCAACCGATGTCACCGAACTGTCTTTCGGTCCCGGGGCCTCTAGCTCCAGCATCAACGTATTCGCCGAGCTTGAGACCACGTCCCTGGCCAATACACATCCTCATGAAGCAGTGCTGAATCCCGGAGATGTTCTATTCCTGCCGCCCCTTTGGCTGCACACAGCAGCACCACAAAGCAACCTTGGTGTAGCTGTGAATGTTTTCTTCCGCAACTTGGAAGGCGGTTACTCCTCTGGCCGCGACGTTTACGGAAATCGTGATCTCGCTGCCTACGAGAAGGGGCGCCAAGACGTAGCACGGATAGTCAACGCTTTTGGAAAAGTTCCTCACGACATGAAGGAGTTCTACGTGAAACGGCTGGCCGATGAGCTCTTGACTAAGCTGCATGACTAGACGAGCCCACGACATGTCATCCTGTCTTTTCAATTCTCCGCTTCAGCAACTTATGTCTCGATGTAGTTGATGAGCGTACATGGCTGCTCTCCCCCACCGAACGCAACCGCTATCTCAGTCGCGGGAACATGGTGGTCGCTTGGGAAGCTTGGCCACTACGTCGATGAGGCAGCAGGGAAGAAACGGACAAGGAAAACCCCCGCAGGTGCTACAAAGACAAGCCGAGGCGAACAAAGCCAAGAGTTAGCCAGTACAGCAGCAGCAATACAATCATTGTGCGAGAGCAGGTTAGGTCTGTGTTGCCAGCTTCTCACTAAATCCGCCAGGAATGAATTCAATGGTAACACGACCGACTGTGAGCACCATCCAAAGGCCCGGCCTGGAATGAATCAGGCTTCCTCGCTACGAGCTTAAAAGTGACGATCCAGCCCCTGAGGGAGGACTATGGGCCTACGTATGTCCGTACGCCCGCAGTGGTACCAGCGTGAGTTTCTCGGTAGGATGCCCCATAATGGCATGAAGTCAACATCAACACAAGCCCAACGACGCAAAGCGCAATCACGAGATAAAAGTAGTAGAACCACATGAGGCCGCCCTAGGTGATCCTAACGGTGGCAACGAGCCGCCCAATTTGTGGTGCCGAGGCCCCACGATCCACGCATAAAGCCGAGCAGCTCGTTGGCCGGCTCCAGGTTGCCGAACCAGGCATTCCATGCAATGTCCTCGATACCATTGTGGGATCTGGGGAAGGCCATGCTCGGCTGGAGCGCGCCGAAAAGGCGGTTGTATGCACACGGAAAGGTTGCCCGCGGGCCGGGCCAAGAGGGTCTAGATGGCGACGCCACGCTGCCCAAGGTGGCAATGGATGACTTTGGCTGAGAGGGCAGCAAACAAGTAGCCGGTGAAGCTGGAAAGGAAGAGCATGGATACGAGCGTTTTAAGGGAGTCGGAGTATGGTTTCATCTCGGTATCGCATCAGTACCTCTGACTGCGCTGTACGACCTTGTGATATTCATGAATAGCGAATCACAATTCCAGTAGAAGTACCCTGCGTTCCCATGATTGCGCATGAGTAATTATTAGGCTTGCGAGCGATAACAAAGGCGTTGGTCCTGGTCTGGCACCATCACAGAAGTGAGTGGTCCTGCGAGACTTCCAGATGTCCTTTCTGTTGGCTCCCTTTCCGAGATCAAGACAGGGGCCTTAACCGGATATTCAAGGCCCCTGACCCGCACGTTCGCAGAAGCCTTGGCCTCGCTGCTGTCGGAAGGTCTGGGCTTGCACAGAGCAGAGGTGCCATGAGGAACCGAAAAGGTGAGGAAACGCCGTCATTAAACTTGCGAGGTTATCGAGACTGACTCATGAGGAACAGAATTGAGATAATTGTTAGGAACGGCGCTCGGCATTGAGACTGTCCATACGCTATAGTTAGCCAGCCTGGAGAACGGAAACGAATCCACGGAGCAGGATGGCCAAGTGATAAGGGACCCAGGGGAGGGACGCCGTCCAATAATCAATTCAGTGACTGCTTAAGTGCGCCCACAGACGTAGATACGGCATGGATATAGGACAACTTTTGTTTCGAGGAGTTATTTGGGTAGCTTCCTCACCCACGGCATACCAGCCACGTGATAGCCAACTTGCACCCTAACCGAGCATGTTTTGACTACTAGGGGAGGAAAGAAGTAACGTTCTAGTTGATATCTTCCTCATGCCTTGTTTCCTTAGGTCTTGAGGGATGAGATTGACGAGGAACAAGGTACCAGTGCTTGTCTTGTCTGACGCAAAAAAACTCGGGTGCCTATCCCGCTTGATGCTGCTCAGATGCCTGTCCCAATCTGGGTGGTAGCTATGTGGACTGCCTATTACCCATGCATCTCTACCGACGGTAGTAGATGATCAAAGGCATTCAAGTATAGCTATTTGTACGCTCACACATGTTTATGTACTCTATGAATATTCCTGGAATCCCAGTCACTATATGCCGCGATGCTGGAGGAAATCGTGACTGGCCATTTGAGTGCTCTTACTATAAAGCAAGAACCTATCAACTGGCCGACGAAACAGATGCTAACGATGAGTAAAATGAGCCGTCGAATTTTCCAGTTCGAATCTGATAATCCATTGAACGCTGGCGTGTTCCAACTGTATCTCATAGCTGTTACGGCCGATGAATTGGAGATGACAACAAATGATAGCTCAGTGTTAGCATTTTGACTGGCCAATATTTGACTAATTTGAGGCGGCTCTGAAGATGATCAACGTCAATTGCCTGTTCGAGAGATTATCCATTGCCTTGTTGTACAGTGCCTTGCGAGCAGCCATCATAGACACTAGGAGCAATCATGCGGCGTTCTCGGAGGATCAACGACGAATTTCACTGTGTCTGGGGATCGACCGACGGCGTCTCTTCTTAGCAAAGATGGACCTATCATAACTGCCATCGGAGCCAACACCTTGACTTGCTTGTCGCGGGTCTTGTCACACTTCATTGTGTGGAAGCCAAATTCATCAAGCTCCTCGCCCCGGGAGTGTTGGGAATGGCACGAGAGTGACCAGTCTAAGCACTTGAACCCGATAATACTTTCATCAGTTCATCCACACGATGATTATTGTCTCAGTTCACTACGCTATGTTCTGGTATATTGGACAGCAACGGCAATGACAGATACGGACTTGAAATGGCAGGAAGCTTCCGAGAGATGGGCTCAACGCCAAAATTTCGACATTGGGAGGTTTACTTCAGCGTAGGACACTCGGGGGAGGCGCGTAGATTGCCTTTTCCGTCTGGAACAGCTCCTTCACAATACCGCTAACGCAGCAATACATGATTGTAGGGCAGGCTCCATGTGTTGTATCACCTCAAGAGGATGTTAGCATTACGGAACTCAGGAACGCACCCCGGCTTTCATTTGGCGTTCAAACATGATCGGCGACTGGATGTAAGCGGCGACTGAACAATCCAGGCTGTCTTGATTGTTTCCTGCAGCAGACCCTGTACAGACATCGTTGAGAGCCAAACCCCCTGAATCCGTCTCATATAATCACGAATCGTTCGACTATGAGATAATTCGTATTCTTTCGGCCGTATCTATTCTCTAGTCATACATACCAAAATACATCCAGTGCCTTCTTGTCACTGCCTCCGGACCAATGACTCATTCACCTAGATACCAGTTCCTTGGGCAAAGCCAACCAGTGTTCCAACAATGACCATGATCATTGGCTATTAAGTCTAGCCTTGGCTAGACTGCAGTCATCCCCCTTTCCCATTCCTGGGCGTTGTCATTGTTTAAGGAAAATATGCACCTACGATACCGGAAGTTGGGTCAGCCCGAGAAGCGCTGTAGCATAGCCTGCTTATCTGAGCTGAAATCACGGTCCACCAAGGGTGGGCACTGCATCGGCTGGTGAGCATCGTGATATTTCTTCGCAGAGTTCAGAGGGTTACATTCCCAGCCTCTGAACCACGATCTGCCAGAAAGCACACTAATATCAGTATATTCGTCAATGCCACCCAATTCGAAGCCTATGGGTGGCTATGCCATTGCTGCGCCTCTGTTGATAACAACTGGTGATGGCACCCTGTTTGGTCCCGCTTAGTGGAACATGGGCCTCATTGCATAGCAAGAATCGTGGCGCCTGCTGGCTACTTCAATATTCTACGAACGGAATCGGCGCTCTTCTCAAGTTGGATATATCCTTCCTCACGAGGGCGAGTTGGCATCGGGTGATCCACTCTTGAACATTTGTTTTCTGGGCAGGGACGACAATGCCCCTTCGACAGTGCCTTTTACCAAGTACTTGAGCCACCCCAGGAAAACATGGCTCTAACCACACGAAGGAGGATGCGTTATAGAATCACACCTATCTCGTGTACATGATCGCCGAGGGAGCTGTACATAGCCTGGAATGTCTGCTTGGCGACGCTACTTGCAAGATGCCCGCACGATACTTCTTGACGCTTGGATACTAATCAATCCTTCGTGGTGGCACAAGCTCAGCGGTAATTCAACAGTTCAGTAGCCAGGATGATGCACTTGTCACAACCATTGGGCGAAAGCAAGATGTGAGTCTGTACTTTCGCCTTCACGAGGAACGCAAGCAATCTAGCGGCGCGGGCTTAGCAGTGTCTCGACCTGTCTGACTCTGGCTGTGATTCCTCCCCAGAGGTACACCCAATGCCTTCTACCTGCATCGGGAGGCGCACTTGCCGTGTACATAAACATACCAGTGATAAGCATCCCAAAAGGCGGCGCCTGGCCGCCCGGCGGGCCCCTACGTTGCATCACACAACATCAGCCCTACGGAATATGCCATTTCTTTGAAGAAATGGTGCTCCAGCACAGGGAGACACGCCACAAGCTTACATGAGCGTGAGCCAATCGGCAAATGTGCATTGCCCGCAGATTCGAAATGACCACCTCGCTGGGTGGATTTGTTCTAGAAGGTCTAGTAAGCAGAGAAAGTGCAGCCGCACCACGATCTGCACCTTGAACCACCGACCAGGCAGGTAACACACTATACAACCTACACATACGCCATCTGGGGCTCAGTGCAGCTACATGATAACGATTCAAGCGGCTGCGACCCTGCACAAAGGACGTTGCATCATCATTCTTGAGCTCGACGGGACAATTGCAAGTCAGCGTATTCCGGAGCAGGGCGGGAAATACTGCTGCCTGGAAAACGGCACCAGGGGTTGCTCATTAGCACGCAACAGGCCATGCCGTTTGCAGAACGCTGCTGTCCAGCTGCATGTCTTCGTCGTAGCAGAGATTCAGCATGGGCGAGTTGGAGATCGACCCGCAGGTCTGGGTGTGATCACGGGAGAGCTGGGCGGAATACGGTGTACTATGGAAGAAGGATTCACAGTCGGCGGGAGACAAGGGTAATGATTGGACGGCCGCATTGTGACGAGCTTGGCCATGAATGGATCCCCGCCCAATCCCGAGTGCGAGTGCTGCAGCACCGTTGGATCTAATTCGTGCTTGAATGGCAGCAGATGACTGCATTGCTTCAACATGAAATCATATCGAATCCTTCAAAGCTGTTGCAAGTCCGGAACTGGGACCGCGTGGGCTGTCATCCATGTCCGCCCCGGCACTCTGTGGAACGGCACTCTGGAAATCACCCGGAAAACCCCCCAAACTCCGCGTCTACATCTAAGTCCTGCAACGGGAAAGTGCCATTTTGATTCCGGGCCTGGCTGTCTCATCACAAGCTGCATGACGTCTTTCTGGAGCGCCCTTGAATCCGCTGGCTGAGCCGGACAAGACGCCAGTTGAGCCAGCTGTATGTAGGTGGCATTGCATGCTTTCTGGTGCCGGCATGGCTTCGCTTCGGGTGTAGATTATATCCGTGGCAAGCTGGTACCGGACTTAGGAGTCTACAGCAAACCGCTCCGCCGAGACTACAGACATGAAGTGGTGCAAGACGATGTGACTGGGTTTGAACATTGTCCTACTTGCGATCAGACTGATGGTGGTCGCTCTCCTCATCACGAACTCGACACACGAGCCGAGGGTTCTCAGCCGTTTTGGTTGGTTGTTAACCCATTGATGGTTATTCAACCAGACAAGGATCCCAGGTTGTCTGCGTTGCGCGGTCACATCCTTGGATTGACCTTAGGAGAGCCTCGCGCAAGACGTTGCTGCTATTCTAGCTACCATCACAATTAGACGCGCTATCATTAGGTAGGTGTATTAGGTCAGCGTCCTGTGGCTCTAGATTCGTATTGTATTGTCAAGTCATGTCTTGCGCATCGACTTCGTGGGTCTAGAGAGAGAGGAGGCGGAGCGTGTACCCAAACAAGTTAAAGTGACTTGGTCAGGCAGTTCCGAACTTAGCCAGGTTCATGCCGTCTATACGATGCAGCGAATAGAATTTGAGCACGACGTAACACAGTGACTGGACCCTTTGGCACCTCGCGGCTCGTGTTTCTCTGCACTGGATTCTTGAAGTACGTCTAGGACTCGTCACAGATGGAAAGGGAGGACCAGGATCTCTCATAACGCGCGAGAGCCCTCACTCACCGGTCACCATCCTCGGTCACCACCCAATCCAAAAAGGCACGTAGGCGCTCAAGTCTGAACAGGCTTCCTCTAAAATTGGGTTTTCGGGTCAAAGGGCTGGACAAGAACAACAAATATCATCGGCAGTCCCATGGGTGAGGGACTATCAACGGTGTTCGGGGTGGTTTTGGATCGAGGGTGACCCGAAACGCACAGCACTGGGTGAGCTAGGGTCACCGCTAAACCGACAGATTCAAAGGCAGACAGACGGTCTCAGGGCCTGAACAGGGGTGGCTGCGCGCTGATGCTGAGATTTAACGCATTCCGATTGGATTGAAGCCTTCTGCAAGAGGCGAGGGGACCAATCGCAACCCCGATCTGGTGCTTAAAGAACGGGGTTTTGGGAAAATCATAAGTTGACCGCCCTTCCGCGATTGAAATGGCGGGCCGCCCTCATCCCATTTCATCACATTATTGATAGCGAGGACCCGCAATTCGAAGAAGCGCGCGGCCGCCGCAGCCCTCAACCGGGGATACTGCCATCAGGGTCTTGAAGTGGCCGCCTCGCCCGCTGTCGCCTTGTCGTCCAGGCTTGAAAGGGCGGGATCTGGGGGCAGCCCAACTGCACGGCGCCGTGTTGAAGCAGCGGAAGGGCGACATAAGGCTGAACGCACGTCAGCACCTTCTTTCGTAAGTACCCTGTCCCATGGACACAAGAAAACGTGGGATGAACCGCTTGACTTGGCCTCCATGGACCTGTCAGCACCCTGTGTGTTGGACATGATCAAGCTTCAACTCGGGGGAGTGTGTTTACGGCCCCCGTCTTCGCCTCGTGGCCGTGAAGCGCGGAGTGTTTATGCAGTTGGCGTTTCTACATGAATAGTTCTGATGATTATAATCTGGCGCGCGATTTGCCGCGGAAGCTGACTTGGGGAGATAAGTAGTACTGATGGCATGTCTCATTCGACACACACCCGGGAGAGAGCTATACCCATTGGCCTGCGTTTCATCGGAATCTGTCACGGCCGCCGCAACATTGCTGGTCGCTGGCAGAAGCACCTTATCGGGCTGGTGAGGATCTGTGTATGCATACGTATCTAGCAAGATGAGGCTGATCAACAAGCCAAGGGCCGTTTTGCTAGCTGTGATTGGCGCTGGCCGTTACACTACAATAGGTCACCGGCTGTGGCTTTTGGTCTGAGCTACGTAGCCTCTTGTCTCATCAATGAGGCTCTGGTGCGGACGAGAGGCGACGTGACATGCCACCTTGCCATCACACGGAGACAAGATGAAACATTTTCACGATGCCGTTGGTTCGCGAACCTCCGGAATTGGATTGCCTCGAATCCAGTCTTAGGGGACCCCCTGTCTTGTTGATCAATGGGGAGCAGGGGACGAGTTTGCGATCTTATCATTGCCGGCCGTCACTTGACTGGACTCTCTGCGAAGGTTTCGGTCCGCGCTTGAAGAAGAATCTCAGGTTACTCAAGCCAGCTATTGACGCGGCAAGTCATAAGGCTCGTATTACATGACGGGTTGAAAGCAACACTATACTGTTACACAAAACAAATACCTTGCAGATACTCAGCCCTCGAATGCAACCGATAAGCCGCAGTACGTATGAGTGTACGAGTGACGGACGAGTGGGCTACATACTATGTAGTGTGTACGAGCGGGGAGGGGACGGGCAGCCTTGGATTGACTTGGCTGTGTTGGGTGTACGCTAACTCTACTATCTGTGAACGACGTGCAACGGGTTGGCTCCGCGTGTATACCAGTCGGAAACGGGCCAATCGTGAGCGGTGCCGTTGGGCAGCACCCCTGAGACCGGTCTTGGCAAGTTGGGGTCCTACCATGGAGACATGACCAGGGGGCTAGGGTAGGCTGGCCTCGTCCCAGGCGGGTCCTGCATTGCACTTTTCGACGCAGGGATGCAGGAGGAGACCTCTCTAAAAACGGATCCCAAAGTACTGCCCCAAGTACCTTGCCCTCCACCCTGACCTGACAACTTGATGGGTTGCTGCCATGCAACTCCTGTGCAGAGTGGGTTTCGCGCGCTGCTGCTGAGCTCGTCGCCCAATGTATGGCAGAACCGTCACGCTGGGTCACCCCTGATTGGACGCCGGTCCGCCCTCCTCTCAGTCATTTGCTCATGCCCCTCTCCCGAGGTCGCGAATGGCATGATTTTCTTCCAGCGACCCTACTTACCCTGTGGCCAGCATCGCCTTGGCACCTGACGCGACAATCCCGCCCACCCACATTGATTGCCTAGTTCAGGCGGTAGGCGCCCCTTGGAAAGTTTAATCTCGAATGGAATTGGTTTGGGCCATAGCATTTCCCGTTGCTAACAGATCGCCGGTCATCTCTCTATGTTGGCGTGTTGCAGGAGAGACTGGAGGCAGATGGACGATGGGCGGGCTGAGCAGGGCGGCGGAATCAGTCACTGAGCGACGGAGTTCGGGACAATGGTTTGTGCTTTCCTCAGTCATACCCAGCGAGTCCGGTCCGCACGCACGTACATAGCCCCGTGGTGATCCGTAGACTGGCCACGAACCAGAGGCCATGCTTTTCTGGGTCTGTAGACTGTCGAGACTGCCAGTGTAAGGCAGCCACTGCAGAATTACTCTTGCCGGAGGAGCCAATGAGGAATAATCAAGTACCCCTTTCTTGTCATTCCCGATCTGACATTCGGGAACGGGTCACTGATCGAGGCAAGTTTCGAACAGCAGGGCGCTGATCTCCTGGTGTTGACGTTTCCGACTGGCGGGAACCCCGTGCCTATGTGTTGCATCGTGACGCACGCCACACCCGCCGCCGGCGATGGGCCGTTCGACGGGGCATCGGCGGCCGCCTCCAGTGGTAGGCCCGCTGGGCGGTGGTCAAGTAAGCTTAAAATGCGAGTCCGCATTCTGTGCCGCATAGGGCTGAGTTCAACATTGAAGACTGCGATTTTTTCAAGGAATTGTATTGTACGTATAGTCATTTCTGCCCACTCTTAGAGCTACCATGCGCCGGCGTCCCTGCCATCCAAAATACATTGTGCCGTGACAAATGCGCCGTTGTTCGTAGTGTTACATGATATCCACCAGAAGGAGAAAAAATCCCATCCTCCTTTGGAGGCTATCTCTATGTGACGTCTTTTTTCTTCAGCATCATCCCACTGAAACCTTTCAATCATTATGTGTGTACTGTAGGAAATGGACGTGACTGTCGCCTCTACGGCGTTCGTTGATACAGGCGAGACATTAATAATCTCTACGCATTAAAGCCGAAACTGGCTCGAGGAGGTTTGGATTTGAACTTCGTGGGCGAGGGCTTGCCATGGGAGGTAGTTGAGTCGGCGGTGCGAGAAGATTGGGAGAAGGCCGCGAGTATGCCGATGTGTCGTAGCCTTCTGAACGTAAATCAAGGGTGCCAATGTCAAAACGCTTGGAACATCCGTCTTCCATGTGCCTGAAGTCCTGTTAGCAGTGATTCATAAGGCGAGTGGTGGCTCTCGCGTATGCACTTACCTTCTTAATGTGTCCTTTCTTGCGAACAGACGGCTGCAGAAATCGCACCTATGGTTTTTCTCCTTCATATGTACGCTCTGGTGATGTCTTTGAAGGTCCGTCTTGCGTACGAACTTCTTAGAGCATCCGGATACCGCGCATGGAAATGGATACTCTCTGTTCTCATCGTGGGTTTCCAAATGCGCCTTGTAGTTGTAGCTCCTGCTGAAGAGCTTCCCACAACCCTTTACTTCGCACTGATAGTTTGCTTCTTCCTTTGTGGTGAGCCTCCGTGGCTGCTTGGTCCTCTGATGATGAGGTCCCCGGATCTTGTAAGGCTGTCTGCCCTGGATGAGTGACGGTGCTGCCATGTTTGAGCCGGTCCCAAATGCGTCCGGCTCCAAAGGCCCGTATTCAGATTTCGGCCAAGAACTGGATGGTGCATCCGACAGATAGCCAGAACTACTTGCCGCACTGCTATAGCCACCCACCTCAACCGGTAGAGCTGTGCCTAGGTGCGGCGACGGGTATCGAGGAACATCAGACGGATCAGGATACTCGCTGGCGCCCTCCATCTTGACGTGTGGTTGAGGGGAGTCGCAATGACTGTATGTGGTGTAACTTGGGCGGGAGGACAGGTCTGATGAATGCGAAAGTGTTCTGGATAGTGATTGTGAGTCGAGTGACACTGCTGGCGCGTGTGCGTGTATTGACGAATAAATATCGTGAGTTGTGTACGGTGCCGAGAGAGCAGGATCGTAGTTGGCAAATGTGTTGTAATCCCCCGACAGGATGTTTGGGATGTCTGCAGATGTCGAAGTGTGCAACAGTGCAGGATTATTCCACTCAGCGGAAGTTGTTGCATCCAGAGGGGGCAGAGACTCTGAGTCGAGGTTGGGATCCATGCCGCAGTTCTGGTCGTACAAAGAAGTAAGCTTATAGTGTGAGTCCACGAGGTCTGGCGAGGGGTAGTCGGTGTTTGGCGAGGACACAGGGGATCTGCTCAAAGGCGGAGGTGACAGATCCATCACGAGGTTGGTGCAGTCTTTGAGGACTACTGTCGTAGCGGGCAGATGATATGATATATGTGTGATGTGGAAGGATGCGCCCCCGGGACACAGCGAAGAGCAGAAGTAGCAGCTTTATAAATGAACCTTTCTTCTTGCTGTCATGAACTCTCATGAATATGCCAGGAATGGATTGCCAGTCTCTCGGGTAAGGCTAGGGTCGCGAAATCGATTTGATATATGTAACGGAGCAGCACTTAGGGGTACACTGGGTGTAAGAGGGTAAACTAGGGTGGGCACGATTCTGGGATAGCATACTCCATATAAGTGTACTGGCTGGCTGGTCAACACGGCAGGGGGAGCGTAGTGACTGGCTTTAAGCGCGCTGCAATCGAGGCAGACTCTGGCACTTGTTCTATATACACAGGGTCTAGCTCATAGGGGAGCAGGGCTTCTGCCTGTTGATCAAATTGCGTCGAGCGGCATATGAGTGAAGGGATCAAGAGGAATTGGGGGGGTAGTAGTTATGTGGGACCACCGAAAGCCTCCCCCCCCCCCCCTTCGCAAAGGACCCCATGAGTACTTGGGAGTTGCATGCGAGGTACTTCCACTCAAGCGAGCGAACAGGTTCTTGGTACGCGCGGGTCCACACAGAGACGGCCTGTGGGTTCAACGCCGGCGGGTCGGGCGACCTGCTCTCGGTTGGTGACTAATAAGGCTGGAGGACAGGGGCCATTTTGTTAGGCTAGCCTTGGCCAGGAACCTATTCCCATCTGCCACTGAGAGGCCATGCTCTGGCTTAGAGGCAGGATGTTTTTGGTAACAGCAGCGCCCAGGGCTCGCAGGGCCTTGCTCTACCCACCTCGATAGATGTCACGATGCCAACTTCGGGCCGAGACGAAAGGTCAGAATGCGCATGTGGCTTCAGTATACGAGACAGCCTCCGCGGGTTGAAGAGCCATCACGGTCCCTCGACTCGTATCAGTCGTGGGCTGAACATCTTCAAAGTCAGATCTCGAGCTTGGGAATCAACGTACGGGGAAGATGAGCCGCAGACCAGGCAGAGGCATTGACTACTTTCAGGGGTGCGGACGGGATTGCGGATAGAGATTGAGGATGCTGGTGCGCTATGCAGAACGAGTCTCGTCCACCATCGGGTTAAGACGAAATCAGATCCGTTCCAGACTTGCCGCCCATCCCCAATACTCGCAACAGAGAAAACAGTAAGTTAGCAGACTGAAGCTATGATAAAGCGAGTTGGCTGGACCCCAAGACTAGATCAGATGGCAGGCTGCATCCCTGGAGCCTTGCGGGCTTGGTGTGGATAAAGCACCGGGAATAAATTCTACGCGTGCGACTGTCAGGGAGTGACTAACTACCCGTTACTACCGAAACGGGAGCCCCAGAGGTATCACAACCACTGCAATGGCCAATACCGGTAGTGATTCCTCATTCTAATGCAGGTCTGCATTGACAGAGTGCCACAGGCTTGGATGAGATCTGAACGTCGGCGATGCACAACGATTTGTGTTCCTACGAGGCAGAATTCCGGTTCTGGAGAGCAGATCGGGGTCCCCCCTGGTCGTTGGTAACGGTCTGGCACGTTTTTATTTTATTTAGCTCAGCCACGGCCCAGACGACTGTTTTAGGGCAAGGATGGCGAGCTATGGGCAACAACAATGTCAAACACCAATCCGCAACGCCGTCCGACAGGTCAAGTCTGAGATGGCATTTCACTATGAGGTCATGCACCTGGCCATGAAATGCGAAAGGCTTCCAACTACACACAGACATGCACCGTGCAGACTCACCGGCCTGCGTGTAGATCATTAACTAAGTACATACATACAACATCACCAACTTACAAGTCTCGTCCCGCTGCACGATCCGATTTGACGAGGAAACGGCGGGCCGTCGTCCTCGCTAGGGGACTGAGCGTCTGTCATAACGAAGCTGAGATTGCGCGTGGGAAGGATTCGGCGAAGTGCCAGACTGACTGGTTCATGCGGGCAGGTATGCGGAGCGGGTGGTAACACCAACACCGCAAGTGGTTACTGGGAGATTACGTAGACTGGGTGGCAGCATCCAGAGTAATTATCATATCAGATCAGATCAGATCATATCCGCGACGGTCGAGGGAGATCCTCCGGTCCCTGGAGTCAGGAAAGCACGCTGTGGCGATGCGGACGATCGCAGTCTGGGGTTGCGCTGAAAGTACTCCCATGGTATGCATCACGGTCTGCCTGTCTGTCTGCGGGATGACAGAGACAACACAGGACTGCGCTAAGCAATCAGCAGTCAACTACTTCGCACATAGACAACGACAACAACAACCTTGGAACTCGCGGGCAGGCCATTGGACCTGATTCGGACAGTCTCACAAAGTCTGTATTGTGGGACGGACTATATTGGCAGTGGAGAGGACCGAGCTCCACCGGTTCCAGCAAAGACCCAGAGACTAGAGTCCCACAAAAGACGCTAGGATGAAAGTACCGCGCAGGAGAGTTGGCCCACAGCGCCATTGTCCACCCATCGCACACGACGCATAGGGAAAGGCCCTTGCATGGGCCGTAAGCACACAAGCGCTACCCACTGCCCGGCCGGCCTGCTGGTTAATAAACTGACTGACATGGAAGCGACCTTGCCGTGGATGTGTAGTCCCCTGGCTTGGCAGACTGGAGAGTTGGGGGCCAAGCGATTGCTCTGCACTAAAAAACGAAACCCAGCTGCCTCGGACAGTTGGACTCAGGGAGACAGCGGTGCGCACATGAAGCTCTTCCCGGATACCTATGCAGACTGACGGTGGGCTCCTCGTTCAACTTTGCCTTTCTGGGTCTGGTGTGGTTGGGCCGGCCGGCATCGCATGGCATGTTGAAAGTCCCATCCCCATGACGCTCTCTGCCATCACTAAACAGTCCCTAGCACCTACCTGGGTAACTATAGGACATGGTTTCCACCACACGTCCAGGCCCCTTTGGATCTGCAACAACGAATCCCTCCCGTGAAAGAAACTCGGCAAATCAAGCCGTTACCTGCGTCGAAGGAAGAGAAGCCTGTCGTTCCCAAGCCGGCTCATATCGAGACCCTGGTGCATGCTGTTGAATCCATCACGCAGCTCCCCTCCCAGGCGGTACTTGCTGGCTCCAGGGTCTTGTGAAATGAGCAGGAGCCGAACATAATCCTCCTTCCATGCCCACGTGGCTGATATCGAGAAGCCTTATAACGTTCAGGAGCAAGAGTGCATCTCGGGATTCGGTACATGGCGTGGCTCTTTCCGCCGTGTCCGGAGCCTTGGGCCACGCAGTGTCCCGGCGACACTGTGACCAAGCAAGCAGACAGGCCAGCACTGAGTTAGTCATGTAGACCTGCAGAAACTCCATATTGCCCTCGTGCCATCACATACTGCTCGCTTTCGGGTCTGGGAGAGGACCCCGGAGGCTGTGACTGCGTCAAATGCGCAAAACACTCAAGGCCGCCCCAAGACACAGCCCTACTTCCCAGACTTGGCCACTCTATAGATGGTGCCTCTGATCAATTTGCCAAGCTGCTCCATTCCCAACATCGGAATGTCATCAACCCGAGCTCGCAGCTCAGCCACGTCGAGAGGTTAGCCATGGATGTGGTCAAGAAGGTCAACTCAATATGAACTTTTGATATTTTTCTTTTTTTAGTTCACGGCCGGAGGACACCCGCATTCGGCTAGAGCTTCACGGGCACATTGTAACATCGTGGGAAAGACGCTAACTAGTGCTACTTGGTGAGAGTTAAGAAGGACTACCGGATCATCCAGGTGCAGGACCCGGGTATCCATCAGCTATCAATAAAATGGAGGGTTTTGAAAAAGGGAGCACTGAGCGGCAACTCCCGTTACTGAGATGAGAGCCTGTGGTCCGTGAGAGTCACTCGGCGGGCTCTTTCGTGACTCACTACTGATAAAGCAACCGAGGCATGTTCAAGGGCCATTCCTAGCACCACCGTCTTATCCACTTTGATCAGTGGGTAACTCATGTGCCTCGGATTTCTGGACGTTCTGATCCGGTCACCCAACCTGGGCTCACTACTCAAGTTATTGGGGGCAGGCGATGAGGCAGTTTGCAATCTCATCACAGCAATTCTGCTGAGAGAAATACGGCAGATGGCATGGCACGGCAAGGCTGGACAGGCATGTTAATAACGCCATGGGCTCGGCCCGTGGTGTAGCATGCTCGAACCCCAGTAACCGGGACCGGTTTCCGTCGTCTTCAGCAGGACCTATGGCAATTTGTCGCTGCGTGTCATAGACGAAACCTGCATCGATTCCGCCCGTCAAGCAGTTCAGAGCCATGGCGATCAGTTTCAGACAATGAGCTTATTTGAACGTCCGAGGCATTGAAACGTCTTCAAGCCCCATAGCCCGGAGAGCTGGAACGGCGAGGAGGTGCAGAAGAGAGCAAAGCAAACAGCCATACATGCCAACGACCTGCTTGCTCCCGCTAGAGAAGGCGACTTGCGCAGTTGGGGGCAGGATACGTGGGTAAACCGCATGTTCAGACAGAATCAGCCGCCTGATTGTAGCAGCAACTACGGCTGATCATCCAGACCCCAAGTTGGCAAGACCAGCAGTGGAAGAAGATCTACAACATGTGCCGTCAACGAGAGCTGATGAGAGTTCGGCTCGTTGAACCTGCGCGGCTGTGCGTTGTGTGAGTGCGAGTGTGAGCGTATGTACAGAGTGTGTGTGTGTGTGTATGTGTGTGTGTGTGTGATGGTGATGAGCCGATAATCGATCGGCCTTCCGAGTGAGCCGCGTCCAGAATGTGGCGGTGGTTACCTTATGGCTGTGCGGCCCGGAGAGACATGTGGCGGTCGCTGCCTTGCCGGGCGCATGGACCAGCCGCTGGTGATTCATCCAACCGCGAACTTTGCAAAAATATCGACAGCTGCCATTTTTGTCAACCGCTCGGAATCCCAGCTAATATTGAGGGGGTTTGTGAGGGTTGTATTGTTGCGCGCCAGTTCGGAGGGGATTCGCGTACCCAAAGCCTGAGCCGTAGCAGGTCACCGAGGGCCACAGCAAAGGGTGAACTAGATACCTGGGAAGCCTGCAATGCGAGCTCTATGATACGCAACAAAAGGAAAGCAAAGCGGCTCTCAGTAGAGCTGACCCTGCCGTTGGATTTCAATCACCCGTAATCTCGATTGCGATTGTGGCGGGCGGGCCCAATCTCCAGACCTACCACGGCCATAACTCATCAAGCTCTGCTGCTCTGCTGCTCTGCTGCTCTGCTGCTCTGCTGCTCCTGCTCGCCTCCGGCATCTATTCGCCAACGAGCCTTTTGGCTCGGAGCCGCCTGAACAGAGTAACATTCTAACCTGGGGGAAATATTCCACACAGCCGCCACCATGAGGTTCTTCATTGACGACCTGCCGGTCCTCTTCCCGTATCCCCGGGTGTATCCGGAGCAGTATGCCTACATGTGTGACCTCAAGAAGACGCTCGATGCCGGCGGCCACTGTGTCCTTGAGATGCCTTCAGGAACTGGAAAGACTGTGTCCCTTCTATCCCTCATCGTGGCCTACCAGCAGCACTACCCGGAGCACCGGAAGCTCATCTACTGCTCGCGTACCATGTCCGAGATCGAAAAGGCACTGCAGGAGCTGAAAGCGCTCATGAAGTTTCGTGCCAACGAACTCGGCCACGTCGAAGATTTCCGCGGCCTGGGCCTGACCAGTCGAAAGAATCTGTGTCTCCACCCCTCTGTCAAGCGCGAGAAGAGCGGTGCCATCGTGGATGCCAGGTGCCGGAGCTTGACGGCTGGATTCGTCAAGGAAAAGAAGGACAAGGGCGAAAACGTAGATGTATGCATCTACCACGATAATTTGGACCTGCTAGAACCGCACAACCTTATCCCGAATGGTGTCTGGACCCTTGATGGGCTGCTGAGATATGGAGAGCAGCACAAGCAGTGCCCGTACTTTACGGCGAGGCGGATGATGCAGTACTGCAACGTCATCATCTACTCATACCACTATCTTCTTGACCCCAAGATAGCCGAACGGGTGTCGAAGGAGTTCTCGAAAGACTGCATCGTCGTCTTTGACGAAGCACACAACATCGATAACGTCTGCATCGAATCACTCAGCCAGGATATCACAGAGGACTCGCTTCGGAAGGCCACAAGAGATGCTCAGAACCTGGAACGCAAAATTGGCGAAATGAAGGAGACGGATCGGGAGCAGCTCGAGAACGAGTACCAGAAACTGGTCGAGGGACTTCGAGATCACGAAGAAGCGCGGCAAGAAGACGCATTCATGGCGAACCCCGTGTTGCCAGACGATTTACTCAAGGAGGCAGTTCCCGGAAACATCCGCAGGGCGGAACATTTCGTTGCCTTCTTGAAACGGTTCATCGAGTACCTCAAGAGCCGGATCAAGTCTCGGAAGGTCACGTCGGAAACGCCGACCTACTTTCTTGATCACCTCAAGGAGCACACCTTCATAGAGAAGAAGCCCTTGCGCTTCTGCGCCGAGCGGTTGACGTCGCTGGTCCGAACGCTGGAACTCACAAATATTGAGGACTACCAAACACTGCAGGAGGTTGCGACGTTCGCCACCCTGGTAGCTACGTACGAGAAAGGCTTCCTGCTGATCCTCGAGCCCTTTGAGTCAGACACTGCTGAAGTGCCAAATCCCATTCTGCACTTCACCTGTCTCGATGCAGCTATCGCTATCAAACCCGTCTTTGACAGATTCAGCTCCGTCATCATCACGTCTGGTACAATCTCGCCTCTGGAGATGTACCCGAAGATGCTGGGTTTCAACGCCGTGGTCATGCAGTCGTACACGATGACGCTGGCACGCAAGTCTTTCTTGCCCATGATCGTCACTAGGGGCAGTGATCAAGCACCAGTGTCGACCAGCTTCCAAGTCCGAAACGAGCCGAGTGTTGTTCGCAACTACGGAAACCTCCTGACCGAGTTCGCCAGGGTCACGCCTGACGGGATGGTGGTATTTTTCCCGTCATATCTCTACATGGAGTCCATCATTAGCATGTGGCAGGGAATGGGTATCCTGGATCAGGTCTGGAAGTACAAGCTCATTCTCGTCGAGACTCCCGATGCACAAGAGACCTCGTTGGCGCTTGAGACGTACAGAACAGCCTGCTGCAACGGGCGCGGTGCGGTGCTGCTGTGTGTCGCGCGTGGCAAGGTCTCGGAGGGTATCGATTTCGACCACCACTACGGGCGCACCGTGCTGTGCATCGGCGTGCCGTTCCAGTACACGGAGTCGCGTATCCTGAAGGCACGCCTCGAGTTCCTGCGCGAGACCTACCGCATCCGCGAGAACGACTTCCTGTCCTTCGACGCCATGCGGCACGCCGCGCAGTGTCTGGGGCGCGTGCTCCGAGGCAAGGACGACTACGGAATCATGGTGCTCGCCGACAGGCGGTTCCAGAAGAAGCGCGACCAGCTCCCCAAGTGGATCGAGCAGGCCATGCTCGAGGTCGACGTCAACCTGTCCACCGACATGGCCGTGCTGGCCGCCAAGCGCTTCCTTCGGGACATGGCGCAGCCCTTCCGGCCCAAGGACCAGGAGGGCATCAGCGTGTGGAGCATCGAGGACCTCAGGAAACACCAGGCCCAGATGGACGAGGAGCGCATCCTGGAGCTGCAGAAGCAGAACGAGGAGAACATGGCCGAAGAGGTTCGGCGGCAGCAGGCCAAAGCGCTGGCTTTGGACGACGACTATGACATGGACGAGGACGACGAGAGAGAGCTGATGGAGATTGACGGCATGGCTTGAGCGCCTGCAATATACTATATCATGATGATCGTCCAGGTGGGATAAACTAGATTGGCTAGCGGAACCGAGGGCCTCCAGTTTTGTAGCATTGTACTAAACGAGCTGGCAACTTGATACACTGCCGTCCAAATATGAACAAGACCGTCAACTTGCACGAAACCATATCGGCGCGTCAACACGGCCTGCTTCTATGTGAAGACCACCGTCCTCATCCGCCGGTCCGCTTGACGATCCACGCTGTTCGGGCACATTGATTCCCAAAGTATAATATAAGCTGGATCTAGCCTGGTGCAAGGCTGCTTCTTAACCCCGGCTGAGACAAAAGTGCCCCGATTCTGAGTCTGTATAGCCCAGACCATGGGAGGCACCGGAGCCTCCCAACCTCCCCTAGCGACCATGAACCAACTCCATGACTTTCAATATACGGTGAGCCACCGTCACAACGATCTGCCCATTGGCTCATCTATCCAGCACTGTTGGACAGCTTCTGGGATGTCGCGCAAGTAGATGCCCTGTCGACAAGGAACTCGGCGCCCCAAGATTTGCGGCCAACCGAGCGCGCAGTCTTCCTTCGCCTCGCATTCACCTCGGTCCGGACGGCGCCATGATTGTCTACCCCTTGAGAGTCCTTAGCTAGTCGACTTGGCCAGATTCCAGAAGTTTTCCATCTTGACACGCGCCAAGAACTCGCGTGCCTCGCTGTCGCTCTCGGTAACCCGCGAGGAGAACTTTTTGAATGCCCTGGTCTTGACTTCTCCGTCGAACAACAACACGCACTTGTTGGCGCTCAGGTCCTTGAGGGAGCCGTCTTCGTTTTCGGCTTTCAGCCACTCGCGGAGCCCCTCGTTCTTCCCTTCGGCGACACGCGACGGCGCGCTCTCGCCCCAGTCGATGCGGTCGACCATCAGGTGACGAAGCTTGCGTATGGCGTAGGGCCCGCCTTCCATGATGACCAGGTTGAAGCGCGGGTTCAGGAGGGCGAGGCCGGTGGCGCCGAGGTCCTCGCTGTTCCGGTTGATCTTCCAGCGGTGGGATCCGTTGCTGAGGTTCATGATCTTGAAGACGAGCAGGTGCAGGCCCTTGTTGGCGTCGGCCTCCTGGTTGCGCTGCAGCTTCTCCTCCCTCTCCTCCTTGGTGAGCTGGCGGTCGGCGTTCATCTGCAGGTGCGTCTCCTCACGTTCGCGAATCTGGCTTCTGACCATGGCCTCGATTTGGGTCTGTCGGGGAGGGAAAAGAAGAAACGGGTTAGCGTCACAGTTCTAGACGGTCAACAGGGAGAAGGGGTAGTGGGTGCGGCTTACCGGATCCTTGACGGCCTGCTCTCCCATGGTCCTCATCATGTTGCCCAGCTTGAGCCTGGGCACGGGAGCGGGGAGGAGGCCGAGGCGCTGCTTGGCCTGCTCCTCCTTCATGTCCTGGTGCCTCCGCTGCCTCCGGATCTTCTTCTGCTCCTTGGCGGTCAGGTACATGGGCTTGACGACAACCTCGGGGCCGTCGGGCTCTATCTGCACGGGGTGCTGGATGTAGGGGGTGACGATGGCGTCCGGGCCGTCGAGCTTGGGGGCGTCGTAGCTGTTGTCGACCAGGAGCCCCTCGTCCCACCACTCGACGTCGGGCGGGGCGTCGACGACAAAGTTCTTCTCGACGTCGGCGTCCTCGTCGATGCCGGCGCGCTTGCTGGTCGAGGCGATGCGCTTCTTGAGCTCCTCGAGCTTGGCCTGCCTCCGCAGGGCCTGGCCCTGCTCGATGAACTTGCCCTTCTCGTGGAAGCGCAGATGGCGAGGCTGGCGCTGCTGGGGGCCCTGCAGGCTGGGGTTGAAGTAGGGATTCGACTTGGCCTCGTCCGGCTTCTGGGGCTTGGACTGGCCGGCCTGGGGCTGCCTGGGCCGGGACTGCTGCTTGGCCTCGTTGGCTCTCGAGGAGGAGGCGGGCTTCCAGGTGTCGGCGAGGGCCGGGTGCAGCTCGACGTTCAGGCCCTTCTTCTGCTGGGTCTGGGCGGAGGCGGAGGCGGAGGCGGCGGCAGAGCCGGAGCCGGAGATGGCAGCGGCGACGCGGGCCTTGAGGGCGGCCAGCTTGTCGGCGGCGGCGCCACCACCGGCGTCGGGCTTGGTGATGCGGGAGGAGGCGTCGTTGCGCGGCCCCAGGCTGGGCGAGCCGTGTCTATCCATGGCTTCGGATGGGGCGATGGGCGATGGGGCGATGGGCGATCGATGAGCACCGGGTCTCGTTGGTTATCGCAGCAGCCGAAAGGGAAAGGGAGGGAAAGGGAGGGACGCAGGCGGTGGCTGAGGGTTGGAACAAAACGACTGTAGTGACGATGTGTGGCTCGAGAGAGGCAGAAGTCGCGAGATCTACCTACAGCACCGTATCGACTTACAGCTGGGGGGGGGTGGAGTGGGTTAGTTACGTACAGCATGTAACTTGACATATCCATGCGCTTGGGTTGTCGACTTTGGCCTCCGCTTCCACTAACTACAGTACTGTCTACAGGCGGGCTACCACTACAAGGCACCACAAGGCACCACAAGGCACCACTGGCAGAACAGCTACCTAGGTTAGGTAGGGTCTAAGCTCTCCCTGAAGTCGATGCGCTTGGTGGTCCCCAACCCCCACATTCTGCCCCGGCTCACCGCCAAAAGTTTTCTCTGGCGACAGCTCCGTCTCTGGCAATGTCAACTTTTCGCACCCCACTTGGCCGACGCCAGCGGTTCCTATGCGAAAAAAAAAAAGAGCAGCCCGTGAATTTTCCCCCCCAGACAGCCCATACCATACCGGACCGTACAGAACGATAGCCTCTGCCTGCCTCGCCATTGGGAAGCGAGCCATGCACCATTGATGACGGCTGCCCAGTCGCGGGCCTGAAGAGCAGGATATTCCCCATTCCATCCAGAGACTGGACTGGACTGGACCTTTGCGATCCCATCCAGTCGAGACGATAGCGCGCGCCTGCGAACGTGTAGTTGGCAGCACCTACCGACCGCCACCATGAACATCTCCCAGCCCGTCTCGTCTGTCATTGACAGCGTCGACTTCGACTTCTTGACCCCCGACGAGATCAAGAACATTTCCGTCAAGAGGATAGAGAACCCCACCACATTTGACAGCCTCCTCAATCCCACCCCCGGCGGTCTATACGACCCGGCCCTGGGAGCCTGGGGCGACTCACTGTACGTCCAGAATCCTTGGGTGCCACACCGCCAGCCCGAGACACCATCTTGACCCTTCTTGCCGCCCCTTTATTTCTATGCTTTTTTTTTTTTTTTTTTTTTTTTTTAGAAAGTATATATATTGTAACTAACGCCCCGGCCTTCTCTGCTAGATGCACAACATGTAATCTCGGCCAGACGAGCTGTCCCGGCCATGCCGGCCACATCGACCTCCCCGTGCCGCTCTACCACCCGGTCTTCATGGACCAGATCATGCGCCTGCTGAGGGCCCAATGCACCTACTGCAACCGCTTCCGCATGCGGCCCGCCGACCTGGGCCTGTACAAGTGCAAGCTGCGCCTGCTCCAGTTCGGCCTGCTCGACGAGGCCAGCTACCTCGACGACATCACCCCCCAGTCCACCAACATCCCCGGCGTCGAGGCCATGGCCGTGGACGACGACACCGACGACTCGGCCCACATGATGATGATGAGGGAGAGGTACACCGAGCACGCCATCCGCGGCCACCGGATCAGCACCGCCGAGATCAGGAAGGGGAAGCACGAGGGTGCCTCGGACGTCCGCAGGGAGCTGATCAAGGCCTTCCTCAAGGACATGACCAAGGGGAGGAACTGCCAGAGCTGCAAGGGCATCTCGCCAAACTACCGCAAGGACCGCTTCGTCAAGATCTTCGAGAAGACCCTGTCCTCCAAGGATGCCGCCAAGATGGCTCAGGGCAGCTTCAAGCGCAAGGATGCCCTCACCATCAGGCTGAAGGCCAAGTCCGCCCCGAAGAAGAAGAAGGCCGCCGCCGAGACCGACGAGGGCATAGCCGACATCGACCTGTCGCCCGACGAGGACGAGGTGGGCTTGGAAGAAGAAGAGGAGGAGGAAGAGGGAGAGTCGGACGAGGGCGACGGCGAGGAGCTCGACGAGAACGGTGACGTCGTCATGACCGACGCCGCGACCAAGTTGCCCAAGACCAAGGCCAAGGAGGCCACACAGCAGCGCTACGTCACGTCGAGCGAGGTTCTGGCCCGTCTGGAGCTCCTGTTCGAGAAGGAGCAGGAGATGGTCGCCCTGCTCTACAACTCGAGGCCCCAGACCAAGTCCTCCAAGCCCATCAACCCGAGCTCCTTCTTCGTGCAGACCATCATGGTCCCGCCCAACAAGTACCGCCCCGAGGCTCGTCAGGGCGACGGAGGCATTGCCGAGGCGCAACAAAACTCCCTCTACAAGCTGATCTTGAATGCCTCGTCCAAGGTCGCCCAGATCCACCGCGAGCTCGCCCAGGCTGCCAGGCCCGGGGCCGAGCCCCCCGCCCGCACCAGGAACTTCTCCGAACTACACGAGGCCTGTGTCGCACTCCAGGACTGCGTCAACTCCCTCATCGACAAGGACCGGAACCCTGTCCGCGGCGCTGCCGGCAAGCGGAACGAGGACGGCATCAAGCAGAAGCTCGAGAAGAAGGAGGGCTTGTTCCGGAAGAACATGATGGGCAAGCGTGTCAACTACGCCGCCCGAAGTGTCATCTCGCCCGACCCCAACATCGAGACCAGCGAGATTGGTGTGCCTCCCGTCTTTGCCAAGAAGCTGACGTATCCTGAGCCCGTCACCAGTCACAATTTCAGGGAAATGCAACAGGCCGTCATCAACGGCCCTGACAAGTGGCCCGGCGCCGCCGCCATCGAGAACGAGAACGGCCAGATCATAAACCTCAGGAAGAAGTCGCAAGAGGATCGCGTGGCCCTGGCAAACCAGCTCTTGGCCCCTTCAAGCCACAAGCAGAGCGGCACTAGGGGCAAGAAGGTCCACCGCCATCTCGGGAACGGCGATGTGGTCCTGATGAACCGCCAACCGACGCTGCACAAGCCTTCCATCATGGGCCACCGTGTTCGCGTCCTGCCCGGGGAGAAGACGATCCGTATGCACTACGCCAACTGTAACACGTACAACGCCGACTTCGACGGTGACGAGATGAACATGCATTTCCCCCAAAACGAACTCGCTCGCGCCGAGGCTCTGCGGCTCGCTGATACGGACCATCAGTATCTCTCGGGTACAGCAGGCAAGCCGCTCCGAGGTCTGATTCAGGACCATCTTTCAGTCTCCGTCGCTCTCTGCAACCGGGATACCTTCTTCGACAAAGGTGCCTATCACCAGCTAGTCTACAATGCGCTCAGGCCCGAGCATGGTCACATCACTTCGGACAGGCTTGAACTGGTGCCCCCTGCCATCATCAAGCCAGTGAAGAGGTGGACCGGCAAGCAGGTCATCACGACCATCCTGAAGAACATCAAGCCTCTTGGTTTTGGCGACCTCTGGCTCACCGGCAAGACCCAGGTCCCAGCGGATCGATGGGGTCTCAACTCGGAGGAGGGTGCTGTCCTGTTCAAGGACGGTGTGTTCATCCATGGTATTCTCGACAAAGCCCATCTGGGACCCAGTTCGGGAGGCTTCATTCACGCGGTACACGAGACCTGGGGCCCCGAGTCTGCCGCAAAACTCCTCAGCTGCATGGGTAGACTTTTGACCAGGTATCTCAACATGCGTGCGTTCACTTGTGGCATGGACGATCTGCGTCTCACCCAGAGTGGCGAGGAAGACCGTAAGAAGCAGCTGGAGGCGGCCAACCGCGTCGGTCTCGAGACGGCCCTCAAGTTCGTAAGCTTGGACAAGCATACGGATATCGACCCGCGGAACCCAACCCTGCTCGAACGTCTCGAGGCCGTCATGCGAGATGACAGCCAGCAGGAGAATCTCGATGCGCTCATGAACGCAGCATGCTCACCTGTCTCGTCCGCCGTGACCAAGGCCTGTCTCCCCGCGGGTCTCGAGAAGCACTTCCCCAAGAACCAAATGCAGTCGATGACCATATCTGGTGCCAAGGGTAGCGGTGTCAACGCCAACCTTATTTCCTGCAACCTGGGTCAACAGGTTCTGGAGGGTCGACGAGTACCGGTCATGGTCAGCGGCAAGACTCTCCCTTGTTTCCGTCCCTTCGAGACCGATGTCCGCGCTGGAGGTTACATTGTGAACCGTTTCTTGACAGGCATCCGGCCGCAAGAGTACTACTTCCATCACATGGCTGGTCGCGAAGGTCTCATTGATACCGCAGTCAAGACTTCCAGATCCGGTTATCTGCAGAGATGTCTCATCAAGGGCATGGAAGGCCTTAAGGTGTCCTACGACACCTCGGTCAGAGACTCGGACGGGTCCGTTGTCCAGTTCTTGTACGGAGAAGACGGTCTCGACATTACCAAGCAGAAGTATCTGCATGATTTTGGCTTTGTGTTGAGAAACCGTGAGTCCGAAGTCGCACAGCTTTCGATTGACGAGCGAGGCTGGGATCAGGACATATTCTCCTCCAAGGAGTATGCTCAGAAGTATATGAAGAAGGCCATCAAGGAGGCCAAGGCGAACGACCCCAAAGCCCGCGATCCCATCATGGCCGAGCTGAACGTCAACCGCAACGCCTTCGCCACCTCGGAAAAGTTCTACGAGAAAGTTAGCGACTATATCAAGGACAACGCCGACAAGCTCATCAAGGAGAAGGGTGACAAGAACAAGTCCACTGAGCGGGTCGCCCGAAAATACGCCGAGATTCTGTTCCACACCAAGTACCTGGGATCTCTTGTCGAGCCGGGTGAGGCCGTGGGTATCGTTGCCGGCCAGTCCGTCGGTGAGCCGTCGACGCAGATGACACTGAATACTTTCCATTTGGCTGGTCACTCGGCGAAGAACGTCACACTAGGTATCCCGCGTCTTCGAGAGATCTTGATGACAGCGAGCGACCACATTTCCACCCCGTCCATGACCCTGGTCGTCAACGCAGAGCTCGGCCAGCGGAGCCTTGAACAGTTCGCCAAGGCCATCAGTGAGCTCCCTCTCTCGCACGTCACTGACAAGGTCACCGTCAAGGAGCGCATTGGCAAGGGTGCTGGATATCGACTGGCCAAGATCTTCGACGTGCGCCTGCAGTTCTTCAAGTCGGCTGATTACTGCGAGACATACGCCATCAAGAAGTCCGATGTCCTGGACATTGTGACGACCAAGTTCTTGGAGAGACTCGAGAGGCAGATCAAGAAGGAGATCAAGGCCCGAGGAGACAAGGATAACGGGGCTCGGCCCGAGGTCGGCGTCAAGGCTGGCAATGTGGAGATGGCGGCCCCCGATGCCGAAAGAGTGCGCAACGAGGACGACGACGACGATGACGACGATGCCGACGATGATGCCACAAATGCCAAGCAGCGGGCCAACCGCGCCGAGGCTGTGTCGTATGGTCCCAATGACGAGGACGACGATGTGATTCAGAACCGGATGGAGCGCGAGGCATCTGATGACGACGACGACGAAGTGCCGGAGGATGAAGGCTTCGGCGGCAGCCCGGCACCCGAGAGCGACTCGGAGGCTGGCGGCCGGTCCAGCAAGCGGGGCACGACCGAGCTCAACAAGAGCCGCCAGGCAGACGTCATGGAGAAGTTCAGCTCGGTATCGCGGTTCGAGTGCGACGAAGCCGGCGGCGAATGGTGCGAGTTCTCGCTCGAGTTTGACGCCAACATCCCCAAGGTCCTGATGCTGAACGTGGTGCAAGAAGCGGTGCGGAAGACGCTGGTCCAGAAGATCGAAGGCATCAAGGACTGCACGTTTGTGGAGGACGAGCTTATCAAGGACGTCCGCACCGGCAACGAGGAGAAGATGCCGGTCATCCACACCAACGGCGTCAACCTGGTGGCCATGCAGAACTACGCCGACTACATTAACCCCAACAAGACCATCACCAACGACATCGCAGCCGTCCTGCGGACGTACGGTGTCGAGGCTGCGCGACGCAACATCATCCAGGAGCTGGGCAACGTCTTCGGTGGTCACGGTATCAGTGTGGACAACCGCCACCTCAACCTCATCGGCGACTACATGACCAGAAACGGTGGCTTCACGCCATTCAACCGCAACGGCCTCAAGGGTAACGTCAGCCCCTTTACCAAGATGAGTTTCGAGACGACATTGGCCTTCCTGAAGGACGCCGTCCTGGACGGAGACTGGGATGATCTCACGACGCCCAGTGGACGTATCGTCATGGGCAGGCTCGGAAAGGTGGGAACGGGCGCGTTCGATGTCTTGACGAGGGTGCACCCCAAAAATGGGAAGAACCAGCTGTAGAGAAGCAGAAGAAAAAAAGGTTGCAGGTATGAGACAGAAAGGGAACGGAGTTCAATCAACGCTGGCCTTGAAAAGCTAGGGCGGTTTTGTAAGTTGTATTTCTTTTCAGCCAGCTAGATGTATATAGAAGGGATACCAGCCAGCTGCCACGGCGTATTGGAAAATATGATTTTTGGTTCTACCCAAGACGTATGCGCGTGTCTACATCTATCCAGTTCTGTGATATCCAGTGTTGCCAGCACGACGTCTGCGAGTGATTTGCCGGGCGCTACCTAACAGCGTCTTTGTCTTGGATCGCACGGCCACACCAGCTGGGCAATATGGGATGGGCCTGGCCTGGCCTCGCCCGAGTGGCATTTCTGGCCTCAACCATGCCGATATTCGCGCAATGCGACACCAGACTAGAGTTCAACGCGCCCATGTTGACACTCACCAGACGCCTCGAACGATTCTTTCCTGTCATGTTCGCCTCGCACAGCCCAGTGTCGAACCCGAGACGTCACACCAACTCGTAGGGTTCGAATTCCCGACACTAATACTTAGCAGTCGGTAGTCCGAGCTGGGTGCAACCCCACACAGCCGTGGAACCGAGGTGCCCGCCCCCCAGCGTACAGATCTGGGGCATCCTCGAAGACAGACGCCCGGCCCTGTCCATCAGACGGGAGGAGAGGGAAACTGCAGTATCCCTATATCTCACGCAACTTCATGCAAAAAGGCCGCTGCAATCCTACATTCGCCGACCTGCTAGCGATCGATCTATCGCCAAGCCCTCACCCTCACACATATATGTTAGCCTTATATCGCCCGTGAAAGACACAGCATGGGCCAATCCAAGATCACGCTCTACGTCGACGTCGTCAGTCCTTTTGCGTATGAAGCTTTCCACATACTGCAGGTGAGTGAGCACATGTCGATGCTTTTGATGATGCTGGACCTGAATCCCCGGGGGTCGGGACAGATATGTGATGGCTGACGTATCAAGGTAGAACGAGCCCGTCTTTAAAGATGTGCAGGTCAAATACGTGCCCATCTTCCTCGGCGGGCTCATGAAAGCTGTAAGATACCTTCTTTTCCTCCTGTATACATCGCAATACTGTTGTATACACGGCAATCTAGAGAAATGCCGCCTCAGTCACTCACTCGTCCGCTCCTTCGCTTACACTCGACGGGAACAGTGCGGCAACACGCCCCCCATCAACATCAAGAGTACGTCGTCGAAATCTACGTGCACAAAGGTGTCTTTTTTGGGGGGGGTTCCTCGCCGGGACGAGTTCTGATTCCACCCCCTGCCCCGGGACAATCAGGCATCTGCTAGGGTTGTCTTCCTCATCTTCCCCCAAGCTGACTTGAGTGGCCGTGCTCCGCGCCCCGTGTAGACAAGGACAAGTGGATCCAGACCGAGAAGCTCCGGTGGGCGCGCGCCTTCGACGTGCCCATGGCCGCGGCGAGCCCCGCCAACTTCCCGCCCATGACGCTCGCCCTGATGCGCGCGCTCGCCGCCCTGTCGGCGCACCAGGAGGGAGGGGGCCAACGGCTGCTGGCCGCCGCGCTCGCCAAGCTGTGGCACGCCCTCTGGGTCGAGCACGCCGAGGTCGAGAAGCCGGCCGTGTTCGGGCCCCTGCTGGCCGCGGTGCTGGGCCGCGAGAGGGCGGAGGAGGGTGAGTCCGACCTGCTGCGTCTCTTTCATTTCATCTCCGTTCACGTCTCTACTCTCCTCCGTGTGCTTCTTCGGACCGGGACCGGCTGGAACTGACGATGGGGGTGTCCCCGCACTGTAGTCATGGCCGAGGCCTCGACGTCGGGCAAGACGGCGCTCAAGGACAACACGGACAGGGCGTTCGAGGACGGCGCCTTCGGGCTCCCGTGGATGGTGGCGACGAACGGCGCCGGGCAGACGGAGGGCTTCTGGGGCGTCGACCACATGGCCCAGGTGCTGCAGTTCCTCGGTCTTGAGAAGCCAGGGCAGGGAGGCTGGAGGTCGGTCTTGTGAGTTGAGTGAGGAGAGGCAGTCGAGACACAATGAAATGGGCTTGGCATCTGGGCGCCTGGCAGGTTCACGTTGCACAGAGGCATGCGATCACTCCTCTGACAGGTAGTGTATTACTTGATGAATATACCTTCACTTGATGCGCAGCTGTTCTTTTCAAGTGAATTACACGGTGATACTTCCCGGGTGCTGCGATGAGCCTTGGCCATGTGGCAGGCCATCATGTAGGATGAAGACATGAACGCTTGACTACTTGCTGCTACTTACCTAACTACCAGGCGTCCCTCTCATACCGACATGCCCGTTGGCCATGGCGCCCACCGCTTCATTCCACTTTAGAGTGGAGCAGAACACGGTGCGTGTCGCGCCTGGAGGGGTCGTGGGCTGTCAACAAACGAGGCGCGCGTGTCGCAGGAACAAACACCAGAACGCGTCAAGCAAAGCAAAACCTGGGAGGGCAGGCACCATGTGGTCAGACGGCAGAGGTCATCACGAGAGGCAAGAGGGACGCGAAGGGTTTGTTTGTTCTGAAGTCATTCCTTTGTTCAGTATTGCAGTGGGTCTGTTCCATCTGCCTAAACTGATGTACAATCCATGTTGTGAGTGCTATTTGTCACTCGATCGAAATCAACCGCATCATAAAACGCCATGATTACCATTGCCCTGTAGAAACCCCAAGTCGTCAAAGCATCCCGTAGAGTGTCATGAAGTGTCGCTTCCTCCACTCAACTCCATCCTTCTCTCAAGTCAAAACCATGCGCTGAAAGGCATAGCTTAGTTGCGCTCACCACGGAGGCGGCGGGCGAGCTGGATGTCCTTCTGCAGAGATAGTTAGCATGCTGTGCCAGACGCGATGTGGTGCGTGATGCAGGTGGTGGGGTGGGGTGGGGTGGGGTAGACACGTACCGACTGGATGGTGACACGCTTGGCGTGGATGGCGCACAGGTTGGTGTCCTCGAAGAGGGAGACGAGGTAGGACTCGACCGACTCCTGCAGGGCACCGATGGCGGAGGACTGGAAGCGCAGGTCGGACTTGAAGTCCTGGGCGATCTCACGAACCAGACGCTGGAAGGGCAGCTTGCGGATCAGGAGCTCGGTCGACTTCTGGTAGCGACGGATCTCACGGAGAGCGACGGTACCGGGCTTGTAGCGGTGAGGCTTCTTGACACCTCCGGTGGAGGGCGCGGACTTGCGGGCAGCCTTGGAGGCGAGCTGCTTGCGGGGAGCCTTGCCACCGGTGGACTTGCGGGCGGTCTGCTTGGTGCGGGCCATTGTAGATGGGAGGTGTTGGGGCGTTGTTTGGTGATGAGAAGGGTGATGGAAGTGGTGGTGGTTGATGGGCTGCGAGATGCAGAAGTGGATGTGGATGTGTGAGTGGATGCGGAATGATGATGATGAGAGGAGGATGGTTTTGGGGGGTGCGGGGGGCGTGTTAAATATGTGAGAAAGCGGGCGGGCGTGGCGGCTGGCTGATTGTGTCCGTCCAGCGTTTGCTCTTGCTGCAGGAGGGTGCAAGAGGGTGCACCTGCTTGTCGCTGATTCCGCGCTAGTCGGGCTGGTCGGGCGGGCTGTCCAGGCTGGACTGGGTTGGACTGGGGGGGGTGGGAAAATCAGTCGCTGTTCCTTGGGAATTAATTGCGCGCCTGGATTTGGGGGCGACAGGGGTGCGTTTCTGACAACAAAGTCGTTGCGTTTTAGGTGGGCTTTTTTTTTTTACTTGGGCGGCGCTGGTCAAAGCCGGCTCGCTAATTTTTGATTGGCCGCCGCCCAGGTGTCCGCGCGCGCCCCTCCTTTGCACCAACCAAAGAATCGGGCGCCTTGCCCCTTTCGGGCCTCCTTCAAAGAAAAAACAGAAGCGCAACCCCAAGATCAGTGATAGTGATCATGGATGCGATTTTGCGGTGCGGTGCGGTGCGGTGCGATACGGTCGGCAGTGTACGATAAAGGATATCCGGGCCTGGCCAGCCAATCATTTAGCCCCGCTCTTTACCGGCGACAGAAACGGGACTCCCCCCCGTTGTGCAAGGCTGATCTGACCTACGACTGCGGTACATGTCATCGAGTGCCGTATACTGGAAATGTGCAAGTCACGGCCAAGTAGAGCGCTGACGCTACCTAGTCAGGTAGTTTACATTACATCGTCCACATGTGTCTGAATTAGTTACAGTAGCCCGGCACTCGTGTAGACATCTGCATCCGACATCCGTGTTTTGGGTTGTCACGTAACTGATGTATAGTAGAGCTGTGTATATATGTGTGTGTGTGCTTTTAGGCAAGAGTTCTAGAATGGTGTGACACGAGAAAGATGGAAGGCCCATCGTGTGTTGCTTCATTTGTTACTGCATCTGATATAGTGAACGAACAAATGAATGAATGAACGAACAAACTACGTATGCAGTCTCCAACAAAATCGAGGGTGAGGGTGAGGCTACGGCATGCATCGACAGACTTCCCCAGATCTTGACACTCGGGTTCGCCACATCGTCCCGCCTTCCCATGTCCCATCCCATCCTTTCCATCCGCCGGCCGTCATCTTGTCAAGGCGGCAGGCAGATGGAAAGGCACCGGGGGTGTGGATTGGATGGATGCCGTGCTCTCGGCGCAGGCCATGACAGTACTAGCAGTGGCAGTTGATCACCCCGCGCCGTGGGGGACGGGTAGAGACAGGATAGTGCGTGTTTCTACAACATGTCATGGATAAGATGGAAAAGGCAAGCTCATGATTGGCCCGAGACGCAGACCTCCGACCCGGCAGCAGAGGCAGCGTGTGGATATCGAAACATGGGAATGGGCAATAACAGACTCGCGAGATTGGACGGGCGGCCGTTGAGGCGGGAGGGGGGGAACTCTCGGGGCTCTCTGTGTTCACACTCGGCGCAGAGCCAGCAGGGCCGGGCGCCAGAGTGCCCAGAGGTCCCCTCCCCCTCCGGGCTACGTGCACCAAATCAGCACCACATGGAACCGCACCCGGGGTTGGCCAGATTGGGCTGACTGATTCTAGCGAAAGCCCTGGGGCCCATTGGACGTGCAAGGCGTCGGGCGGCCGGGCGGCTCTCCAGCTCTGCCACGGCCAGCTACTAACCAACTTGCTGTCCAGTGTGCATGGTGCGGTGCTATCGGTTGTGTCGGGTGTGGGGATGCTTTCCATGCCCTTTACTGATACTTAGTTTTAGCGCCTGCTGCAGGGTGCTGTTGTTTTTTTTTAAATCTGCCAGATCGGGCGCTCTGGTTGGCTGGTTTAATTTCGAGGTGCCTGATCTGGACGTGATTTTGGAAAAAGAGCACCCCCACCGCGGTACGTACCACAGGCACCCGCGCGCCTTGGGGCCCCCCCCCTCTCTCCATCCTATTTCGCCTTTGAACAATTCCCAGGCTGATCTGGTTTGCAGCCGCCGCTCGGCCTGCCGATACTTAAACTCGTCTAATTCCCCACGTTGACAACCTTCTCTCCTCCCGAATCCATCCAGCCAACACCCATCCACAGCTCTCTCATCAGCCTCATCTGCAATTCCATTGCACCCCCCCCCAAAACAACACACCTCTTCTCTCAAACAAACACCTCAGACACAATGACTGGACGTAAGTTTTTACCCATACCCAACTAGGTTCCGATGGCATGTCGGCGGCGGTCTTACGTCGTGATCCCCTCCTCCCATCCCCTCCCCTCAACGCGTCTCCCCGGTGTCGATCTTGTTTACTGACGCGTCTTCCCTCACAGGCGGCAAGGGCGGCAAGGGTCTTGGCAAGGGTGGTGCCAAGCGTCACCGCAAGATTCTACGTGACAACATCCAGGGTATCACCAAGCCCGCCATCCGTCGTCTCGCTCGTCGTGGTGGTGTCAAGCGTATCTCTGCCAGTAAGTTTCTTGTCTCTGCAGCAGTGCTCTCTTCGTCGCAGACGCAGTCTCTAACATGCTCTCCCCCCCTGCAGTGATCTACGAGGAGACCCGTGGTGTCCTGAAGTCCTTCCTTGAGGGTGTCATCCGTGACGCCGTCACCTACACTGAGCACGCCAAGCGCAAGACCGTCACCTCGCTGGACGTTGTCTACGCCCTGAAGCGACAGGGCCGCACCCTCTACGGTTTCGGTGGTTAAGCGTTGCATATTGTCTGGTGCTTTCACGTCTGTTACGATGTCATTTCTTGCGAGAGTCACGCTACTGAACAAGTGACTGGTCATGATGATCATGGGATTGGGTTCTGCTTTTAGGGTGTTCTGAAATCAATGTACCATACAGGGAAATGGGGGGGTCTACTACATGGATTGTCCGATGAGGCATAATCAATCCGTCAAGGACACTTGAGAACAAAGTTAAACCAAAAACTCCCGTCTGTGTGCCTCTGCTGCCTTGCTGTCGTGACTTGTCCTGCTATTTCTCTTCGTCTTTCGTCCGGCGCGTCTTGTGTTTTTCATCTTCCTGGGTGGACCGCGTCGTGCTGGCAGGCACGGCCCATCTCGGTTCTCTTTGTCGCGTATCAATCCATGCTCACGTGTTTGCCACCTTTGCTTTGTTCCGGACGTCATGGGTTCATGGGTTCATGGGTTCATGGGTTCATGGGTCCATCGGGCTGTCTGATCCGGTCTTTCCGGTCTATATAGGGGAACTTGGGCATAAGGCCTACAGACTCCAAGGAGCCCAGGAGGCAACGTATGCGTACCTGTCTTGGGTAGAACCCAAGTCTGTGACTCATCATTCCCACTTCACTATCTTTGTGTGACTCAGTCCTATGTTCTGTGACCTGCTATGCCCACTTTGAATAGTCTAGGCGCATCATGACGGGTCATACATCTTGGCGATATCGCGTGCTGCTTGGCTCTTGCTGGGCATGTCTTAAGAGGGTCAGCCCAGACAGGTGCTACAGAGTCATTCCGATCCAGATAAACTTGGTGTGTGTTGGCGATGGTATTCCGTATGTGATGGCTGCGTCGTGTTGATATGAATTTTACTTCATATCTCAGTATATAATATTGGCATTTCTTACCGGTAGTTCGCCGTGCTCGATCCTCCCTGTCGTTGCCATCGGTCCAGGTAATGGTTTGATTTCTTATGTCCGATCTGTGTCGAAGAGCTGTTTGTATCGTTGGACCTGCTGTGATGAGTCCCAAGGACAGATATGAAATACATGTGCGTCTTGGTATGGTTGTAGTCACCCGGGCTTCGAGCCGTCGTTCTTTGGGGGGTTTCAGCGGTAGTTTTGCTTCTGAGTTGCAAGTGCTTCACCTTACTGGGAACTATTCTCATAGTGGCTAGGTGAATTTACTTGCAGCATTGTAAACTGAGGCCATAGTTTGCGCTGTTATATAAATGATTTGGGGTACTCATTTGACTTCACAATACAAGCAACTACAGTTCGGTAGCAATATCGTACGAATGTTCCGAACGGGTTAGTTTCCATAGGTGCCTATCATGGCGACTATCAACAGCAGTCTTCATCCCAGGCTCTGGACGATGTCACACTTAGCCGGTCTCGGGCGTGCCATGTGCCGCTACTAAACTCGTCAATTCACGTGTTATATCGATCAACACCCGTTCTGCTGTAGGAGGCACTATTCTCTTTTTCCATGACATGTCGTACTGGGATTGTGTGCAAACCTTGGGTTTTTACTTTGTTCACAGCTCAAGTATATTTGACTGCATACTAACATGCTTTAAAATTAACCCAGACATATATGCCACGCAATCTGTTAGTTTTATCCATGGGCATATGTCAGTCCTTGGTGGCGGGGTGCGTACAACGTCCTATTTTAAAAATATGAATGATAGGCTATAAATTGGCATCGAAAGGAGTGCTTGACTTCTGTCATACTTGCTTACACCCGGTATCATACGTATAAAAGAATAGAGATTGTTTTTAACTTAAGAATCACCGTAACTATCGTAACTTACATTAAAATCGAATAGCATAACGGACCACATTATAAACTCGAAGGTAAGTATAATAAATATCGTAAAAGTTTAATCTCGATTATTTAATATATTTTATTATATTTATTATTTATTCCCTTTTATATATTAATTGTTTAGTTATATATACGTAGTTTCTTTTAAGTTAAAACTATTTAATGTTAATCTCACAGTAAGATGGCAGAGGGGGTATACACTACATGTATATATACCACACCGCGTACTAGTCATGTTGTAAAGCTGAGCCAGTCACTTGAAGCACAGGGACATGGACTCAACCAGTCCATACTACCCAGAAGCGCCACCAGTGAATTGCCTCAGTCGGTGGGATTGCAAGGCTGGTGATATCCGGTCCCAAACCCACCCCC